TTCTTGCTGATCCTGGCCAGCGGGTGTTACGCAAGAGGACGGGGGAGAATTTTGTGGGGAGGAGGGTGGAACATTGTCGGGTTGTCCAGCTGGGTGTTTCGTTGTAGTCTGCGGTAAATTGCCAGAGGTTATGGCCCTGCTCGAGTGACCACACAAATTGTTGAACCAACCTTCATCACTACTCAGCGGCGACAAAATCCCTGGTCCAGTCTCGGGCTCGACATTCTCTCGCTCCTCTTCTCCCTCTCCAGCGTCACTTCCTTCCTCTTCGTCTTCATCCTCATTGGCTTCTTCTTCACCCTTTTGTCCCAAAGGATTCTCCCAGGTGACACGACCTTGTGGCAGGATGTAGGGAACATGGTGAACCCAGTTGGCTGGATCGATAAGCTGCTCTGGGGAGAGACTTTCGAATTCGGGGTTGATGATAATATTTTGGGGCTCTGATGGGTAATGTGAGCCAGGCAGAAAAGGTGGAACAAAGGGTATATTGACTTACGTGGATTTTCTTCATCCTCGTTCTCATCTTCTTGGTCAAATGTATAGTATCCGGACGGACTAACGACCGTTGCGGCGGAAATGCGCGCGATTTGACAGCGGAGATATTGAGCTTCGGTGTCGTTGAAGGGGGGGTAACTGACGATCTGTCAACACATTTTTAATACATTTCTGAAAGAATGTTACGGAATTTGCTTTTCTGAACAACTATCGGCACCTTGTGATTCAAGTCCCCGGTGAAAAACTTTCGAATTCGACGGGAAGCTTGGAGTTTCTCGGGGATGACGTCCGGAAGACGGGTCCAGGGGCCTCCAGCTGCATGGGTGAAGGGTTAGTCCTGTTCATCCACATTGATAGCCAAGAATCGGCATGTGCAAAAACAAACGACACGCACCGTAATTACAGACGTAATAAACGTATTTATTTACGCCAACCCTTTCCTCTCTCGGAAGCGGAATGACGGGCTTCTCTTTACGCTTGGGAACGTCCTCATCCTCCTCGGCTTCCTTCTTTTCTTCCGCATTTTCTTGCACCTCTTCTTCAACTTGAGGCGCATCCTCATCCACAGCACCTTCCTTCAATTCACCTTCAATGATGAGATAATTCGCTTTTGCACCCAGTATCTTGCCCCACAAACGGACGGACTGGAGGGGTTTACTCGTTACAAGACTCTTGAGGGAGAGAAAGAGCATGAACGTTTCTTCTTTCCCAAGGGAAACCTAGGTGAATTGTTTAACGCTGCCCAAATTTCTTGAATGTCTTTAACAAAATTGTGTTTACCCCAGCCCATTCCCATAGATTGGAAAGGTCCATAATATCCGGAATTTCACCAAACGCTTCAGGATCCCCAGGTTCTTCCAAACCCGATTTCTGTAGTAATATCAATGTTTACAACCAACTCCGTTGATTCACCTTTAAATACAGTCATACCTCAAACAGCTTGACTTGAGCCGCTCCAATTTCATTGGCAGGAGCAACTTCTGACGCTTTCTTTTTGTTTTCACAGATTAATTGTCAAAAGGTGCTTGGAGATGCTTTAAGAACATTGTAGTCCACTTACTTGAAAAGCTCCTGGGGCATTAGGCCGGTCCACCACAAAATGCGATCTCTTGATATCCGCAGAAAGAGTCTCAAAAGCATCTTTAAGTTTAACCAGCAGTTAATTAAATTTTCTAGTAGAAGGCTCGGAATCTTTGGCAACAGAAGGAAACCACCCACCAACTACATTCCCCGGTCTAGTCTCCAAAATCCTCACGATAACCTCGGTCAAATGGTCATATAGATTTAAATTGCTTTTCTCGCTCTGCGTCATCAAAAACGCCTTTGCGAGCGCCAGTTCGCTGCCTTCAGGAAGACGGGATGCAGGAGGTATGTAAAAGTCTTTGCGGTCTAGGAAGGGGTGTTGAGGTGGTGCAGCAGTTGTAGGTTCAGCAGGCGGGGTAGGCTGTGCTGGCTGCTCTTCCTTTTCGACTTCCTCTGGCGGGGCCGAGGGCGTGGGTTCCGGAATGGGCTCGGGAACGACGAGTTCGACAGGATCTTCCTCCATGATTTGGTGATTTCGAGTAGGAAGAGACAATTTCTCCTAGTTTCTCGTTCTCTCTTGCCAGAGTCGGTGTTGGTATAGATCTTTCAAGAGTTTGCTATTAATTAGTGTTGGATGACAGGTTGGGTAAGCAATACGCGCTCTTTCAAGCTCCGACCATCACTAATGATCGATCATGAACGCCAACATAAGTTGGGCATTTTCAATATGGTCTGCGAGTGAGATACATAAAGAATTGGGAGCATATATCTCTGGATTCTGCGATACTTTGCATGAATTGGATAAAAGTGGAGTGCGTAGAATATACCGTCCAGGACAAAAGTCGAGATAATTTTCCTTACAGAATGAAGAGGCCCCACTAGTGAGATGAGTAATTAGCATTCTTGCCACAGTTATATACGACCGTCAATCTGTCGATTCATGGTCTGATTGGCAAGGGAGTTCACGCAAGTTGATATGCTGAACTGCCATTCAATGGACCACATGCCGCGACGACAGAAATTGTTAGTTGAAAACATTGCGCTTCTGTGCAAGTGATCAAACCTAGGTGCCGATACTACATATTTGGCACCCACAGTGTGTCGCAAAGCTAACAAATAAAAATATATATTGCATATAAAATAGCTCACACACATACTTTCATAACGAAACACATGATTCCTCAACGAAGAAGACCACCTTCCCGATAATATTCAACCACCTCCTTCACCTTTTCCGCTGCGGTCACACATACTCCCACAACGGTCTCAAGAGCATATCCAACCACATATTCACCCGTCTGCTTTCCATCATCGAACGCGCCTTTTACTTCAGGAGTTTGAATCCTGTCCAAGGCCCGCGTCAAGACATGTTCAGCGGATTTCGATGAACGAGTTGCGGGGGCTTCATCCCGTTTCTTTTCTTTTGGTGGTTGATGGCGGTGGATTTGGGTTTTAGGATTTTGACGCTGGGCATGAGTCGTCGCGTTTTTCCCAGTTAGAGTTGGGAGTGCGGAGAGACCCGTTTCCACTGGGGCTGGGTTGGGGTTCAGACCGTGTTGAGCGGCTTCAATGGGAGTTGGAAAGTCCGTTTGTGCGGTCGTTGAGAGTGGGGTTGGGTAGGTTGCCGTTGCCGTTGCCATCTGTTACTTTGGGTATGTAATCGGTAACGATGTTGGGGGAAAGGATGATGAATCTTCAAACGTACGCCTTTTATAGAAACGGTGAGAGTCGTGTCCAAAGGGGAAAAAAGGGCCGAACCCAAGGGGAAGAAACCTCAGGTATTGGGAGGGCGGAATTTCAAGCGCGTGTGTGGCTTGGCGGATTTCGTAATGATTGCATGTGAAAGGGGTGAATGTTGACGGGCGTGTATTCGATTGGATTCTTAGCCCCTCGTCTTCATGCTGTCGAGGAGACGGCAGGAAGCGTCGAGAACGTCGAGAACATTTGGGGAAATGATTGTATTGAAGAGTAGCGCAAAGAGTATTTGTACTGTGCAGGAGCAGCATGTCGTGGCGCGTCCAAAGGCACCCAGGGGACACTTCAGGGTGGTGCCAGACTGACCTGCATGGCAAGCGTCCTGAGCACAGAAAGCCTTATGTGGAGTAAAATGATGCTTTTGTGCACTCAGGGCGTCTTTCTGTTGGTACATGTCGCCAGGGATGCAAATGTTCGACAGATACTTTGTTATTCATGTCAGAACAAAGGAGATTCAAGAATATACGCCTGGCATCTTTGAACCAATAGGATTTACCAAATGTACAAAGTCAAAGACATGCTCGTGTCCCCCAGTAACCCGAATCTGACAACATGACATTTCACACCAGGCCACGTCGTTTCCGTATATCTCTATAGCTCATGTCGGTGTCGAAGGATAATGATAACCATTTTGCATATAAAAGCACATGTATCTGCGGAACAACAAGATACAAGTTATAACGAATCATGATCGGAACTGCAGAAAAGAGTCATACCCAGTTCCTGCGGAGACATCAGACTGATTTGCAATCGTAACATTGTGATCGTCAAAGGCGAACCACTGGAACCATATTCTTAGTATCTGAAAATCGGTTCCTGTAACTCTACCTGGATTTCATACCTGTCCTCGCTCTCGTGCATACGTGGTATAATGTCCCGTTTCCAATCGACCAGTATGATTCACGACGGCGAACAGAGAATATTTGTAGGAGGGAATGCCATCCCTGAAATGAGCAGATAACCCATAAATACACAACAAAGTTCGCTAAGAGATTTCGCTTCAATTCTCACATTGAAGACTCTGCCAAGTTTCTGCTCGTCTTTTTAGTAGTTGCAGAACCAGGTCGTAGCTTGTGACGAAGCTTCATAGCTCGGGTGGTGTAAGGAGTCATGTCAAGCTCAGCTGGTACCCGGACAATAGTCTCAATCTTGGAAGAACTCGAGGACTTTGCTGAATGCTCAAAACGCTGACAAATATACATGTGAGCTGAGGTGCGCGCCAATACGTGGGTATATATTGCGAGGAAGATACCTTTAGCTGGATGCTCAATACTGGTGGCAGCTTTTTAATGGAAATTTGCTTCGTGGCTTCCTGTTATGATTTAATGGATTGGTCACTTGCCCCACACGGTGCGGTGCATAAACAGCCAGGATGTACCTTGCTTTCCTTGCAGTGACTACAATTGTACTCGAGTTTCTCTGGGATAGTGAACCTGAGGCAAACGTACTAGTCAGCAGTGGATAAGCTTGGTTGACGAGAGAATGGGACAAACTACCTCTCCAAACATTCCCCCAGCGTACAGGTATCAAGGGGATCATGCATCTTGTGCTTCGCGCCTTTTTTCGCTTCTGAAGTCTCTTGCACTCCATTTGCCATCGGCTTGCGATTACGCGCATCAGATGCATGAACTGCTTGCACTACTTCGGCAGCAGCTGCAGCAAGTTTGGCAGCCGATTTTTTTGCGGTTCCATTTGTGACCCTTCCTGATCCCGGACGCCGCTTTACTTCGAGGGACATGTCAATGATTGGATCGTAGGCTGTGGAGACATTATGGCACGCTGAGCAGGTTACGTCTGATTGCAGTAATCCTGAGAAAGTTTGATGTATGACACAGCGGCATTCCTGGTCTTCCATGTCCTGGGCTAGATACAGAGTCAGTTTTGCATAGCTCTGTTGCCCTAACATTGGCGCTACGCACCTGCACAGTTGTTATGTATTTCATTCGCCAGCGAGATGAAGAATTCGTGCGCGTCCTGTTGTGAATATCCGGCCATATGTTTTTGCGACATCCACATGGCATTGAGAAACGCCGCAGGACCATATGGTTTTGTCTCCCCGCTATAAAACTGTATGGGCTCTTTCTGTGAGTAGCCATGCTCAGTCAAATCCCTAATTTCATGTAAAAACCAACCTCGTGAAACACAAGATCCATCTGGCATGCCATACAGTGCTGGTCCCGTTTGGGGCACAAGCTTCGGTTATGCCTGTCGCTCAGGAAATAGCATCTGAGCACTGGATTGTGTATCATCGCTTGAAGAATGGCGTTCATGAAGCACGTATTTCCCAGATTGTGGCAGCCTCGTAGTCCTATGCACGAGCCGCAGAGTTGGTAACGATGCGCATCATAGATGGTCATAGTCTCGCGCAACCAACCAGAGCATCTCTGTAGCTTGGATCCGCTCAGTATTGTTTGCACCTCCAGCGTGGAAGGAGTCCAATCGAAAAAGCGAAGCCGTTTGGCATTTGGCTCTGTGAAGTGATGGACTGTTGGCGATAAATCTTATAATTCATCGTTCGATGTGCGCTCACCTTTGATTCTAGATATAATTCTATCCATTCGCTCTTGTTCCGAATGGAGTACACGCTCAAGATCTAGATCGTATACATAGTTCTTGCATTGGGAACAATATATATTCCCTGTCAACCAGTCCATAGCTAACGGTCGGATATAAACAAAAGTGTTGGCGTCAGTAAAATAACACCCATTCTTTCATCAGCCCAAGCCTCACATACAATCACCGACAAACTCACCCAACGTATGCCCAGTCTGATTCATATGCTCCTGAATATGTCCACCGCGATAACATCCGATATAGACGCATCCCAAACATGCATGCAGTCTCGCGGTGGAGGACGTTGAATTGCATGTACCACAAATAGGCATTGGAAGCTAGTATTTTGACAATTCCGTATTGGAATGGCGAAAAAAACGGAACAAGTAAAATTGCGGGCAAGTTCGTCAGTTCCATTTGATCAAATGCCCAGATCGCTGCGTGTCGCCTTCCATACCTGCTCCACATAATGTATTTCCTTATCAATCCATCCCAAACTTCTCTTCCTCTTCTTTCCACCAGATGTAGGTGTCTCCTCATCATCCAATCGGCACATAACTTTAAATTCTTTATTCTTCCTATTGATATGCAAATGCCCACGGTTGCGATACGACAGTGCATATCGGAAGCAGCTACGGTAATTACTGATTAGTTCTTGTGCAGCTGGGGATAGATGATGTGGAGGGTAATGTGAGGATGCAGGCGGTGTTTTCACTGCGGCGAGATGCGGGCATCCATGGATATTGGCACCGTCGGGAGACCGGTGAAGGGCGTAGGGCGAGATGCAAAGGGGGTCTGGGCCTATATTAGGACGGCTTGGCTTTCTGGACCCTTTGGGCATGGTAATGTGCGAGGTATCTTGTAGATGGGAAGCAAAATGTGCCGTTTACAGTTGATGCCAAGGTCGGGTGCAGTTGGGAGATTCCTGCTTACGGTGCAGGTGGAACTACGATGTCATCCCGTGTCTATTTCCATGGCAACAAAATAGCCTTGCTCCCCCACCAGCAGGCGAGTTTGCACTTGCCAGATCTGCCACATCGACATGCCCAAATTCAAAAGAGAACGACAGCGGTTCCATGCCAAACCAGTGGACATGGGTGCATCTGCCATGATGGTAGATGCCCCTGTGGTTCACAATCCTGCCACCAATGAAGAACTCATCACCGTCCACAGAACCATGTCTGCTGTTCCCGCCTTGTCTGAAGCAGACATTTTCGGTGCTGTTGGAAAAGTACGTAACAGCCCGATCTGTCCGTTCAAGGTCAATAGTTTCTTTTTTTGCTTACATCCTGCAAGTAGCCTGCGGACACTACAGGGCAGACCCAAAACGAGACTTTGGCTCGGACAGGAGAAACGGCTGATAACACAGTGCTTAAAAAGAAGGAAAGGCGACAACAGCGACATGAGCGCTGGCTGCAGAGTAAGCGGCGTTTTGATTATAATCCTCCTTGATTGCTCCATTAAGCAAAAGCGTAGAGCTCGGAAGTGTTTACATGTCCAAAACGTCATCCAAAAAGAAGAAGGGACAAAATGTCGGTACTTTGACATTGGACACAATAAAGGATATCCTGCCATCTGTTCTGGAAGAAGAGTCTCCAAAAGCAAAGACCGATGTGGCCCGGAAGAAGAAGGCAAAGCCAGTTTCTCAAAGTGCACGACAAGCAGCCGCGTACGTGTGGGGTGTGCGACCGACTGATATACGTATGGGCACTCACAGCGGTTTTCTCGCTTTTCAGGGTTAGCGAAATTGTAAGATTTCAAAAAGTTCTCCAGCATCCTACATTCAGAAACAACCCTATAGCGACCATTCGACAACATCTTCAGAACACTATTACACCCGATGGGACGTCAGCGTAGCTGTCATGTTCACGCATTTATTTATTACCTTTTCTGTCCTCCGTCTTCTGTAACATGGGGTTTTTATGACCTCCCATCCAACCACCGTGCGTCTCTCAAACGTGTATATATATCAGTAGCTTTTACTTGACGTGAATATTATTATTTCTATATCGACGTTATGGTACATTTATGTGAAATTGAGTACATGCTCATGAGGTCGCTGGGGTTTCTGAAGTGTCTTTGAGGGAGTTCGTATTTGTGAACACTGATATTCCATGTACTCGTACGTTCGGGGAGGCAACAGGACATGCAGAAGGAAACTACTCGTAGTAACATCCAAACACGATTGCCACAGCAAAAAGCGTCGCCTGCAATTGAGAGAACATGAGACTTCCCTAAAATGGCATGCGAAATATACGTCCGATCGACTCACATTCTTGAAGGAGACAGAGGCATACGAATCCGTGGTGGTATCCCATAATGCGCGTGAGGCAACTCGAATACCTTGACCCTTGAATTCACCGATTGTAACATCCACTACAAACTTGTAGCGCTCATAATCTAGTTCTACATATCCAATCAGCCCTTGACGATCATAGATGCGGTGTAGACGACTCAAGTAACATACTTTTCACGGCAGCAAGAATCTCATTCGAAATGGTTTGACACAATACGGGCACTTGTTCGCTGTCGTACTTCACTTTGGTCAAACTTTTTTGAAGGATTTCTTCTGTCAGTCTCCGGACTTGTCCACTTTGAAACCTGTATCCAAGAATGTCAATCAAAGCCCAAAGCACCGCCCATCTCCCATAGCAATGTCCATCATACTTTCTATCCGGCTTTGTCTTATAGGTATTCTCAAAGACTACGGCATTTACGGGTGGAACCTGCTCCTCCTGCATCGTCCCCCTGGTCAAATTCGTCCTCGAACCATGTCGAGATGCGAGAAGGTTGCTCCGCGATCCAAGAACTTGTCGCGAGCCGCGGAGGCCTGAACTGGGTGCTGTACCTGGGGCACTGGCGTGAGTTGAATGCTGCTCACGGTTGCTTCCAGCAGAATGCGGAGGATTATCAGATGTCTCTTCGGCTGCGGGCATACTTGTAAATGTTTTTATTCTGAGAGTTAGGATGTGGATTAATGGAACCAGTTGCGAGCAAAAGCGTGTTCGGGCGATGCTTGCGTAAGGAGATGATATTGATTTATAGTCAATTTATAGTCATGACTCAGCATGATGACGATGTCGGCGATTTCCAGCTTTCTTACTTTCCACACTTCCAGCTTTTTCATACCGACAATCATGTCAGATACACGCCCAGAAGCACTTAATTCCACCTTTTCCAATGACCCGCCCAACCTGGAACCGGATTCCGAAGACGACGATCACGCACCAGAAGTTGGGCGAGACAGCAATGGTGCGCCAAGATTGTGAAGCTTGGCGAAAGCTTATCTTTGCCAATTATTTTTCTGGTATTCTTAGAGGGCTTTTTGGACAACGTACCTGACGATACAACGGTATAAATGTCAGTTCATGCAAAGGGTTGTACTTGAAATGTCCTAAAGGATTGACTCCAACAGGAGTTGGACCTCATCCATGAACGCATAACAACTCTCGAAGGACTTGGGTTAGAGCGATTACACCAACTACAGGTTTGTCACTCGTTGCGTTTATTTCACTTTTTATTGTAATTAAATCAAACGGCAACACTTTAAGCGGCTCAGCTTGCGCCAAAATCTTATTACAAAAATCACGGACTTGAACCATCTCACGCAACTGGAGGAACTCGACGTGTACGATAATCGGATTACAAAAGTAGAAGGTCTTGATCAGTTAACAGCGCTGACGTGGGTTCTCTCAACTCTGTGGACGCTTTAAGTATGGCCTGGTATTGATTGCGAGATATAGATCTCTTGACCTGTCCTTCAACAAAATTCGACATATTGAGAATCTTGATACGTTACTCAACGTCACGGACCTGTATTTTGTCGCAAACAAGATCTCACGCATTACAAACTTGGGGCATCTTGTCAATTTGAGAAATCTAGAGTTGGGTGCTAATCGTATACGTGTAAGTCGTTTAAAATATCGAGTGTGATCTGGCAAAGTGCTAAATACTAATATTGGGTACAGACGATTGAAAACCTTGATAGTCTTGTCAACCTCGAACAGCTATGGCTGGGCAAGAACAAGATTGTGAAACTGCAAGGATTAGATAACTTAAAGAATTTGAAAATCCTTAGCATTCAGGTTCGTATTGCACGTAATCCCCTCCGTTGCCTCATTATCCTAATATTTTGTCACAGAGTAACCGGATCACCAAACTTGAAGGTCTGAGCAACCTTCATAACCTCGAGGAGCTCTATATAAGCCATAACGGAATCGAAAAGATTGAGAATCTGGAGATGAATACAAAATTACGGGTCTTGGATGTGGGAGCGAATCGGATCACCGATTTGGAAGGCGTACATCATTTGGACGCATTAGAGGAGCTTTGGGTGTGTTTTATTTCTCTCCCGACTTTTGACGTCTGCTTTGCAGGGAGATTGATAATTTGGCATCTTTAGGCAAACGATAACAATCTATCTTCATTCGAGCAAATCGAAACTGTTCTTTCGGACAAACAACACCTCACCACCGTGTATTTTGAGCGGAACCCACTCGAAAAGGAAGCAAAGGCCACGTACCGATTAAAGATCAAGACGATTTTACCGAGGGTGTTGCAGATTGATGCATCCATGGTCAGGGCTGCCTGATTCAGTTGGTTTCGTACTGTTTATATAGGAGGCGAGAGATATAGATATTTTTCGCAGTGTAGAACGTAACATTTGTTACAGAGTACATAGTATATAGGTTTCCAAGATAACCAAAATGGATCTGACTTTACATGGCCATTATCATAGCCACATGAACCAGTAGTATCCTCAAAGAAACCAATCCCTTTCATTAAAAGAAAAAATGGTATAGCAACCAAATACCAATCAACTCATCACGATCATCAACCATGCCAAAAATATTTGCACCCCGGCTACAAGGAAGAGAAATTGAATTCTTCTTTGTCGCGTAGGCTGGTCAATAGGGTTATAGCCTTCGGGGAGCATAATGTACTTGAGGGTTCGGAGCTGTTGTAATAGATTACTTAGAAGCTCTAGTAATGTGCAACGCAAGTGGTTGACACTTACTGTGAAAAAAGCTAGACACCCCATACTATATGCGAAAATGCCATAAAATGCCCAATTCGCGGGTAAAAAGATTTTCACAATCAGGGTTGCGATAACCCTATTCATCTCATCAGAACACCTTTTACCATAATGAACTGAGAACACGCTTACATACCCAATAAACTTATATCCACTGTACGCAATCAGGTCCAAGAAGGGAACTTCGGTTGTCACATTCAAGAGGTAAAATCCGAGCTTCAGAAACAAGACCTCGGTAAATACAATGAAGAAGGCAGTGGTGCCTGTCATTCCTAGGATATCTGGTGAAAAGCTACAAAAAAGTAAAGTTGAGTGGATTGGCCTCGTTTGACGAGACAGGAGAACTAGACCTACGATTTGGACAGTTTGCGATCCACTTGTGTTGGATCGCTTTTTGATGCCGCACTTTGTAATCCCAGCCGGACGCCCACAAGGAGAATATAGGTCACAAATGACATGACTGATGATCAAGGATATCAAGGATACATGAACAAAATGACCAGTGTTGGAGGTTGTCAGCTGTTCGTACTCACCGGGAATATACAAGTCGGGTGCATTGAGATCCTCTCGAGGGGGTTTGTATCCCTCCATCGCACCATTCTGCTCAGATCGACGGACCAGTCTTGTCCACGACTACTCAAGGTCTGTCAATACAGAAAAATGGACTCTGCCGCGGTATAGAACGTTTCTCTCACCTGATGACGAAATGGGAAGAGGAGGAGACGGATCTTGTTGAAGACATACGAGTTGCTAACGTTAAAGTAGTATTTCAAGTGTGGTACGTTGATCCAGCGATTCCACTATACGATGCTATCATGAGCACTCAACACGCCTCCTCATCGACTCTATAATGACAGTGACCCACATTTTGATTCAGATTCTCCTGAGCCTGCTGTAAGGCCTTCCCACCCAGCTGCATACCCAGCTGCCCCGCTGCACTAGTCTGAAACTCGTTGATGAAGTTGCTCCCAAAGTAGTTCTGTTGGGAAGGTCCTCCCATATGTTGTCCGCCCATGTGCTGCGAAGCTTGCGGTTGGTTCATATTGTTCACGTACGCATTGGATGCTGAACCTCCCACACCAAAACTCCCTTGATGCATCCCTCCCGCTGGCCCAGGTGTTCCCCTAGGCATTTGTTGTGCCTGGAAGCCGCCAGTTCCTCCCGCACTGTACGATCCCTGGTGTGTTGGTTGTCTATGATATGGTTGCGGTGCGTAGCCTAGCGTGGCACTCTGAGCAGGAGGGAATTGAGCACCGTACCCGGATTGCGAGCGGTTGGCCTGAATGGGGGCTACCCGTGGCCCACCCGCTGCACCTTGTGGTTGTCCAGTTGGAAGCTGTGGCGAGCTGGAGAATGATGTTTGGGGAGTTGTGAAGCCGACGGGACGTTGAGGATGTTGTGGGACGGGTGCTTGGATGGGGGGTGGAGACCATGAGGGTGTTGGTGGGCCACTGTTGTACATTGTGGTTAACGTTGAACCAGTGGACGCGATGAAAAAACAAAATGATTCGCCTGTGATGAGAGATTGATGTCGTGAACTTTTAGCGACGTGTCGAGCGGCCACTCGCCTTCCTTGTTACTATCACGTGACTCTCATCCATATTTCTGCTTTCCACCCGAGTTTATCAATATTCAACCAGTGCTCTCTGTTTATGCCTTTTACTCCATTATTTCTTACGGCCTTTTATTCAGGACTTTAATAAGTACATACGACTACATATAATAAAAATTATGTAAAGAAAAAATACTGACGATGTACACCATCTCAGAGAACGCTCAAAATCGTTGCAACAACGCCGGCTGCAAGCGTCACAATTCCGGCTTGCAAAGAACCTGCACCATTTCCTTTTGTGTTGGAGTTTGCGCTGCCAGAACCGCCACCGGTTTTGTTGACGGCATTGAGGGACGCGGGATCCAAATTGATTGGCCGGGCACTGTCATTCCATTTGCAGGCATCTGACGTGCAGAGGCATTTGCAGCCGACAGGGTCCCACCAGAGGGTGTCGCACGTGGTTGGGAGACGGCAGCGTGTGGATGTGCTCTGCGGTGATGGATTCGCCAGACTAGGATAAGCCGACGGGCAGCCGTAGCATGTCTACGTAAATTATCCTTTAGTCATGCTAAAGCGTAGACTTCATACTCCGTATTATGTCCTTACCCTGAATGGGCCCTCTGGTGGGTTGCAGGCCTCCGGCGCAGCATTGCCGGTTCCGTTACCGCCCAGCCCATTGCAGATACCAGTCGGGGGCGCTGGGTTGGGTGTGCACGACATGTAAGGTTGCGCGCCCAATTGAGACGCGGGAACAGGGTTTTTCATATATTGAATCAGCTGGGCGCCCGTTACCATCCACGTATCAGGTCTCGAGAGTGCATAATCCAAGAATGCTGCAATGGCCGCGAGTTTGGCAGTCCCGTCTGGAACAGAGGGAGGGACGCCTTTACCCAGCCAGATGGGGTGGACGTACACACCAAATGGCGCCTTTTGTCCGTTGTAGTGCTTATCAAATGTTGCTTTGTAATCGTTGGTGAGTTGCTCTGGCGTAAGGGACTGTCCTGTTGTGAGCAGGGATGTCACTGTAACCTAACGACAGATATGCACTCACCGGGGCAGTCGGAAGTGGATCATTGAAAGGATCCATGAGGTGCTGCTTTCCATCCGAACCCACGAAACCATACATGGGAATTTCCCACAACCCTTTTGTTTGCATGGTTTGACCACAAAGGTTGATAATGCCCAGACAATCGTTGACAGTGCCATAGTCAAGGGTGTATGGCCAGACGGCATCAGAATCAAAGGCCGACATGGAAGTTTCATACTCGAATCCCATCTTGGTCAGCATTTCCAGAGCATCCTTTGTATAGTTCAAGAAGGGAAAGCGGAACCCAGTAATTTTGCCCAACGGGATACCGGCCAACTCGTTGACCCACTTGCGCATGCCCTCCACTTCGGCATAAGTGCCAGTGAAAGGAGGTGTATGCGTGATGGTGTGATCGGCCACTTCGTTCCCCTGCGCATACCACTGTGTGACGAGGAACGGGTCGCTAAAGTTGACTTGAGTGTACCACGTCGATTTGACAGTACATCCGTTGGGATTTTTGCGGTTCAATAGAGACTGTGCCTGCTGCCAAGTTGCTAATAGAAAAGTGTGTCAGCACGAGCATAATGATACCTTTGGTAAATGAGTATGTTTACCTTCTTGAACGGCATCGTCAAATGTCAACAAGAGAAACTGAGGGGGATTGGCAACGGGAGGAGCCAAACTCGCACAACGACAAGCGGGCGGCTTGCAAGCATTTGGGTCGCCTTGATGGGGAAGACTCAACGTGAATCTCCAAAATGACAAACACTCGCCCAACCGTTCTACTTACAGTTGTAGTTTGACAGCTGTGCGGTTACGACCGAAGACGCCAGCAAGGCAAGAGCGAGAGGACGCATGGCAACCATAATGAAAAGAATAAGAAGCAAGAACCAGTACGAGATCTAGTCTAAAATAACAATAAAACGATGAGGTTAAAAAAGAAATGCCCTTGCCTTGGGCGACGGACCCCCGCTGTGGCAAAGCACCCCCACACGGCGTGACGAGGGATCCTGTAAACGGCCGTTCGCGCCTCCCTTTTTTATTAATTCTTTTAAAGAACGTTCTTTGTCACATGACATATATTCACAACTGTGCCTTATTTTAGTGGCACAGTCATTGTGTACCATGCAGCATCGCATTGGGCATTATCACTCTTGTTGAAGTCAGATACCCAAATGTCCAAAGGATTGGGACAAGATGACTTTCGAAAACTGTTGGCGACTCCACGCTCTGTGCTCCAGCAAACACCGCGGGCAGCGCAAACACCTCGACAGACCCCCAGGGCCACCAAGGATGCCGATGGGTTCGCCCAACCGGCACCAGTGAAGTCCAAAAAGAAGCTCTGGAAACCTCCGAGCAAAGAAGGCGCCTCCCAGTCTGACAATGGGCCAGGGTATCGAGACCGAGCACGAGAGCGAAGAGAAGGAGCAAATCCAGACTATGAGGAAACGGAGCAAATGCTGGCAGTCTTGAAAGCCAGTGAACAATCCCAAAACGCTGACCGGACCGAAACCGATACAAGTCTTTCCATTGAGCAGAGCAAATATCTTGGCGGTGATGCCAAGCATACTCATCTAGTGAAGGGTCTTGATTATGCGCTGTTGGAAAAAGTCCAACGAGAGTTGCAACAGAAAGATGCTGAAGAGAAAAAGGAAGAGGAGGCAATACAGTATGTTGAGCAAATCCACGGGGACGGTGGTTCAAAGTTCAACTCTACGTTTGCGGCAAACATTTACGAATTGGCGGTCAAAAAGGCAAAGGTGCAACCGCCGCTTCGCAATGAACTCTTTATACCGGGAAGGCTGGCCTTTGCTTGGGAACTGGGAACAATTGACGAAACGGGAGATTACATAGGAACGAGGGATATTCCCACATCGGTAATGCGAAGCAGGGCCGATGTAAAGGGCTACGACCGAAATTTTACCATTTCCGGTAGCGATCTGGTGATCGAAAAGGTCGCCTCCGTCGTGGCGTACTTGAGAGAAGGGAGTGGCACGGCTGGTGCTAATCCCAGCGGAAAGCGGCGAGTGAAACGAAAGGACAAGGAGAAAGGGCAAGCGCAAATTGAAAAGGTAGAGGAACCTGGAACCGCTAAACAGGCCCAGACTGAGGAAGAGGACATCTTTGCAGACGCAGGGCGGGAGTACACTTTTCAAGTGGAGGACCGAGGGCGTAGACCTGCCGATAGGGTTGTTGGAATGGGCGAATACTTTGACAGTGCTGCTGTCCTGATGGAGGACAACAAGGAGGCTAGTGATGGGATGGACCTGGACGTGATTGGCCCGGAGTCTGGTAACGCCTTGTCGACAATTCTTCAGGAAAGCGCAGGAATGCTGGACTCACTACAAGGGGATGGGGCTGCGAAGAAAATGGTTGGATCGTTACAAACCGCGGGCGGAGCAAAAATGCCAACCGACTTGGAGCAACCTTCCACAGGATCCACAACTGGTCACAAAAGGCAACACTCGGACCTTCTTCCTGCATCCGCTTTGGATGATGTGCAAGAAAACCATCTCGCTGATCTCGCCGATCTCGACGACTCTGCAAGTGACGCGGAAGGAGCCGATTTGAATCAGATGGACTTGGGTGTACGACAAAACAAGCGAAAACAGTTGACTCGCTTCGATTTTGATACCGATGAAGAATGGCAAAAGTACAAGGATAAGCAAGTGCATTTACCAAAGGCCGCCTTCCAATTTGGCATCAAAGCGAGTGACGGCCGACAGAAGTCGGGACGAAAAGGGGGCGAAGGATCTGGCAAAAAGAAGAACCACGACGCAAAGTTGAACCGTGAATTCCAGCAGTTGAATAAGGTCTTTACGGATAAGTACGGAACTGGGCTAGAAGATAGCGGTGGTGGACGTAATAAGAAGCAGAAGCGTGGAAAATAGTTTGGATTCCGATTAATAATTGAGAAGTCTGTTGCCCCAAAATGCTCATGTAAACCATTCTACACAAACACTGCACGGCGTCGTACATTTATCAGAGTAATTTTGAAAAGCCCTGGATCACGGCTACATGTCTGCTGACGTACTATTTAGTTGTCTTCTACACCCAAATGTGAGGTTAAGGTCAAGCTAATATTATACAATCCATAACTATTTAGGACCTCCCGTTTTCCTGTGTGTAGTACGATCCTTTTGCCGCTTGAAATAAGCTCCCAGACGCGGTCTGATCATACTGGGGTAGTGGAATGGCATAGCTCTAACAGAGGTATCCACCTCAAGCGTGCTGAGCGAATATGTCATACATACAAGAAAAGTGGGTATATTGACACAATTAAAGTGAACATGCCAAAATACCTGAAGCGACTGTAATCTCACATTCTATAGCACTAGACTAAGAACTCATCAAAATCCAGCTTTTCACTAAGTTCTGCGGGAGGTGTTGGATCAACCTGAGAAAGCTTCTCCTCTTGCGTTATGGAAGTCGTATCCCAACTATCAACGAGCTGACTGCCTAATCCCATGGTAGAATCAGTCGTCGGCAAAGTCGTGGTATTGGACGATAGACTAGACATGTCAAAACCGCCCACATCCAAACTCTCCATTCCGAATCCACCCAGCTCCATTGGAGATGAATCAAGCGAGCCCATGGAATCACCAAACATGTCAAAAAACCCTTGGGATTGGCTCGCCAACCCCTCCCCTTGTGCAGGTAGCGCGGTATCACTAAGGCTAGTCATTGCAAGAACATCCCCGCCGAGGCCGCTATTTGCACTTAAATCATCCAAGATTCCATCCAACTTTGCGGAGGCCTGCACCGGTGGTAGAACGTCTAATACCAAGTCCATATGCGACTCCGTCGGTACTTCAGGTGCGACGCTATCTCTGGAGCTTAATACAGGTGACAAATTAGGAATTCCGTCTGCTCCTGTCTTGTGGGGGTTATCGTCCACGTCATCCAATTCTGCATAGTCCTCATCTACAAAGCGACGGGGAGGGGCCCGACTAGCATACTTTTGTATCAGAGACTCGTCACGATACGAACGGGAGAGCGCCTCGGTAGTCGATGAGGAGAGGTCGACAAGAGTGGAATGCCAACGCGTTAGCAAGGATGTATACTGGGCGATAGCTGTTGACTTTTGTGTGATATCTTTCTGCAAGTGGGAAATTTCCTATCATATACATGAGCTTTGTTATCTCGTATGTCTTCATATACAAAAAGTGTGCCATACGTGCTGTAGAACGGTGGTCTCGTCGGACATTAGCTGCAAGCGGTATCGAACGAGATCAGACCGTAGCGCGTTCATATTATCGCGGAGGGATTCCATTGCACTTTCCAGCGCTTTTCAGACGTGAAAAAGTGCATCAGATTAGATAGCTTACAGAGCTTTTTAGGCCTGTCTGTCTCCTGAAAGACGTGAATTCCGTTGTAGTCACCTTCTGGCTGCTGGCGGCTTGAGTTAGACTCTACCAAAGGACTAATTCCCGTGTTGAGCAGGCCAGACCGAGCACTGGCCAAAGTTGCCTGGGCCCGCTCCAACAAAGCCGTCATGCTTCTGGGTGTGGGATATGGAACTGTGGTCATCGTGAGTAATGAATTAATGTGGAGGAATGCTCATCTGGGGACATTTAGGCTGAGGTTACCGGACTTGTTGGCATAACAACCAAGCCAGCGCGTAGGGGCTGGGGAAGCGCGCTCTGCAACCTACAGTGCCGGGGTTGTCATCCCACAGACTAGGAAGCGGAGACTTCTTTTCAACTCTTCTGCTCAACCAAAGTGGAATTCTCAGGCGGTGTGAGAAGAAATTTCAGCGAGACTGCGCACAATAATTACTACTTTTAATACGCGCAAGCATCGTACAAATCAGACTTTGAACATTTTTCGGTCGTGTACGCAATACAATGGCAGATGCCATCGACGGAGGCCATCTCGGCGAGACGGAGCATCAAGGACCGCTAGCAGCTACCAGCAATTCAGACCATGCAGCGTTTTCGCCCGGCAGCGCTGACCCAAACGTTGTCATTGCTCAAGGTTAATTTCGTTTCCTCAACCTGACCCGGTGCACCGCGTCGCTTGTTGCTTATGGTTGCTACCTGTAGAGTTCCAGTACTTGGTGGAAAAGTCGCAACAGCTCTTTGCCGGTCTTAGGTATGCAACCCGAGATGCGAAACCCATATGTATGGTTGTGATGCGAACGACAATTTCTTAGGGATGTCCCACCCACTGGCCGAAATTGGCAGCCATACTTTCAGCGTACCTTTGAGGTGCTGTGTATTTTGTGCAATCTTTTGACATGATGTATATATCTTGCTGATTATCAGTATATCGCTACTGATTAGGTATACCAAAAGCTATGGAAATTCCAACAAATGCACAGGTTGCTGTCGTTATCGTCTGTTTCGCATATGTGGTAACAACATTGGCTGAAACATCGTATAGATCCATTCTTGAAAACAAGGAATATTACGGACTCAAGAGATGGGAAATTGGTGAAGTGGCGTCGAAGATTGGCCGTAAGTATGCAGGCATACTCCAGTCCAATTCTTCCATTAGTTGAATAACGCTCCTCACGTTGATTACAGAGCTTTACTATCACTACTATCTTCGCACGAGCGAAACCAATTACCTACATGAGTCATGTGTTTTCTATGAGGCCGTGCGCAATCGACAATATTTTAAGGACGTACTGGAGGCGAATAAGTGAGAGTCGTTTATGGTATCAACTCCATGAGCCGACGGGAACCTGATCTTCTCTCTTCTGTAGTCCTGCGCTGGTTATTAAAAAGTTGCGATATTACGCCCGGTTCATTGTCGTGTGCTTGTTCCTCAACCGATATGATATGATACGAAAGCTAATGGAAGAGCTCACTGCGCTCGTTGATGAGTACACAAAAACTTTCAATCCAAATGACTCGGAGTGGAATGTGGTGTTGTCAGAGATATCGACATTCTTAGAGGTAGCCAGTTGAACATGGTGGTGGTATTCTAGGATGCTTGATGTTGATAAGGCATTCTGTACCCTGAAGGCTCAGAAGAAAACCACACCCGTTGATCTTGACGGCAACGCGTTGATTGCGCCAAGCCGGTTGCAAGTGGAAAGGACGCCCAAGTACGACAAGGACGGATCAACGCGGTTACGATTGCAAGAAGCGATCCTTGTGGGAAATTATCAAAATCAGGTAATGATGGAGAAGTGGAACTTGCATCCCGGTAAATACTAACTCAAGAAATGGCGATGTGGTTGAAATCGGATCTGTAGATCAAATTTTCAGAGTTGACCCTTGATATGTACAGGCTGTTACAGTCATTGGAGCGTGAACCGACACTGCTGGCAAGCAGTGGCAGGAGAGGTGGTCCTAGTGACGATGCGGCTGCAGGGGACAAGAAAGAAGAGGCCCATAATGATGAAGCAATGAAGCCTCCGGGTGTTTCTGGTGGTAATGCTGTTGGTGGAGACAATGCGGCTACACGCAGAACCAATCCCCACAAGTATCTATTATATCGACCGACATTTGCCCAGTTGATGTATTATATTGCAACCACCTTCAAGGTTTGGCAAGTTCAACTCAGTAACAATATGGACTCTATCAACTCAATGCTATTCTCCAGGACATCTCGGATAATTCAGCGTTGCTGCTATATCTTTCTGCCGACGGATCAAAGCGGGCAGTGAAATCCGACCAGGGCGATTCTGGTAAGTCATCCAGTATCTAGTTCTGGTCATTTCTGGATGACCTTAATGTTCCGTCCAAGTTTTGTCATCTGGCTATTCTGGCGGGGTGGCTACGGCGGTGAATGTCAAATACGCACGCAAATCTCCAGAGAAGGCAGAAGCTGAACAAACTCCCCTTATTCACTGCCTGCATCCCAACGACTTGATTCCATTTACGCGCAAACCAATGTTCGTCATTGTTGATAGTACCAATAGTATCGCCTTTAAGGTGCGTTCATAAACTTTCTGGGAGCCAGCCGTGTGACACAGCTGATCTGACGTTCGTCCATATCTTAGGAATTCCCCAAGGTCTTTGGTCAGCTGTTGGTCTTTCTTATGAGTCCGACCGAGTATCCAGCATCCATCAAAGGTAAAACGTTGGAGTAAACGCACGATAAAGTAACACCTCAATAACGCCCATGTATGCAGATAATACGCAAATAGGCAGTCTCTTCACCCTCTTCCTTCACGCCCCAGTAAAAGCATTTGCGTTCATCTCGGATTTGACAGAAATCGCAAAGGATGTTTGGGAGAAGTGCATAGCTCAAATTTCAACCGTCGAGACCATTATCGGCGACTTATTTGACAAGGAGCCTGCTCTAGGTAAATTTCATAGAATGATTTAATTGTTTTATATTTCGCGTGAAAACTAATATCCCTCTTTCATTTTAAAGATAATACATATAAACGCTTTCTTCAAGACGACTTTTTGCGACAGTTCTTGATACGATATGTCTTGTGTGATGCATTGCTTCATGCACATAACAGCTTCAAGGATCCTCAGGTAGTATTATCTGCGGCTTCAGTACTTCTCACTAGCTAATATGACGCTTCTCAAAACCAGCATTTCCCATCGTGTTTCCCGGCGCTTGTACCCACGATCGCGACAGCACCTGAACTTACCAGCAAGCTTCAAGAGTTGACAGTGATGGCTGGTGTAGCTAATTTGTACACAATTGCGGCGCCGACTGATGCTCCACCGTGATGTGGAATGGTTGGCTTATATAGATCTTTAGTTTGCGATGAGTATTCCAAAGTGCTCTTTTGTGTTTTGTTTTTCTGAAAACGTGACGAAGTGGTGCGATCAGCGAATACACAATCTTGTTTTTTTGTTGTAATTTAATGGTTGTCTGAAGTGTTATAGCGGCGTCTGTTCTGTTTTCGGTATCTCGCTTGATGTTGGCTGGGGGTCTGAGATATATTACAGCTATTGCGAGAAGCTTGTGAATCATCAATTGTGTTCCGCCGGGGTAGTAAGTAAGCCCTTTGCCTGCTTTCCCGTTGTTCTATCTAGCATATGTGTGGTCGACATGGTTTAATGGCATTAAAAACAGCTCGAGTATGCTTGACGACGCAAGTGCACTTCGGGCAGCACGGCCCATGTGTGATGTCGAAAAAGGACTATGAGATCTCACTCTGGATAGCTAATCTAATCGGGAAGATGGTGGTAGGTGGGCACACATTTCCCTTGGCCATGACAACAACGTAGTGGCAACAAGATCAATCACAGCAGATCCATATAACAGGTCTTTTTTTGCAGCTTGCTATCGCATTTAGTGGGATGTGCAAAGTAGATGATTGCCATATGTATTCCACTTGGGACAACAACTCACATCTGCGTTTGTCTGCGGATCTTAAGTTTTCAAAAAGGTTACTGGTTCGTTTCGTCCGCAATTGCTAAAACAAAGTGGTAATCATAGTTTCATCGCAGGTTTGTTTATATTCTAAAAGACCTATTTCACGTCAAGGCTTACACGACGTCCATGCATGGGGCCCACACACCAAAATGTTGCTTCTGTAGTATACAAGAATCTGCACGAAAGGCTTGCATTCTACCTGGACACAAAAGATAAGAATATGGCGCTCCTTGACTAGCATTTTGGTAATAGAAACCGAAGTTGATCGAGCGAATGCCAGATGGGTGAGGTAAGCCACGTCCCCGCCACCTCCGCCATGCCATCCTTCCAGATCTTGCAGTGAACATCACACAATAAAATGTCTGAGGACATTTACACATTCCGCCATTTGCAAGACAATGAGGTCGACGCTTTCCTCAATCATTTGGTGTCAGTCTTTTCGTCGCGGCCTGGTGGTGTACCGAAAGGCCTTTTCGCGGACCATTTTTTGAACGATCCCGACCGTGACCTTGAAGGCATTCGCGTCGCGGTTCATCCCGGAAATGCGTTGAAGAAGGATGAGGTATGGCGGGGACTATACTATCAATGTTCAGAGCAGTTACTTGTCGTCGAAAGCCGTTATTCACTACTGCGTAGATTGTGGGAACAGTTCGTGTCTACCGTCGCACGCTAAACCTCGGTCCTTTTGGTAAACTCTCGTGCGGCGCGATAGGCGACGTTGGAACGTCTCCAGCTCACGGTGGCAAGGGAATCGCCTCACGACTCATGCGAGAAGCAGAGGCGTATATGATCGATCGGGGCATATCCGTAGCTGTCCTCCACACTGGATCTGCAGCAAAGCTGTATGCCAAGCTTGGATGGTGTACCTGCCCGATGCGGATGAGTACCTTGTCCTTTGAAATAGGTGAACTGAAGATCGGAGTAGAGAAATGGATGCGGTATGCGCGACCCGTGAATGTCGAGCGCCGAGCAGATGTTAGTTTGATGCGACTGCTACATGAAAAATTTGCCCCCGTTGGCAGCTTTGTTCGATCTGAAGCGTACTGGAGGGAGTGGGTGAGCGCAGATCCACAGGACACCCGGCGGAAACTTGTCAGACATGTTTTGGAAGCAAGTGTAGACGGAAAGGTTGTACAGGCATACATGTTCCTGGACATCTCAACACTTGCGGTGCAACAACTTCTGACGTCGGGGAAAGCGGAAACCCCCGTGGTTTCAACCGTACGGGAGTTCTTTGTGGGTCGTGTTGAAGGGGGTACTGTATCGACTGTACCACGAGAGCAGTTTGTTGGAATATTTGGCGCGCTGCTCTTGGCTGGTGTCAATACCATATTTGATGAGAGCATCATTGTTGATTCCATGCAGCTAAAAGTCACCTTCCCGGCCATTCTGATGCCAGAAGCTGCCATGGATGCAATCCGCGATGCTGATTTGTACGATTGGTTGGCACCACAGAAACGAGTTTTTTACGAAGACCTGGGGTGGATGTGGAAAGTATTGAGGCCATTCGAGTTGGTCTCCCATGAGGAAACATGCACCATTACCTCCAACGAGGAATTGGTTCAGAAACTGAAAAATCCCATCAGCATCCTTTCAATTAATAGCGGTCCGATTAACCCCTATGGATTCCTGAAAACTGACGACTTTTAGAATTAGCCTAAATGTCCACATAACCACATTTAGTTTAGCTTCATGTACATACGCTAGGTTGAATTGAATTATATTTCGTAAACGATAAAAGTATGTCTATATATTTGCACTCGTCAAATCCGTCTATGTTCCATGTCCGCGCCATCAAAAGGATGATGCTAGCGGCTTTATACAATAAGCAACAAACCGCCTCTCAGGCTTGCTGCAATTTAACTTCCTCCCCATCGTCTCCAGTTCCTCGTCCACGTGTCCATGCTGCAATCTTTTGTCCATACACAGCGGGTATCAGGGCCAACGCCGATATGCTCAGCAACTTCAGGACGACATCAATACTTAGGATGTCGGCAAAAGAATTGAGCTGGCTTAAAGTAGCGGCGGCTTGAACACAAATATAATTATACGGTATCAGGCCTATTTGCACATGGAAATGCAGTTAGCGGGCAGTCGACAAACTCGTTGCATGCGAGAGTATCTTTCCAAATACATACCAAAGAATATGGAAAGGAAGAATGGCAGAATCGGTACGCCAACAAATGGACTCGCCATATTAAGAAACCTGTCATGAAAATCATAAGTCACATTGCTATACGCCTTCTGCTCAATAAAGATGATCACGAACCAATTTGGAGAAAAGGGAAAGAGGCGCAAAAATAACAGATAATAGAATAGATTTCCTTTCTCCCGGTTTGTTTCTACCCTTCGCTTTAGGTAGTTGAGATTCGACCGGGCGAACCGTTCCACGATCAACTCTCCCAGGAGATATTGAGAAAGCAAATACGAAAATGTCGACCCTACTGCTGTAAGGAACGATACGAGAGGGAAGGCCCAAAAACCATACAAGACGCCACCGAGAATATTCTTTCCGTGCGGATTCAGTACATTTCTAACGAAATGCAAGGTTGATAGTGCATCAACTTACCATCAAGGCCGACCCGGGGACCGCAAACGTTTGCTTAAACACGAATACGGTAGTGAACAAAATGAATACAGGCATAAAGTGCGCTGCAGAATATGATTGTCTGCAAAGAGCAAAACACCAAAGAAATTGACCAATATTAGCGATCCGAACGAGTGACAGCTGATAAAGCTCGGCTGATACGTACAATAGAACTGATTGACTCTTTAGATCGTCGAGGCTCCTTGGAATATGTATGTCATCCTCTGTGGCTGGCAGATTAACGGCAAGACGCCAAATGACAAATGCCCAGCCAAAGAGGACACCAGCGAGCATGCTCAATCGGACAGTGAGGAGCGATCGCTTGCCAGCCCTTCTTCGATTGTTACGGATATCAGCGGGACCAGGAAGTAGCATTTCGTTCTCTTTCAAAGCTTGGGGAAAAGGAGATGGTGCAGATGCCGGACGGGTGTCAAAAAGGGATGGTGCGGAAACGTCGATGGCAGAGTCCTTTAAGGCGGTGTATGATGCTCGTCTTGCAAGCTTGACACCGGCCATTGCGGGTTACCGATAGTGTCGAACGCGTTGTGCGCTGCAGCTTTGAAGCTGAGGGCAGAATGGCAGTGTATATAGTATAGAGATAGGACGAGCTGCCACTGCGCTTCCTGATGTACCATCCACAAAGGGGCGATGCAGGTGTAAGCTATCTCACGAGAGGGTATTTCAATAATGCCCAGTAGGAAATGTAGAATAGAAGGTTGACGGATTGCAGTAATACTGAAGGGCTCTTTAAAATAGAAAGCGAAATTGTATGAGGTTTTCGGAGGAGGATGCAAACCCAAATGGGAATCGAGTCAAAACGCTGATCTCACCCTTTCTTCAAAACTGTTTTTCACTCCGCTCTTCCAGTCCCGGGTTCAACGTTCTTCCTTTTCCGGTGTCGTTTCTTCCTTTCAAAGTTTTAAGCGCGCGCCCTCCAAAAATAAAAAAAAAAACACGCAAGGAAAACGTGAAGGAAGGAAGGAAGCTCGTCGGCCTGTGAAAAACTCCCCTCAGCCGGGGACTCCGATCAGAGCGCGCTGGATGACGTGTAAAAATTGTTATGGCAACCCGTGGCACAGTTCAGCATTTCAGCCGCTCGTTGCATCCCAACGCATTGCCAAAAGGCATTGCAAAACGATGATGGATTCTAAACGCTGTCCATCCTAGAGCAATGGCCAAGTTTAACGGAAAACTCTTGGGTTCATGTGTTTAACATTATAAAGGTCCCTAAAGTTGCGTCCCCTATATACATGGTTTTATAGTTTGGAGATTTTATTAAAGACTCCTACCGTTTGTATTCAAACGTCCCGCGGCAGTAACCGGACACGGTTAACAAGGGCGATCTTTGATTCGTATTGATAAGGATACAGTTGAAAACGGTAATGGAGAAAATCGCTGGCAACAGACGGTTTCCCCTGCTGGACAGCACCAACCTATGTATCTCGTTGGTTTAGATAGAGTTCTGATGAAATGATGCACATTGCCTTGCATATACCTTATTTACGGATGGTAACTCGTTGCTTCAAGGAGCAACCTGCTCCTCCAAGTCCTCCGGTTGTTCCGGAACGACACTTGTCGTATTGTATGGATCGTTTGCACTTCTCGATACGGAAATCCCGTATCCCTTTAACAGCCGCTTGATCGAGATCAGAAATACACAAGCAAACGTCATATGGAACGAAATGGTGGTGTAGCTCGCTTGAATCAATACCCTGCTCAGAGGAGTTTCCGCTACTCCACTAGCTGTATTGAAAATATAGACTATCATCGCTGTCCAACTCATTAGCACGAGGCCGACCATGGCGGAAATCGTTCGAATGTGCAGGCGGTTGTTGTCATCGAAATGTTCCGAGCGGGTCCCGCTTTTCAATTTCCGCAAGCGTATATACGTTAAAGAAGAGAGAATGGTGTCGGCAAGGAGAACATACAAGGCAAACACTGCGTTTGCAATGCTGATGGCCGAACTGAGAGGATAGGGATCCGCTGAATCGATTGGCAGAGTACGTTGGTAGATCTCGCATGTCACTACTGTGGCGAATGTCCCCGTGAAGACAACCAAGGTTAACTAGACAAGGGGGATGCACTATTCATTTTAGTTCAATCAAAGGACATTTGGCAAAAACGATAACTTACCCCGATCATCAACATGTCCCAGAAATTGCTATACCATCCCTGATTCACTAATCTGAAGCGAAACAGTAGCAGAAGAACATGTATCAAAATGCCCACCAAAAAAAACCCATCCGTGATGATATTGAGTATTTGTTGATACCGGATATCGGATAGGCGGAAGGCACGGCAGATGTTCATAATGGTGAACATGAGGATAAGAACTTGTTCGATCGCAAGACCCAAAGTAAACACTGTGATTTGACAACAAAGCCGCCAACACGTGTATATGCAATTGCATGCTTGAACAACGACCGCTATAATGGCGAGTACCAAGAGTGCAGTGTCGTATGGTGGAGGGAGCGGATCCGTGGGCGATAAGCTCATGATCCGAGGTCGGCCTGAATGGCAACCTGCAGGATCCCCGGAAGAGACGACGGGGCACGTACTCAGAACCTCTTCAAGAACCGCTGAACGCTGTCGTCAGCATCGATCACGGGTAGTTGACATGCAAAAATAGCGAAATCTTCTTTGCGACGTGGACCCGAGTATTTCGAATGGCCAAATACTGATATACTGATATACGAGGAACTCTATTTTCCAGTTTGGGTTGCTCAAGCAATAATCTGGTAGTATATCACCATAGCAAGAGGCACGAACGGGGGTGCCTGAAGTGGCTGGCAAACTCCGGCAACTATTCAAATCACAGTGCACTGCATTCTGTCTCCCAGTGGAGTTTATTTCTGATGAAGGGTCGCCCTGGGGGTATACGTCATCAATAGCACAACCGGGAAATAAACTCGGAGTTTGCAACGAGTCTGGCTTGTTACAATCTTGTGAGGAATGACACAAAAAGAAATCTTTTGTAAACCTGCGCAGGCATATCCGCCGTCGATTTCCAAAAACGCGAACTCGAAAAGCCGACAATGTCTTTAGAAGATCGATGAGCTCTTTTGGGACACACAACGTCGCTATTCTGAATACTAAAGTATTTACAAATGCGAGAGACAAGCTGCACGGATCTCATGGCGGGTTTTCTTGCAGAATCACGCCATACTGTAGACATATTCAGGACTTTTTCTCGATGCATATGCAAGGATTACACCTTTCATTAAATACAAAGGTTAAGAAGATAACTCACATGTTGATCAGTAACATCATCCTAATGAGATGTTAAATTGACACAAGATTTAGGCAACACCATGAAATATATTGATAACGTGGTTAGTATCCAGTTTACCATTATTAATGGAGTACCTCTTAATAATAGACGCAAACGAGCAATAGATTCTTTGAGGGAAAACCTTTACAATTCAGATATCATGATACCGACCACAAGGCTATATGAAATACTTGTATATATCTCAATCAGCACTGTGAATAACGATAACAAGCCTCGTTTGCCAGATCCCAGGAAACCGGCCGTAAAGGGGCCTCTTCCCTGAACTTAAATGTTAAACATATCATTGGAACTGAAAAACAGTTTACCTGCGCAACTGACCCAAAAAGCGACGCGAGCATCGGTGCCCGTGACCACTTTTTGAAGTCCCTAGCCCTAGTCCTCGGAAAGCCCGGGCTATGCTGTCCTGATAGATTGGCGCTGGGGAGGAATGGAGAAATGCCAGTGTGTCACGATGTTCGGCAACCTGAAGGCTGATGTTGCTAAAAAGATGGACCAGCGGCTATGAGGTGTGCGATATTCAGGGGACGTATGAGCCTATTAGTCCTATTGATTGGCATCTTTGTATTACACTAGCAGAAGAGGCCGGCGTCACGATCATCATTATTAAAAGAATAAACGACCCCACTCAGGATTCTGCAAAACCACCAATGTACTAGCGCCTTCGCGCCTCAACCCCGTCATTTAGGAATAGGGATCTAGATATACCTTTAAAGGGAGCGATAGGTGTGACATGAGAGAGCGGAGCAGTTTGACCTAGAGCAGAAGCAGGCGGGATATAACAATAATTGTGCATATATTGAATGGATTTATAGGCCCTGTACTGGGTATGAATGGGTAGAGTAATGCTGCATCAAATTGCCGTAGAATATCCAACGGCCAAATAACAAGGAAAAGCCAAAGGAAAAAGTCCGTCGGACGGGAGAGTTTGTCAGCATTGCGTAATCAAATCAGAATGTGATTCGTGTCTCGAAACGGCCCCTTCAGTGTGCTGTCAACAACCGCGCCCTATTTTCTCTTGCTCATTTCTCATCCCTTGCGCCAATTAAAAATTCTGAATCTTGCCACGAAGCTTGCCCGTACTCGACTGCAAGGCCCACGTACAAACCTCTACTAGCCCGTTTTATATAAGACCCGTTTGGGCATTCTATTGCAAACATGATGCATCAACGCCCGCCGACTTCGCCTCACGCATTCGGTTTCCGTCCAACTGACTCTCCTTTGCGCAGCAGTCGTAAACGGAAGCCGTCCTGGGACGACGATGCAGGCTCTCCGGTCATGTCAGGACTGGGGTCTCCGTTCTCTCCTTTGACACCCTCGAAGAGGTTTCGGACCGGACCGTTGGACCAGACTCTTTTTCAAAGATTGCAGGCCATGCACAACTCGCACGAGCAACAGCAAGTGCAACCTAAAGAACCACAACAGCAGAACATCCCCCTTCCAGTTGAACGTTTGCTGAGTAGCTTAACGAAAGACCAGCTGGTCGGAATCATTTCGTCTTTAATTCAAAAACATCCTGTTCTCCAATCGGAAGTCTCCGAACTCGTCCCCCGCCCAACGCTCGCTTCTGTCGCTGCTCTGCTAAATCAAGCTGAAAAGTCGCTTGTGGAGGCCTTTCCATATTCTAAGCTTGGCCCAGAACGGTCAGACTACGCCTTCAACCGTGTCCGGCCGCAACTCCAGGAAGTTTTACAGCTTATAATGCACTACCTCGATCACTTTGTCCGATCCGATTCATACCCATCATCAATGCACCACGATTATCCTGCAACAGCATTTGGATACTTGCATCTTGCCACTGCATTGACGCACCGTCTTCCTGTTTGGCAAAATGATATTCACAACGAAGAAACGAAAGGGCAACTCTACGCAAGACTGGGCAACGGATGGAGAGCAGCGGTCACCGAAGTTGGAAAATTTGTAAAGGAAGGAAAAGTATACGGAGCAGCTGCGGTTGGGGAATGGGCCAGAAACTTGCATCAGCACTCTGCAGAGGTGAAAGGCGCATACGGTTTCGGAGAAGCTTTTGAAGAGTTCAAGAGTCATTTGGGTTGGCTGATTGGTCTATATCCGGCTGGAGAGGATTCTTCTGGTGCTCAAGGTCCTATGACCTTGAGTGGGGCATATTTTGCTGCCTTTCCCATGGCGGCGGTTGGCTAGCCATGGTTGGGAGGATTGATTCGTAGACATGTGTAGATTGCGGTGCAAGGATGTTCATCATGGAATACGTATTATATTCGTGTACACGTTTGTTGATGCTGAGCTGCAGAGTTCATCCATTATCATAACGTTACCATCTACTTAACCGTCCTGCATGTCCACACACCCCACTGAAGGGCGATCAAGGCGGTCCCGCCCTGACAATCTCTTTTTTAAACTCTTCAAAATCCACGTCCGTCCACTTTTCTGTTTCATTGGGAACTTGATAGTGGGCGATTATTTATACAGGACTCGAGAACGACGAAAAAAATGCCCAGATTCATCACCCTACCTGTCTCAAACTCGTCGATGGAGGGTATATGTTCAGGGGGTATCTCCAAATCTGACGCATACTGGCATGTCAGGTTGCCAAAGTATGACCAACGACCCTGATAAAAACAGAAAGAAACAATACTAACCGTCGTCCGGGAGCACTTCGGTAGCCCAAGAAAAGTCCTCTCGACTCAACTCAAGGATGGCGACATTTCCGTGTACATGCACTTGATAATGCCCGTCGGACTGCGCGAGAGACAGTTAGCGAAAGCTTTCAGGTAGAGGTCACTTAACGCTGCGGGTGGATGGGAGGCTTACCATACTACAGACGGGATCTGAGTCGTCTGCGGTACAACGTACTGCTGCCCCGTGGACAGGTAGGAGTTTAGCGCAGGAACTCGTTCCATGCTTACAAGACAGTTGAGGTTTGGGAAGTTGCTTGCATCTTCAGCATCACGTGTCGCGTCGTCGTCGTCTACTAAACTCTTCAGCGAATTCCGTCCTGTTGCTCACCTTGCAGATTTCTGCACTTTCTCCAAAGCTACATTCCTTTTTGAGATCCTTTCCTAGTTCGTTCTATCAGACACCTGTAGACCGCAGCGTCGCAAGCGTAGCGATCTTCCTTGATATCACCGGTTAAAGTATAGATCAGTCCCATGGCGACCATCTCAAAACGACAACTGGATGAGACACTAGCCGCTTTCGAGACTACCGTGTCCGGTGCCGATGCTACTGTCAAACTCAAGGACGATAAATTATTTGAGCGACTAAAAACCTTTAAAATATCCTACTTTGTTTTGCATTTTTGGCCCCTGGCTCGTTGTTCAGTTATATGTAAAAGTGCTTAACTCTTCTTTACGAAACTACTTGGTTCGCAAAGTCAGATGATCTTTCTGCACCTGTCTGCGCCCGTTACGGATGGATTAACAGAGGATTAGAGACATTATACTGCCCAACGTGCGAGAACACGCTTGTGTGCGAGATCCCGGCAGAGGCGTCTCCAGAGGAAGGTTCGTGCAAAGATATTCCCATGCATACCCTGCCATGGGTGTGCCGATGTCGGTACAACCCACATCCCTGGGGTATACTGCTATTGCAAAATAATGAACAAAGATTCGCATCCGTAGTGTTGGCAAAGTCGAAAGAATACCGAGATAATCTGTTAACCGCCCATGGAGAGTCCTGCCCTTGGGCAATCCATCACTTGGATGGTATGTCATTTGATCGTCGCATGGGCGGTATGCGACATCTGATGGCCCTTGCACCCAGACACAGCATATCGATTGCCGTTGAGCTCTCCAGCGCATACCATCCAAGCATTCCGCAATCGGTACAAGGCGTTGTCACAACATCCACCGTCAATACCCAAAATCGTTTTTAATGAATCACAAGCTGGTAGATCTGTGAGTTGTCCCATAGCAGATATCGGCAGTCATGTGGAAGCTGATCCTTCGTTTTCGTTTTCAAAAGGTCAATGTCGATCTTTTACATCAGAACTTGCACGTCGATGGCGACGAGTCAGAGGAGCTAACGAGGAGCTGCATTCTATTGGCATTGTTTGGGTGGGAATTTCCTAACGAGCAAGCTACCGATTTCCTTCAATGTCGACTGTGCGCGAGAATAGTGGGATTGTGGAACTATGATCATATTGTGACTTTAACCGATGCGGACTCTGCCGATCGCCGAAAGCGAATAAAGGTGGCACAGGATATCAGCGTGGAATTGCCGTCGCACTTCGACGTTTTGTGGGAACATAGGTATTGATCACCATCCAGCACATATTGAGCGAAACTGACGATATGCTTTGGTGGTAGGTCATATTGCCCATGGATATGTACTCCGCCCGGAAGTGGTCAACAGAAACTGGGATGGATCGCAACACTTGATACTGTGTTGTCAGCAGGGAAACCAAACCGTTTATTGGCCCATATGCCTCCACCAATCCCAAAGGTAAGCAAGGATAATCAAAATATTAAATTATACGGAGACGCTACAGTGCAAACGCCCAACACACACAAGGTCACCCGAACAACGACTGCACTTGAATCAGCATGAACACCATATACGCATTCTTCCGTACTACAGGAAACCCTTCGACTCGGCATTTGTACAATGTGAAGTAACCATTCTTTATCAAATCATTTTTTATGATTGACTTTTTACCCCTGGGGCTGGATCTGATGTTGTTGTTGCTGTGACGCTTGATTTTGCTGTTGCTGTTGGTGGTCACTATGCGATTGTTGAGCCTGTTGGGCCTGCTGAGCTTGGTGTGCTTGTTGCAAGGCTTGCATTTGGTTTTGCAGCTGTTGAAGATAATATTGATGTTCTGCGGTCGAAGCCTCTGTTTGTGCGTGATGTTGCTGTTGCTGTTCTTGTGATGATTGGCTTTGATGTTGCGCATGCTGGACATCCTCTTCGTGGTGGGCTTGGGCTTGTGAAGACTCCTCATCTCCGCCTTGTTGTTGTCGGATCATCTGCAGGCCCACCTGATTACCCTGTTTCTCATTCGTGAGCTTGATTTGTTCATGTCGAGCAGCCTTGCAGAAAAACCCCTACCTGTGGATTCGCGAGCTGATATGCGAGCAACGCTTGCTGCTGTTCTGGAGGAAGACTCTAAAATGTACAAACAAAATGTTCAGCTCCTTTCAGAAAAGTCTTCAGTGGAACACAATTGATATTACCGCAAGGTATTGTGTGGGATTCTGATAATATGCATACGTGGCCGGAAGATCCTGGTAAAACTCTGCGGTTGAGCGGACGATTGGGGTCTGTCGCAACTAATAGAAGTGCATACCTTCATGACAGGCTTATTGATCTCATCGCGTGGTACTATGTCGATCAGAACTGATTTACGTCCGAAATTAGCATGAGGTTACACCTGGAAATCATCTACAAATGATCATATTCTTACAATCATACATATCCGCCTTGCTGATTGCCGTTGCCACATCGCTTTTTTGTAATGTTCGTCGTTTGTGTTCCTCCGTATGAATCCATGACCGCATCGTGAGTTCAAGTATGAATATCTCGCATGCTTTAGAAAATATCATTGGGGCTTCCGCACTAATCATCTGCCACGTCCATATGTCAATGTGGATTTAAGGAAAGACCGCAATAGATTGGCGTTTCAAGAGCTTACCATAGTCTAGAGACGCAAATGGTGTGAGTAACACTGGAAGCGAAGAAAGAATATCCGAGTCTTCACTAGGCATCACCTTTGCATCTTCATCCGCCTTCATGACCTTCTTTACTCTAGCTAAAGGGAGTTGGTGGAACTTGAAATCCAACGGGCCGTGTTCAATATCCGCAATTTGTTGCTACAAAAGACAAAGAGTCAGACCATCTAGTTCAGGTTCGCACCGCTTCGGGTTGTTTGCTCAGGTTACCTGCCAGAATGACTGCATCATTTCTTGTATTTGCTGTGACGTTGCTGTACTCGGTCCTCCCGCTGCCCCTGATTGGTCTGAACTACCCTGCCCACCATCGCTAGACGAGTTCGTTGGTGCTTGGTCGGTCATGGTGTTGGTAGTGATGTTGGCAAATCACGATCGAAAGTGCAAGCGCACCTTGCCCTGAGGACGAAGGGAGGCGTGGGACTTGAGGTTTGTGTGACAGAAACGTGACTTGACTTTTTAGGGTTTAATTGCTTCTGGGCCGGTAGCCAGACTACTGTAACTTTAACTGTAAAATTTCAAACATTCCTGGGATAGTAAAAGTATATAACTAGATAAAAGCAATTGAAGAGATGCTGGAAAAGTTTGTTTCCTTGCAGCTGAGTTGCGCTTAATAACGACGAGGACCTGAGACCCGTAACGACAAACGACAGCGAAAATGCTAGGATTCTGAGCATATTCTAGCGATGCAAAAGATACATCGCTCGATATTTTTCGCAGGAAAAACTCATCTTTAGATCAATATAGTGTCAAGAAATATCTGATAACTCCATACAAAGACAGTCACGAACATGTTTGTTGCAGTCCAAACCATCATGCCAGCGATGCACCAATCTAAGGGATGAGTTCTGCATAACTTGAAAGGACTGGCTAGATGCATTATCATTGTGAATTGGATGACAAATGCCATGTGAGTCGCTTGCCATCACTCTCGCAGCTTTTTCCACGGCTTCATCATAGCGTTGATAGCTTCTTCATCGTCTACAAGTAACTTGTAGTTGTATCCTATGTTGAATGCTGATTGTCGCCATACGGCCAACAAGATGGGTGGTGTCATTGGTATCAGCAAAGGTTCTTCTCATTTTCCAGACATTTCACTATTCTTGACAACATCTACGTAAAAGGCTATGTCTCCATCAGAGCACCGTAGTCGAAGCGAATTGATGAGCAGTTATGACAGGAATCTAGCACAAAGGGAACCATCTGGACATGCAATGAGGAATGCAATTACAGGGACCGTTCCAGCAACAAATTCATCTTGGACCCTTGACATGCCGGTTGACAATGCATCTTGGATGCTGAGTGTCTGGATTTTCTAGTCTCTAAATTTGCTATTAAATGACTCCCTGACTGTGTGAGTTGGATGGAGCTGAGTTTAACAATATTAGCAATAGCGCTGAAGTGTCCTGAGCAGCAATTTACATTGGTTAGTTGACTTGCATGTTACTAGTTCATATGCGCAATTTATAGTGCGTGGAGTGAACCCTGCAAACGCAATAGCATGGCAAGGATGTAAGGCTTCCTCGGGACGATATGCCGAACAAAGAGGGAGGCCCACAACCCGCACTCACGGCATTGACCTGTTAAAAGTCCGTACCTTGGGTGTGCCTGCTCGTACCAGCGAGGGTCCGCGTTCATGACGAGGTGAAGGTCCCCAATTCCCAAACCAAACCAAAATGCATTGGTTCTATTCCAAGAAACCGATATTAGGCATTCGACTCACAACATTGGACGTTGCCATAGAAACAACACTCCGAAATCTTGACCCAGAACTGTCTTGAGATCACCTAGAACTGAAATGGCATTTCTTACACGGTCGGCCATGTTAAGCTTAAACCGATGTCGGTCAGCGACACGGCTGTGCCGTACGGCGTCAGTCTTTGCTTCAAAGACACATGTCCGGTCACGCCCTGCTTCCATGTCAACACAAGCCGCAAGTGGATCGACAACCCGACGAGGGGCGACAGTACGTAAACGAGAAGAGCACTTTGGGCGATAAGAGCTGGTTTCTCTTTCTTGGAATTCAGTTTGTAATGTCTTTGGTGTTAAGGTTATTCCGAACGCGAGCATGCCACGGCCCTCAGGATTTCCGTCAATTGCAAAGGAGTCTAAGGCGTTATTGGGAGAGTGGACACCGGTAAGGACGAAACCCCGCGCCGTAGAAAAAGCCAACCTCAGAACGCAACGGGACTTTTGTTGATGCTTTTTGCCCCTCTCTCAGAAAAAGGCAGCGCCGGCCAACGTGGGGGAGGTTTTACAGTTCCCTGCCTCGTGCTCGAGTGCGACAAAGGGAGCGATTCCAAACTCAGTTGAAAAAGGAGTATGTTTTGTCCGATTGGAGCAAAATCTTTGTATTTGGTGTGCCCATGTTGACTTTGGTCATTTGGTATTAGAAACAGTCCGCATTCATGCTTCGGCAATCGACTCTGGATTTGATTGCTGAGGTGACCCGGGAGGCAAATCAAGCGACCTGCAATCGCGTGATGACACTTGGTATGCTTCATCAAGTGAAACATTGTGCACTCGCACTTTCTCACTGCTTGGGCGGTAGATGGACCCAAAGGTGTGGGCAAAAGTGTCACATTGCTCCAAACCGTGAGCCATTTTCGCAGCGAAGGATGGATAGTGTTGTATCTGCCACAAAGTGAGCGTCGTTGGGTTGAATATTGATTCGTGGGCTGACAGTGGATCGTTTGTAGCTGCCAATTGGGTCGATGGAAGTGAACCATTCGAGCCAGTCCCCGGAACTAAGATGTTCCGCCAGCCACAGGCCGTTGCTCGCACATTGCAGCAATTCCTTGACCTCAACCCTGATCTCACCAAGGTGATCCGACACACATACAGCTGCAGTTAGATTGATGTTCGTCCAGTTAACTGTTGTTTCTTTAAGCAGATAAAGACCGCGGAAGGACAGACTCTTGCACAAGTGGCGGAGACCGGTGTCCGCGAACCCGAAAAGGCCCAGGAATCTCTAGAGACGATACTTGACACTCTATCCAAAGAGAAAAACCGCCCACCAGTGCTAATAGCAATCGACCAGGTCAACAGCTTCTATAGTAAAACTGCCTACTTTGATGCGCAGAGCAACCCTGTCCTTGCGAATCAGCTTACTGCTGTCGATGCTTTCGTGCGGTTCCTCAATCGCACACGGCCACTGGTGGGTAGCGAGCGACTTTGGTGCAACATTTGAAATAGACCTTCTAAGCCACACTGTTTCCTTTAGTCAAAGGGAGCTATCCTCTGCGCCGTTGATCAAAGCGACACCCAACTCCAATCCCCCTTCCTTGAAGTACTCCTTTCCAATAGCCCTCAAATCCCATCATCCCCGTCATCCCAACCTATAGCCGCGAACCGCAGATATCAAGATGTCACATCAGTGGATTCGTTTGGAGTTCTCTTATCCGATCGGCTGGCTCCTGCTAGTTATGACCCGTTTGCCCCTCAAAGTGAATGGCATCCAAAGAGTCTGGCGCGATTCAATATACCGGGGTACAATAGATTCGAGGTCGCTAGTATCCTTCAGTACTATAAAGACGCGGAAATTCTCAAGAATGGTGGGTTGCAAGATGTGTTTTTTCTGTTAGTATTTAGTACTCATCCGTGTTGTTTAATAGTTAAATTGACAAGGGAGTATATCGAGAAACAGTTGGTGCTTACTGGAGGGAACGCCTTGAAACTGTACAAACGATGCCTGTCATTCTAAAATTTCGTGTCATTCACATATTATCAAATAGAGATGCATTATCATTTACATGCGCATTCTAGTTGCCATGGACATAAATAGGTTTGCGAAAAAGGGGGAAGAACGAAAAACATGACAGTGCAATCCCAAAAATCCGCAATAGATATCAATGTACACAAAATAAATATGACTATGTATCAAAATGCTCAACCTTCCGTTATAATCCTAAAAAATGATTCTGGTACCGAGGTCACCATTTGACAGCCAAACCGCTCACATTCGTCTTTTCCACGGCTCTATACCCAGTATGTAACATTACCCGCGCCTTTTCCGTCTCTTCACCACCCAACCACTCTTGATACAAGACTCCAATCGCCGAATTGGCCTCTGGGAACTGGACACCTGCCTTATTTGCCACCCACCGATACGCTTCCTCCGTTCTGGCCACCCAGTCTCTAGACGCGGACGCCAAATCGTCATCAGGTTTAAGCTGTCCACCTCCATTGATACATCCCGAAGGACACGCCATGACTTCCACAAAATGGTAATCGCTGGTAGCTGTTGGACGACGTCGAAGAGATGAAGTGGGTTTGAGTTTTCGGACAAGGTTTTGAATGTTGCGGAATCCGTAAGCAGCGGCGAATTTGAGGACGGGGGTGGGATCGTTAGGGAGGGTCAAGGTGTATTCTTTGAAGTCAATGTTTCGGCCGGCACGGACTTGAACGCCGTTTCGACCGAGTTCAACGTCTTCCAGTGTCAAGTTGATTCCATATAATACTCGAGCTGCGTATCGGAATATGTAGGAAAGGTACCCACCCGATGATGATCCCTCTGTTCCAGCCAACATGGGGATACCAGTGTCATGTGACGCCACAGCCTTTGTAAAGAGACTCTCTACCTCTGCTTCTGGGACATGTCCGATTCCCAAGCCCTGCTCGCCAAACATTTTTTCCACCTCTCCAGTCGTAATAACGCAATCCACGTCCCGAGTAGAATAAATCTCGTTATAAAAGTCTTGTCGGGAGGCTTCCAGCTTTTTATCGTAACACGGCATGACGGAGACATGGTACACCTTGTCAGGCGTCAGCCCTATTTTGGACCCCAAGTAATCCTTGACAAGCGATCCCATGACTTGTTGTGGTGATTTCGTCGTATCAATAAAGGGAAGGATGTAGTCGTGAGTTTTCTCGGCATAGCAGATCCATCCTGGGCAGGCACTGGCCAACATTGGGAGTACGCCACCGGTAGCACGATGCTGTCTGTATCTCCGAACAAACTCTTTGGCACTTTCCAGTAAGGAGAAATCTCTTGAAAAGGCGGTATCGAAAACGTAGTGAACTCCAAGAAACTGCTTAAAGAACCACAACAGTCGCATGTGAACCTGGAGTGGTGTCAGATTGTATTTTGCTGCTATGGAAGCACGAGACTGAGGGGCAACGGAAACGACAATGGTTCGCACGTCATTGGGGCGGCCTTGAGCTATCGCCAGTTTATTGGCAGTGAGGATCTCGTAGAGTTCTTTTTGGCTTTGCATGGTGATGAGTACACTTTCCGCTGATGTGATACATCCACTACATGCCAGGCAATCATTGAGTGATATGCTGGCGGTCTCGAGCTTGGTTTCTCCTCCATCTTGCCGTACTTCATAGTACCCGCCTGTATCGTCAACTCTGATCTGCGTCCCTTCAGTGGCAGTCTTTTTGATCTCGACTGGCTTGATGCATGCTTGTGATGGTGTGATAAAGTCGTTGAGATCCGTCAACACCACTGCTCCCGAGAATCCCATTCTCAAAGAACTCTTTTCAAAATGGGTATCTGGTAGAAACAAATGCCTGCCTACTCGCCCTGGATTTGAAATCTTGGCTCAAAGGTGGTGACACAAAATACTCATGCTTAGGTTATGCTCATGTCAGCCAGCTTGGTACATTTCCCGCTCATCTTATGGCCATAATGTACTTTTTATTTTTTTTTCCTTTTGGGGAAGACGAGACGGCGTCAGAAGCCATTTGGGGGTTTCAAAATAGTTTTGACAAGCAGAGTTGTGTGTGTCGGAGAGCGTGCGGTCGTCGGCCTTGCGTCGTCTTTTTCAGATCTTCAAAACTTGCAAGACCATTCGTCAAAAGTAAAAGACAAAAAGGTTTGTCAACTAGAAAGTTCCCGGGTCGTCGTTTGAATAAAAATTAAAATAAAAATAAAACAATTTTTGAAACATTGAACAAAACTACCCGCACAGGGATTCGATCCCTCCCTTTGAAGACAATGCGGGAACGAAAGCACTGCGCAAGCAAAAAGGCGGCCAAAGTCTCCCTCCGCCCGTCCCTCCGTCTAGCAGAAAATGAAGACTTTTTAAAAGACTTTTTTCTTTCTTCCAAAAGCAGTTTTCTAAAAAGCATACGAACGAAACGTCCAAAACACAAAACAAAAATCACATTCCCCGTCTCTAAAATCAAAAATCAACAATAAAAAATATAAAAGTCTCATCCCCACAGTCCTTCAATATCACTAATAAAAATTCCCCACAAGAAAATGTTTCTCCCTTTGACAAGTAGCCACACATTAAAGCAATATAAAAAAAAAACACAACCGAGTATTTATGTGGCGACATCAACCAGAGTTACCCCCTGCCAGCAATTACAACCTCATCGCCAAAGTTTCCTTTGGGATTTAAATCATGTTGACACCATTGTCTTCCATACCTCCTCCGCTGCCGCCGATTCGCATCCGGGCTTTCCCACGGGGAGCTCTAGGTCTAGGTGTTAAAAGCTTGGTTACATCTTCTATCCGCGTAGCATACGGAGCAAAGAGCGGCCGAATCTCTTCCGGAAATGCAGAGTCAAAAATTGTGGGATCCACAGAAGGGTTGGATCGGAGGTATTGTTGGATAGGGACCATCCCAAGTCTGCCGAGGATACCCGCAGCTCGCCATGTTCCGCTGCTTCCGCCACTGCCCCCACTCATGGACGCTGACGTCGTCGTCGTAGTTGTTCCAGATGCTGTACGCACATGTCCTCGGCCAGGCAAGCTGCCGTTGCCTTGACCTGGATTGGCACTCGGTGTTGGATCTCGTGAAACATTGGCCGCGGGATTACGCATGTAGCACCACAAATGTTCGACTGGAGGTAGGCCTTCCTGGAGAGCGTCCATCCTTGCCCGCGCAATGATTCGCCGTAAAAGCTCAGCAGTGATTCCGTTGGGTGTCGGATCTGTGCCACGATCTGCTGAGGGAATCACCAACATGGCACCGTCTCTTAGTCTCCACAAGATGGATATAAACGAAACCATCAGCCTTGACGGGGAATCGGAACTCGAGGACGCCGATGATGATGAAGACGCCGACAGTGTGCGACCAACATTTCGGTCTGCTGTCCCGCTTCCACTGCCTCCGTACGGTCTTGGGGCAGTAGCACCTGTTGCTGAAAGCGCCGCTCCGTAATGGGATGCTTTTCCCTTTTTCCCACCTCGGCCGCGTCCCGAAACCGCCGTGGACATCCACGCAACCGCAAGGAGCATCCTGGCGCCTTCTACTCTCGAGGTTAAAATATTTTCTGCCTCTTTCCACGCGCGTTGAAACCGAGAAGTAATCCTTTCCCACGTTGCAACCATTGGCAAGCTCTCCATGACGGTCGGCACACCAAGATTAGTCATGAAGCCATCTTCATACACTTCTCTCAACTCTGTTAGTAGAGGCTGCATGGCAGCTGAACCAGTCAGGTACTGTGGTTGCTGGTATGCATTTGAGTTAGAATTATGTGGAGCTGGCATTATGACTTCGTCTGGGATACGCCAGCATCGAATATCAATTGGTGCTCCTGGGCCAACACGGAGGTGTGACAAGCTACAGGTTTTACGACCTAGAGGGAAAAGCTCGACAGGCCGCCATTTTCCAGTACGAAATGTTCCTCCGCCACCGCATTCTGTGCACAGGGCATACTTGACTTTGCAGCTATAACATAAAGTCAGCGATCTCATCTCGAACGCGTCATTACTTTTATCTCCTCACCTGGAGCAGACGACTTCAACTTCAAAGCTGGGCTCTACCCACTCTTGGGTTCGGGCAATCGGACTTGTAGAAAGAGAGCTGTCCTCTCGCTTGTCACCATTGGAAGATTCTCGCTCAGTGTCAAACGGCGCCCTTACACCACCTGATCCAATCCTCCTCATGCATACATCGCAATCTAGTTCGGCGCCGGGTCCATATGTCTGGACGCGTTTTCGTCGCCTACGCGGCGGAGGAGCGGCCGCTGTTTCTACTGCAACGTCCTGCCCAAACTCACATTTCATACACCGAATGTCGGCCACATGGGGAGTGGAAAGGAATTCTGGCGCACCATGAAGGACCAAGGTTGCAACGTGGATATTGCAGCGGCCGCAATACGCATTTTCTTCAACACATGTCTTTTTGCGACGAGTCATGGAAGAGGTGCTCAATTGTGATGGCGCTGGTGGGATGGATGTTGAGGTTCCTTCGGCGGCCGGTGGCAAGGCCAACTGATGGGAAGTAGAAGGCATCCCAAATTCAGATTGATGCGAATATGGGTAATGTGATGAGTAAGATCCATGATGCCGCTGGACCTGCGTCTCAGGATACGCTGGCGGGTATGGCGTATGACGGTGATGGGAAGATGTGTATCTCGCATGGGAACCGCCGCCATTCTGCTGCATGTCAATGGTTGCCATTCCGCCCAAAGAATGCGGCAAAGGACCGTCATGATATCCTCCTACCTGGCCCTGTCCGTGCCCATTACCAACAGGAGGCGGGTAAGCGTCCCGATAATCTAACCGTGAATATTGGCCTTGCGATGGTGGAGGTGGAGGAGGTGGTGGTGGACCTTGATTGTACATTCCGTATGGAGGAGGCGCTGATGGGCTTGACAAGCCTGCACTCATGGTTGAGTTGAGGGGAGTCTGTTGGGGAGAGTACATGACAGACTGTGGTACGGCATAGTGTCGTGAGTGACTCTCATGTCGGTGGTGTTGCTGCTGCTGTTGCTGCTGCTGCTGTTGTTCGTGGTGATGGTGATGTTGCGATGTTTGTTGATTCGCAATTGACACATGCGACGGCGGCTGATGTGACGGATGGTGGTGGGAAGTGTGAAGTTGATGTTGTTGTTGTTGCTGCTGCTGCTGTGGTTGTGGCGGGGGTTGTTGCTGTTGGTGTTGTTGAGGTGGCTGTGCATACGAACCGTGGGGTGGCGGATCCGACGGGTGATACCACTTGGACGGCTCAACGGGATTAGAGGAAGGGGAAGGCTGCGCAGCATAGTGGACATAGGATGACGACGAGTATGGCAATGGCGCTGATGGCGATGAGGAATAGGAATTGTGCTGCTGCTGCTGTTGGTGGTGGTGGTGGTGTGGGTGATGATGTTGCGAGTAAGCGGCGTGGTGATCCTCTGTTGAAGGCAATGGCGGCGCCTGGTGTGGATGACCGTGAGCGTTCACGTCGGTCATGAACGAGCGGTCGTGGTAGGAAGGATGGTGCGGAATGAGGAGGGATGAGGATGAACCTTTGCCAGACACGGGCGCGTGAGAAAGCCCGTCGTCCATAATTCCCTGGTTGGTGATGTTGTATGTCTTTTTTTTTGTATGTTTACGGCCACACAGGTAAAGCTTTGTCAGCGATCCCTTCAAGCCAATGCCCCGTTCTCGTCTCTATAAATCTTTTACTTTTTTGGCTTGTCGTCTTGTCGTCGTCGTCGTTTTGTCGTCCTTCGCCGTCGTTCGTCGTTCGTCGTTGATCGTCGTCGTTGATCGTTGGTCGTTATCACCTTGTTCCTTGTTCAGTTTCCCGTTGATGGGAAAATTCCCAAAAACTCGTTTCTGGGCGTTTGGTTGCCTGGGAGAAAAAAAAAACAAAATCCAAAAATCGTAAAGCGTGGGAATAAAAACGACCATCTCCCCCTTCCTTCTCTCGCCCTTGTCGTCTCCTTCTCCTTCCGCCAGTCGCCAATCGCCCCCAATTTCCATTTCAATTACCAAATTCCTATTTCCATATCTGTGCCACTTGTTTGCCACATTTGTGCCACAATGGATCACGTCACCAAAGAATTTTGTGCAAATTTTTGCATCAGCAAATTCTCACTGATGTTGTACACTTATCTGTTCGGATCAATTGGTCGGAAGCTGCTGTTGTACGCATACCGCTGTCCGGCTCCGGTTCTCATGGACTGTGCCTCCCTGTCTGTCATCACCAACGTTCCCACGGATGTGTTCTTTCCACGGTTAAATGTCACGTGTGTATCAGGTGAATTTCATGTGGGTATCATGTGAATGTGCTGAGCTCATCAAGACTCCGTTTGTCTACTTGGTTGTGTTCTTCGCACAGGATTTACACTGGCGCCATTCTCCAAAGATGATGGTGCAAAAGCAACAACAGCAGCAGCAGCAGCAGCAGCAAGTGCTGCCAGCCGCACGGAGAAGAATGATTAAAAACCTCATGCCGAGTTTTCTTCATGACAAGGAGCCGGTCACAAAGACTATCGAGTGGGAGCGCATCATTGACTGTTTGCGGTCAAGACACATGATCAACATGTACGATCGCCATACAGTCATTTTAGAGAGACTGGCTCAAGTCCTTGCTGATGGTGTGGTGAGTGTTACTTGACAAGAGCCCCTCAACCGTTGATTATCGGGTGAAGAGTCACAAATGAGTTTTGCGTAAAAGATCGCATGAAACAGAGCATGTCGAAATCTCGTTGATCTCGCTCCCTGCTACGTTCTGGACTCTTGGTACTTGTGTCACTCATATCCTCTTTTCTCAGCCGTTGAAGCACATGGAGCCCCTGGCACACGTCTTGTCGCTGGTCAAGGAGCGCATCATACAAGGCGGAAAGGATGTACTCTGCAAACCCCTCTGCGGTCTGCTCGCTGTCCTCCAACATTCCCTCATCGACGACAGGGGCGACAAACCCTTGGATCAACTTAAAAAAGACTTGCAGCAATTGGCCAATCGTGTTGGAGATTTAGTCCATGTTCATGATGATAAAGTCACTGAGCACGCCGTTGAGGTACTGTACAGGCTCTGCGGTGGACCTCGCACCGATCCCCCAGTGTCCGAACACAGAATTATAATGTTTCCGTGGCTGCTGGACTCTGTTTCCCTTCCGCCCTCGATGCAAGATCCAGCGTCCGTCGCATCACACGGCTCGGATGACCGATATCACGAGACAGAGATGGAGCTCTTGGAGCTCCTGGCAGAGGCGTGAGTTCCGTACATGCGTTTTGCTGCTTTTTCTGTATACCACGCATCTTGGCTGATCCATCTCACCTTGCACAAAACAAAAAGAGACTTGATATCACACTTGACCACTGCACTGCAGATCAACCATCGCACAAGCTGCCAGTCTGATACGCTCCGAACCCTGCGTCGTCTCTCCTTGTCCGACACTTGCTGCAAGCAAATGGTTCAGGGTTTGTTTATCTTCCAACTTCACGCCATCTGGCAACGCTGCTGATTAACCCAGAAAAAAACACAGAAGGGACACTCAACCTCTTGACACAAATCGCCCGTGACAGTACCGACGACGTCAAACTTTCCATCATCACAGAAATCCTATGGAACGCCCTCGAGAGTTCACACACACCCCTCATAGCCGAAGCACTAAGTGCACAAAACAACATCAACAACCTCCACGCCATCTTCAAGCGCGAAAGTAACGCACGACGCGACGTTGAAAAGGAATTGAGAAACGAGTTAGTGATCGTATGTACGGATATCGCTGTTTTTGCGTCGGAAGGGCGGTTTGCAGCTTTTCGGCAGAGTGGATTCTTGGCGACGGTCTGCGCGCTCTTGATGGGAGAGGAAATGGAAGGACGGAATAAGGCGATGCCCAAATCCAGGATTCCCAGGTCGTCGCCTGTCCCTATCCCATCGTCTAATGACCATGCTTTTAAGAAGCATTTGTTGACTCTGACAATGGTGTTGTGTGACGATATGGGCGTTCTAGAAACATTCCTAGAGGTGTGATGCTCTTGTCCTTGTTTGTATGTTCGCATGGTTCTCACGTTGAGTCTCCCGAGAGTAGAACGGGCTCCTAGACTTTTGTGTAATGTACCTCGACTATGACAGTCCGAATCCAGCCATCTACCGTTGGTCCCTCCGACAAATAAAAGGGCTCCAACTACAGGTAAGTCCAATCTCCGTTCACGCGCCGCCCTTCTTTTCGTCTTTCTATACTGATGAACCACACCAGATCCTCACTCTCCTTCAAAAAATCTTACCAAAATCCAACACAGCGGATCCGACTATTTACGACACCCTCCTCGCTTTTCTCAAAACGGCTCTGGAAAAAGATGCTCAAGTCCGACCACACACAGGTCTACCAAACCCGACGAGCGATCCCGTAGGTCTCGTCATGTCCGTTTTGAGGTTGCTGATTGTGTTGGCGGAGGCGGAGACTGAAAGTAGACAGCGATTAGGCCAATTGGGGATATTCCCCGTTGTGAATGGCAAGTCGCTCTCCATTGCTTACCAAACGATCTCCAAACAGGTCATCTAACCTTCATTCCATAGACATTCTCTCTACGCCAACACATGCTCCCGAAACCCACCGTACTGCGCTTCTCCTCCTCACCTCCCTCTGCCAGTTCGCACCCAACCGCTCCACCTTTGGTCAAATCCCGCAAAGTATCCCAACTCTAGTGTCATTCCTCTCCTTCCTCTCACCAAGCACCCAAGAAACCAACAGCATTCACCTTTCCACCATCACGGCTCTCTGGGCCGCTATCCCATTCTGCCCTCTGAATGAAAAAGCCTTTTTAGAAACGGACGGGCTGTACCGGTTGTTGGATCTGCTGGCCGAGAAGCGTCAGACGCGGGAAATACGAATGTGCGGATTGGGCTTTTTGTGTGATTTGTTGGAGAATTCGGTTGTCAAGAGGTTCTGTGATGAGTGGAGAGGTCGTGAAGGTGGATTGGTTGGATTGGCGGTTGAGTTGTGGGTTTCGGAGGAAAAGTTTTTGGAAGGTTTGCTAGTGTGTCATGCGTTATTTAAACGAATATTTTTATTGATCATTCTGTCGTTATCACATGCAGTCCCGCAAGGCCCGCAAGGAACAGTTTTTCCAGACGACCGTAACCCGCTGGAAGGCGCACATCCCCAAAAGGTACGCACAGCTTTGCCGCGTCATATATACTCGTCCTGGCGAAACTAAACTATCGCATTGCACCAAAAGCACACGACTTTTGCCCCAGTAATAGATGAACTAACTCAAAACCTCCGCGCAAAGCTCTACTCACTCCTGACCCACATCCAACCCATCGATACCAGCACACTTTCGCCGCATATCCAAATCAAACTCCCCCTCATCGCACGCTACCTTGATTTTAAACTCTTGGACGTGTATTCGACACTCGAGAGATCACTTCAGGTTGACGGTATACGCCCCACTACACCCGATCGAGAGTGCATTGAAGTCGTCGGAGAAGTTCAGAGAGAGAAGAAGCGGATGGTACTGGAAGAGCAAAAGGCAGTTGTTGAAGGTTTTGGGCAGGTTGGTTTTTGTTTTGTCCGTGAATTGCTTGCAAAGGCAGTTCATGATGCGATTTGTCGGTATGTCGAATGCAGAAGGTAAAACAGCAAGACCAAGAGTTTTACGAAACCATCAAGAAACGAGAGGAGATGAAAAAGATGGCATCCGCGGCCGAGGTAGGGGCTTTTGCCTTGTCAAGCGTGCACTTGCAACACAGCAAGAATTCCCACCAACTTGTCCTGCAGTCACGCCGTCCCCGCCTTCCTCAACTTCCCGCAAAACTGTCGACAACAAAACGGCACCACCACCGCCACGCGACCTACACAACCCTTCCCACCACCTCCACAGCCGACCATTTACCCTTGACATCCGGCCACTGAACGAGGAATCTGTCGACAAACCAGTAGAGTATCTTGCCAGAGAGAGACAAGTCTTTGACACGAGCAATGGATTCGATGTAGATGAGCTTTGGAAACGGGAGGCCAGGGATGATCTTTTTTGTTGGTTTTTGATTCGTTGTGGTGAGAGGTTGGCCAGATGTGCAACAACATGGAAAAGAGTACGTTACCCGTGGCCAAAAACTCAACAAACAAATGGGGACACATGTACCCGGTCCATTGCATATGACCTAAACATGTAGAGTTCAGTCATGGTACTCTATTTGCGACAGATCTGCGGTGTGACAGCCTACCATATCTGGTTGGATCCTCCACAACACCCAAGCTGCGCCTACACAGGCTTTTGCAAATGAAAGAATGGTACTTGACCATGATTGTCCCACCTCTCGGCTTCGCGGAATGGTCTCAATCGTCCACTAGAACAAACAGCTTAACGGAATGATCAATATAAGAAAGTGTTTGCAGTGGACATACATCTTTCCTGGACTCTTCTTTTGCAATGACTTTTGCTCGGCTACCCGAGTCTGTTTCAGCGACAATGTAGCATCGGGGTGTAAACTGCTCAAGTGGTAATGTCCGCGTGAGACGGAGCATCTCGGTCGTGTGGCCACCTTTTTGTAAACACAGTGTTTGTTGGTTTTTCGATTAATCACGTTTGGAAAGCAGAAAGCTAGAAAGCTCTCCTGAACATACCTGAACCCAACACGATGCATAATTTACATGAGCGTAACCGACGCGAGGACCGGTTTGGACGTCGACGGTAGGGGAGTATCCACCAGATCCGCACCAACGCAAGGATCGCGACACATGTAATCGCTGCCAGCATCGTTACGGTCGTTGGGACGTGCGAAACTTTCAAGCGCTCGGCAACCCGCGAGAGAGCGTAAGCGGCGCAGCCACACCGCTCAGTGCCATTTAACCTAAAAAGGCAAAAATGACCAACGACTGAGTCAAGCTGCCGTCAAAGGTCAAAACGACTCTTTTGGCTGTCGTCCTTCGTGCCCTTTCTTGCTCATCTTGTTTCCTGTAGTTTACGAACAAAGGAACTTTTGAAAAGGTGGGTAAAGATAATGCAACGTTTTGAGATGGGCGGGTGATTGATTTTCTCGAATGTTTGTTTAGTCAGTCGTATTTATCTCGGAACCGTCCTTCTCCACGTGCAGACGCGCCAGTCAGGTTTCCCATCACATCTCCATCAACGAAACCATGAAGGCACTTATTCTTGTTGGCGGTATGTAGCCATGTTTGAAGGGATGAGACAGTTCGGTGACATCGAGCGGGACGAACAAAAGTTTTCTGACGCTTGCCTAACACCCACTAGGTTTTGGTACGCGTCTGCGCCCCTTGACCTTAACGCTTCCAAAGCCTCTGGTGGAGTTTGCCAACAGGCCAATGATTTTGCATCAGATTGAGGCACTGGTCAAGGTACTGTTTTGCCTCACCCACCAGCACGTCTTTCACGCGTTTCTCACAAGTATGCTTTCTCGCGCTCGTATCTTCGCAGGCGGGAGTAACGGACATTGTCTTGGCGGTTAACTACCGTCCGGAAATCATGGCGAACTTTATGAAAAAGTATTCAGAAGAATACAAGGTCAATATCACATTCTCCATCGAGTCTGAGCCTCTCGGAACGGCAGGGCCTCTTGCTTTAGCACGTGACGTCCTTGCGAAGGACTCTGAGCCATTCTTTGTTCTAAACTCGGATGTGATCTGCGACTTCCCCTTTCACGAAATGGCGGCTTTTCATAAAGCTCATGGAGGGGAAGGCACGATTCTTGTCACAAAGGTCGACGATCCGTCAAAGTACGGTGTAGTTGTCAACAAGGGCACATCATCCGTCATTGAGCGATTCGTTGAAAAGCCCACCGAATTCGTCTCAAACAAGATCAATGCCGGTATTTACATCTTCAACCCGAGCATATTGAATAGAATTGAGCCACGACCTACATCCATTGAGAAGGAAATCTTTCCCGCCATGGCACGGGACTCGCAACTCCACACCATGGACCTCCCTAATTTCTGGATGGATGTTGGACAACCAAAGGATTATTTGACGGGAACAGGTCTCTACCTCACGTCTCTTTCAAAGAAAGAGCCCGGCCGATTGGCGTCCGGTCCAGGAATTACTGGCTTCGTTCTCATCCACCCCTCAGCCAAAATTGGACAGGACTGCAAGATTGGACCAAATGTTGTCATTGGTCCGGATGTCGTTCTCGGCGATGGTGTTAGAATGAGCAAGACAGTGATTCTAGAAGGTGCACAGATTAGAGATCATGCGTGGTTGCAGAATACGATCGTGGGGTGGCATAGTACTGTAGGGCGTTGGGCTAGATTGGAAGGTGTCTCTGTTTTGGGAGATGATGTCCATGTGGCTGATGAGGTATGTATTAGGTTTCTTTACTCATAGGTCTAGCTCCATCTAACGATCTGCGTCATTTAGGTCTACATCAACGGTGGATGCGTCCTCCCCCACAAGAGTGTCAGCAGCAATATTGCCGAACCGTCCATTATTATGTAAAGAACCCTTGTCCTTAGAATAGTCTTACTGAAACCCGCTTATAACTAAAAAAAAAAATACCTGCAATGTCGCGGCACTTTGCTTCCTATGTGTTGTGTCATTGCCGCTGACTTTAGGTAGCTCAGAGGAGTTGCTAGCAAGAGAGAACCTTGGAGAACAGAAACATACCTGATTCCGCAGCGATTCGGATTCCTAGAACCCCAATTGGTATTTGCCCCGTAAGACTCCTCTACCCTCGACTTTTTTGTTACAAGCTCGCCTTTCTTGCTGTTTCCACCCAATCACTTCAAAAGACATTGTAATTCGATCTGTCAAGCTGTTCAACTTTCTTTCGAGATTTAAGGAACCTTACTCAGAACTACGTACCCGAAGCAAGTAGCACTTTCTAGCAAAGCTTTGCATGCCTCTGGAGAAGGAACTGGATAATCGATATCCAGCTTCCTGTAAGAGGTTGGAATTCCCATTCACAATCACTCGTATTGGTGTGTGCTGGACTTCCCGCTCAAACTCAACAGAATAAGCAGCTTAACTAGAGCTAGCTTACAAAAGCACAGACCCCATCGCTGCCGGAGATATGGCCTTTTCGTCGCTTGAGCTTTTTGCCAGTCGTGTGGTATGCTTACTACCTTATTCTTGTACAGCAGGCATAGCTTGTCCAATGCACCGACATTCTGAGGCTTTTTAAGTTTGCCCTTCAAATGCTCCCATATCATTACAAGTGCTCACTACATGTCTTGACATGACAGACAGCCATGCTAGACTTTACAACTGCCTGCCAAAATGCTCGAACTTACGTCTGATTAGTACCAACCGCAGTATAAAGCTCTTGAGGTAAGTGATGATATCATACAGGTCCCATCCATACAAAGTAGTACAAATGGTGGAATAAATGGAAGGTAGATGTGACGGTCCCTTCATTCCCAATTCCACGTTTCTGTGGGCATTTGATGTGTATTGAGGTAGGTAGTAAGTCATGCTGAAGATGAGTGTGGTCGGGTCGCTCGCCATGATGATGCTGACAGATTTTGGGAGGAGCGCAATCGGGTGTTTCTTTTCCTGGTTTTTCCTGAGAGATTTAATTGCATTGGCAGACGTACAAATTCATCCCAGTAGAATACATCAGATGATGAAGCTTGCATGTACGCCACTTGGGAATCACACAATTGTATTGCAATCCTCAGCCTTCCAACTTGAGTCTCGCATTGTAGCGTTGCCAGAGGAAAGGAAGAGTGGCTTGTCCTTTTTAGACTACTGCTCTACACAGTGGCCGGCAATTGGACAGTAAAGATCAAGAGAGTGGTAACTCACGAGATAAGTCTTCTACACAAGACACCAAAGCACGACAAATTGGTCCTGTCGAGTTGCCAGTCTGTAAACCTTTGGGTCCAGGTTTGACGGGAATCATAACTTGCCAGGTCACGGTTAGGAGTACATGTATTTCTCCCAAGCTCAAGCAGAAAAAAAATAATCTGTACAAAGTCTAGAATCCTTCCCAATCAATCCCAAAACCTAATAGAAAGAAAAGAGTGACACACAGGATCAGCCAAGGCTTCTATCCTTCATTCAAAGCAACCATGAAACTTACTTGATAGTTCCATCCCAGGAGCATGTAAATAGTTTACTCGTCTCATGGGGATGCCATTCCGTTCCAATCACCACCTTATCGTGCGCCTTAAACTTTTTCAACACCTTGCACGTTTTCCAGTCCCAAAACCATACCCGGCCTTCACTGTCCCCGCTCGTTACGAACCGGCCGTCAGGGGAGAAAGAGGGTTGACAGGCGTATCCGGCGACAAGGTGTCCTCGGAAGGCTTTTTTGCGGTTCATACGGAATCGGTCGTGCGCCGAATAGACGACGATTTGGTTGTCAAGGGATTGGCAGGCTAGCCATTTCTCTGGAATAGAGTATCAGTATCTGCTCTATAGGTTAGGAAGAGACCAATCACTTACTGTTGGGATGCAGTGTTACTGCAGGCATGGAATGCATGCTCGGCTCCGCCACATACTTTATCACCACCGGAATATCAAACTCCCATGCTCGCAACGTCTTATCATCACTTGTCGTCACGAACCGTCGATTCTCATCCACAAAGGTAATAGTGTTCACGGCTCCCAAATGCTGGTCATATTCTTGAACAACCTCCCCAGTATTAATGTCAAACTGGTAAATCTTCTTATCTGCACATCCCGTCAAAAACAAGTGTTGTTTATCTTCGTCGGGGTTGAATTTCACACAGTAGGGTATGCGCTTGGTAGAAAATGTCGATATGCATTTGCCCGTTTCAGTGTCCCACAGCTTGATCCATTTATCGTAGCTGGCCGACAGGAAGCGGGTTCCATCATTGTTGAACGTGATGTCACGAACGGCTTTGGAGTGGCCCATAAACGTTCGTAGGCAGCGTCGTTCGTGATATACGTCCCAGAGCTGTTAAGCAGTTGGGGAGGAACGCATTAACCATTTAATTTGAGTGATTTACGAAGATGATATTGGGATTTACCTTCACTTTACCATCCATACCAGCACTGAGAAACAAATGGGCGCTTTGTGGAAACAGTCGAATGGCGTTGACTCCTTTGGTATGTCCTGTCCATGTGTGAATAAGGGTTTTGGGAAGGTAGCAATCCTTGATGCCCGGCTCGGCCAGCAGATCCACATCCAGATCGTTCGGTACGTGCATGTACGTTCGTCCCAGATAATCGCGCTCCTCTTTGCCATGGAATATCGACTTTTCTGTTCCAGGTTCTACTTCCGCGTTCTTCTTCTTTGTTGGCTCTACGGTACTCAATGCTTCTGCCGCCGCTATTTCCTCTTCTGTGGGCCCCACTGGTTCTCCGACATTCTCGCCTTCGTACCCCGCCCAAGGCCCTGCGTACCCGTCCACAGATGATGGGTCACCAGCAGCCTTTCGCTTCCGCTTCTCTGCCCGACTCGCTTTTGTTGTTTCATACACTGTGGCGCCGTTGCGTTGAGCCAGCTTGGTAACGTCCCCGACAAATCGGTCCCCGTTGCTGTCTGGATCAACTGCGTAGCCAAAGTTGTCGAACGTTCTGGACATTGCATCAAAGTGGTGATCTGACATGTTATACTCCTCAATATAGCCTATGATGGTAGCAAAATATCAGTATGGACAACTACGCTCATGGACTGCTGTTCTCAGATCTCACCTGTAAGTACATTCCGATTTGGTGCTGTCGCCTGAGTAGCAAAAGGATTCTGTGGGCCCTGTACCGATCTCGAAAGGTCTGTGTACGGTATATTATGTGCGATTTCTTTTGTGGTCAGTCCGGGTAGATAGTTGTATGAATCGAGATCGTGTGTGGAGACTTCGGGCGCCGCGCTGATTTTCGTTCGCTTTATCGTGCTTGGAGAGTACGATGGTTCGTCGTCCGAGCCATATTGGCCAAACATATCCAAAGCGCTAGAAGACATCCTGCCAAAGGGAGTCTTTTGGACCGTGCAAAAGATGAGTTTTCCAAATGATGAGCTGCAGGGCACCAGACAAGCAGGTGAAGCGATCTTCCTCGTTGCGTAGTTACGAGTGGCACCGTGACTAGCAGTTCCGTTCCACCCACGAATAACCATGGCCGAATCGACCGTAATCAAATGGGCTGCATTTCAGATTCAACGAGCTGCATACTGGCGAGATTGCACGCGGGTAGGCAGGGACCCTTTCCTTCCCTGCACTTTTGAGACATTTTCCTTGACAATACAAGCCGACGGACTCGACTATGGACAAGCTACTTCCTAAACTCGGCGTATACCGTCTGAAAGACCTCATCAAGGCTATTCGGGCGTGTAAGACCGCCGCAGATGAACGTGCAGTCATTGCCAAAGAGAGCGCCTTTCTGCGAACGAGCTTCAAGGAAGAAAACGTTGACATTCGACATACTAATGTTGCTAAATTACTCTATATCCATATGCTGGGATATCCCGCCCATTTTGGGCAAATCGAGTGCTTGAAGTTGGGTAAGCATCGTGAAGATGACTAGCAGTGCGCGTTGAAATAGGCCGCCGAAGGGGAATATAATCGGTTTAATGCAATTTTGCTGAGAAAGTCTTTGCTCCGGAGTATCAACGCATAGTTTCTTTCAACTGACTGATTATTTTGTTATTTCTGACAGTTGCATCACCACGATTTGCGGATAAGCGATTAGGATACCTGGGAATCATGCTTCTACTTGATGAAAACCAGGAAGTATTGACGCTTGTAACGAACTCGTTGAAAAAGTACGTGGTGATGAATGGACACTTGTTGATGCTTTGGTATTAACCGGAAATCCTGTTTTCAGCGATATGAATAGTTCGAACATGTTCGTTGTGGGATTGGCGCTTTGTACCCTAGGGAACATTTCATCGCCTGCCATGTCGCGGGATCTTTCTGGTGAAGTTGAACGGTTGCTGGCGAGCTCGAATACTTACATACGAAAAAAGGTTGGCACGAGGGTGTACATTGCTGGCAATAGCAGAGTCGCTTACGAGATATGGCCAATCTTGTCAATTAGGCGGCATTGTGCGCGCTTCGAATTGTTCGAAAAGTGCCGGATCTACTGGAAAACTTCCAATCACGAGCGAAGAGCCTGCTTAACGAGCGAAACCATGGCGTGCTACTCACCGGAATAACGCTGTTGACGGAAATGTGCAAAATGAGCGAAGAGGTGACGACTGATTTGCGCACTGTACGTAACACTGAGTCATTTCCTGGGGATGTTTGCCAAGTCCTGACTTTGTTATTTTGTAATCAGCATGCTGTTGGAACTCTTGTGCGACATTTGAAAAATCTCGTCACGGCTGGCTTCAGTCCAGAACATGATGTCAACGGCATAACCGATCCTTTCGTGCAAGTTAAGATCCTCCGGTTGATGCGCATTCTTGGGAAGGGAGATGCGGAGGCAAGTGAAGCCATGAACGATGTCCTTGCTCAGGTTGGTGATCGCTACTGGGCCTTTCCAATCCGATACAATTAACTTGACTCTCGATACATCAGGTGGCTACCAATACCGAGGCATCAAAAAATGTGGGAAATGCGATCTTATACGAGGCTGTATTGACAATAATGGATATAGAGAGCGAGAGCTCTCTGCGTGTATTGGCTATCAATATTCTTGGGCGATTCCTTGCAAATCGTGACAATAATATTAGGTACATGGCGGTGTCCATGTTCACTGGAAACCGTTGCTAATGCAGTTCTTCCATTCTTTAGATACGTGGCATTGACGACCCTCACCAAAACATCACAAAATACTAGCACTTCCGACTCCTCCGCTCTGCAACGTCATCGATCGACCATACTGGACTGTTTACGGGATGCAGACATATCCATCCGACGACGTGCTCTCGATCTTTCTTTCTTCCTGATAAACTCTCAAAACATCCGTATCCTAACACGAGAGCTTTTGAGCTTCCTTGAGATCTGTGAAGGCGATACCAAGAATTCCGTTGCGACACGGATATGTGATTTCGCTGGTCGGTATCGTCCTAACAAGCGGTGGGAAGTTGATACGGTTTGCCGAGTTCTTCGCGTGGCGGGTGCATTCGTGGATCAAACAGTTGTGAATCACTTTGTCAAGCTCGTGACAACGTCTCCAACAGAACTACAACAATACGCAGTGCGAAAACTTTATAACACAATGAAAAATGAAGGCGAGAAGGCATTGGCGCAAGAGGGACTTGTGCAGGCTACTGTATGGTGCATTGGAGAATATGGCGATGTGCTAGTGTCTGGTACTGCCGGAATTTTGGGTGGTGACGATGAGGAATTGGCTCAGACCGGAGGAAATGTTGACCCTTCAAGTCAGAATGACTACCAGGTGGCGCCGAGCGAACAGGAGGTTGTGGAAATGTTTGAAGGTCTTCTGAGAGGTCCATTTGCCACGGATCTGGTGAAGGAATACTCAGTGACGGCTCTCGTCAAGTTGACAAGCCGCTTCAACCAGAGCAGTGCGATTGAGTAAGCTTGCTCTCGCCCATTTTCAACCAACCGTGCAACAATGCTGACAATGAGAACAGACAGATCAAGGCCCTGATTAGCAAGTACAAGGTCAACGTTCAGCTGGAGCTGCAGCAACGCTCTGTCGAATACGCACAGCTTCTTCAGCTCGATCGGGATGCAAGGTGAGAGCAGGGAAGGTTTGAATGATGCTTTCTCGCTGATTCACATGGAACCACTGCATAGGGTGGCATTGTTGGAACGGATGCCAGTCCTGGAAAATGCTGCCAAAGAGGAGGCCAAAAAGGGTCTTGGTGTACCCACCATTGCAGGTACATACGCGCTAGTTCCATACCGTAAAATGATAGCTAATTGAACGTTGGTGTTGGGACGTTAGAAACAGCTGCGGTGAGCAACCAGCCAGATCTTATGGGAGGCCTTGGTAACGATCTACTTGGCCTCTCTGTGAGTGGTGGGGCCAACGCTCCTGCCAAAGCAGATGATATCTACAATCTCGTTTTTGGCGGAGCACAGGACGGAAAGAGTGCGGGAGCAGCAGCTCCAAAGTCCAATGTAGGCGCTATGAAAGTTGGGATTCTCAGAGGTTGCATGCTGACCGATTTTTACAATTTTAGAACATCTTGGATCTATTGGGCGATATTGGCTTGGGTACAACGCCAGCCGCACCCGCTAAAACCACCTCGAGTTTGGGACTGGGCTTGGCTCCAGCTCCAGCTAAATCTGCCCAATCTGCTAATGATCTTCTCGGAGATCTATTTGGAGGATCCGGGATTGGTGCTTCTGTGGCCCCTAGTGTCCCAAGCGTCACATCACCTGTCTCCAAAAATGCTGTTGATCCATTGGCGGATCTCTTTGGAGGTAGCGGGTTGGCGAGCATCGCGCCTGCACAATCAGCGGCTCCAAAATCATACGTAGCTTATGACAAGAATGGATTCCGTGTTTCATTGTCGGCAACTCGGGATTCCAATGGACAGGGTGCGCCTCTGAACGTCCAGGCGGAGCTGAATAATGTTGGAGCAAGTGCTACATTGACCGATGTGGGAGTTCAAGTAGCAGTGCCAAGGGTAAGACAGTGATTAAGGCTCGCTACATCAACAATTCATATATAATACGTGGAATTCTTGTCCAGAGTCTTCAAATCACCATGTTTCCTCAGACTTCCACCACAATACCCATCGGCAGCTCGGCTACCCAAAACATGAGAGTAGAAAACCCGACAAAGGTATAATCCTGCGGCCCATGTATCTCAACTGAAGTTTTACGGTGATGGTAACATGGTTTGTTCAATCTCTGCAGATTGCCGTGAAGATGCGACTGAAGGTTGTATACAAGATTGGTGGTCTGCAACAGGTAGAAGAAATTGTGGAGTTTTCGCAATTTGATCCAAGTCTGTGGGCTTAGGGGATGGCGACAATTGCGTTGAGGAACGGGGTCCAACTATCGTCTTTCCATATTATATCAAAAATACTAGAAGCCGATTGCATCTATCAGTTTGTTGCCGAAGCATTCTACGACTTTCATAGCTAACCTATATATTCCCCGACCATCCCCAATTGTCGGCACAATTACAGCCCTCCTGAATCCGTTGATATCTGCCTGATGTCCTCTTCCACAGTGGCAATGTCGCGCATGATGGCAGAGTAGGTTTTCACGATACGCGCAAACTCGTCACCAACATGTTCGTACTGCACTAATTGGATATCAACCTCGCGAAGACGCTCGGCAAGTCGGGCCTTCACCGCATCTAACGATGTTCTTCAATTTCTGGGGTGAGCTCCATGATGGGAAAGACGAGGAAGACGGGAAACAGTCTCTACCTTGTTTGGCGTAAGACGGGCGCTTGATCACCCTCTGCCATGCTAAGTGTAATTTCTGCTTTGAGGCATCTATATGCACATAAAAACAACCGTTGTAGTTGCCACTATAGAACGGAGCAGTGACATGGGGCTACATACCGCATCTTAAGATATATGTTATCTATGATCGCCGAGAAATAGTCTTCCAAGGCTGCCCGTTTCTCCGGCTCTAGTTGACACTTATATCGAAGGATGACAGTCCAGAGATTTTGCATCAGCTTCGACCATTTCTGGCATTAAGAAGGTATTATGATAAACTGTGAGTATCAGTGAAACAGTACTATACTGACCTCGAAATACAACTTAAAAGTGCAAGCTAGCCGGACGCGGGTAGCCATCGCCTCCTTCTTCTTTTCATTTATCCGCGTAATTCGGGCCTGTGCAATTGTAGCTAATCCGCGGGCTTTAGCGGCATCTAGCTTAGGATCTTTGGAATGGCGTATATCTCAGTCAAAATTGTTTGGGAAAACAAGATACAATCTGTTTACCTGTTCCTGTCTTCTGCCCGTACACGCAGCGAGATAGAAATTGACACTTTTTAAAGAGTCTGTGCTCCACTTCGTTTAGAAGCAGTTGGTGGAGTTCCGGAGGTACCTGATGGCGACATGCTCAGTATACTCTACTCTGTTGCAGATCCACCTAACGAACGCACTTGATCTACTGCAGTTCGATGCGATAATTTATCCCACCTCTCACTGTCCATCCCGAGTATGGTTGGCTTATCCACTTCTTCATCCGAGTCCGCCTGTAGTGTTTCATGGACCTCCGCGGAAGCTAACAGGTTGCTGAGCGGCTCCCAAAACTGATGACGACGTAAGCGAACGAAGGCACCATTTTAACGTACAGCAAGCTCTCACCAAGGCGTTATCCTCAACATTTCCGTCCTGTTCAGGAGTATCCGGGTCCAAGTTCAAAACAATGTCCGTGACCTCGTCGTACAGTATTTGTTGCTCCAAAAACGCTCTTTTGGCTGCTAATAAGGAGGCATTCTGAAAGTTCCCCATGAGCAGGTGAATAATGAAATACATTGCAGGACTAGAGTTAGCGAGTTTATACCTTGGGTGAGTGCTCCTCTTTTGGGATTTCTTTGGTGACCAGACTGACGAGTACCTCTTCGTGGTCGATCTCGCGAACCATGACCTTCCCAGTGTTTATGGCATGCGGGGATGGTGGAAATCACTGAACTCTAGATAATACAATCTAGCCGTCCTTCTGTGTTGATGCTCAGGTCATCTTGGACCGAAAGCAACAGTGCACGTGTCATCAAACTGTTGTCCAGTGGTACGGACATGCTCATCAACGGACAAGTAGCGAATAGCGTGTCGTATTCTTGATTGGAACATAATAATGGTCCTTCGGGGGAATTTCCCTTACGATTGTAGGCCCGCTACACAGAAGAAGCTATGACTAGGGAGCACATAAGCCAGCAGGAGAATGTTTAACCAAGAGAGTTCATCACTCCCGTGGTCACTTGGGCCCCCAGCTTGAAGCATACCCAAGTGGCCAAGACTCCAAAGCGTACTTGCTGTCAGCCGATGGTCAAGGCCACTTTCCAAATCTTCTGGTCAGAATAGAAGTGGCCCCGTCCAGTGTGCTGCATGTTGAGAGTCTAGTTAATAGAGGCTTTTCTACGTGTATTGTTTCTCGTCACGTCAGCAACCAGCCGATCATTGCTTAGTCAATCATCAACGTCAGAGTTTCCAGGCAGGACGTTCGAGTGTAGCATATTCACGATGAAACTGCTAGAGTCCATTGCTTCAACTCTGATGTTTGCAGTTGCCGTTGACAATGGTGAGCGGCATAAGCGATTGCTGCTGGTCGTCTCCAGATTGATTGACGTTGCGGTCCATGTGCAGTGACCAGAGCTCTTTCATCCGTACCACCTACCATCACTGAGCCTCCCTACCGTCCTACAGATCCTAGATGTTTCGATCCGAAAAGATTCCCTCCATCTGTAAACCAGTCTCGTCCCATAATGTTTTTGGATGGTCAATGGCATATCGGGATTTACACCGGTACAAAACTTTTTTATGAATGGGTGCCGTATTGTGAAGTGGTACCCATGGAACATGCGCCAACCCGGGGGAAATTGCCGCATCGGTTAGCCAAGAAGGTGGAAGATGTACTTGCAAAGATCGAGGAGACGAGGAAAAGATTTGAAGAAGCTGCGGCAAAAGAGAGAACAGCTGAAAATGCCAGCACAATCGCCTTGGAGCGCGCAATATATTCTATTTAGCAGCGCATTTTTTGTGCTTTTTTTTGTCATATACTAGTAGCAATTAATCCCACCTTACACTATAATTCCAATGCTTCGTAAGCTACCCACCAATGCATGTTGACTTCTTCTCTCACTCTTTCTCAGTAGGATTTCCTGCTGGTTTGACCTTGCTCAGGGTTATGTGGCAACTTTGCCCTTGCCTCCGCCACGTCTCCTTGCAGTACGATTAGATGAGTAGCATGTGCTTGCTGGAAGTCTTTTCCGGTCTCGTCCATGAATTTGTACCAAGGGAAGATAGGAAGACAGAAGCACAAGCTTCATCCGTTCATCCAAGGCGTACGTGAAGCCGACTTTCTGCTCTATGAAGATAGTTTCGCTAGAAAATCTCTTTAGGTGAATCCGCTACCCTAAACATATTCGTCTCTTTTCCTTTGCAGTTCTGCTAGAAGTATTGCTATTGATAGCTGCCTTGCCTTGCAATCCTGGCTTTGAAGACGGAACTGTCCAGTTCGGCGAAAATTCTTTGTTTTTTGGATCTCTTAGTCAAGGACCGGATTGTCTGAGTTGTTGTCTTCGGCAGCACATCGTGATATGCGCGCCTGTCACTACGTGTGAAGGGTTATAAACGCAAAACCCCGAGATGCTAGTAGAACCACAGAAAAGGCTAGCACATGTTGAGGAGTCAACCGGCGTCTGCAAAAAGGCAGGCAATAGATCCCACATACCGTGACACCTACGTAGTTCAATATATGATTACGGGCATAGCTCCAATGCCGACGATTGCACGCCTTGCTCACTACCGTCGAGATAGTAGGACGATGGACGCCAACAGGGACGGCTTACTCTACACTAATGTACACCGATACCTCTCTACCACCAAATGATATCCTCATTGCATTATAGGTCTGTAACAATGACATGCTCTACAGCTATTCAACGACGATCCCCACGACCAGCGATGACGCTCACCATATCATATCTCCACGGCAGATGCCTAGATATGTAAAATATCGGGAAGGCTGTCCTCTTCATGACATCTGCGAAACGACAACCCACAATTTTCAGAGTCGGTGTGACACCTATTTAACTTGTTAACCCCATTCCCAGCATCTCCATATTTGCGCCTGACACCTCTAAATTTACTGTGTACTTGCGCATACAACATTTCATTAGCTAGTGCTTAGCATTTGACATGTTGTGTCATGCTCAACTTGCTAACGAATACCTAGCCTGAGGATGTGCCTAGGCTGATTAAGATGTTAGATGGAACATTATTTAATATCAACCATGTATCATGGCATAATACAATCGGTCTGACAATAAGACATATTTTACTTTCTACTACGTTCGCGTCAAAATATAAATCGCGGATGTGATCATAAAGCCCAGAAGGCCAATGACAAATTAACACGAGTTATCGCAAGTGAAATTGATGCAAACAATAGCCGGCCTAGATGACCGATAACAGAATGCACCGCTGTCAAAACGAGGCACATGATGTGCCGGCCATTTTGCATTGATGGTATGCGCAGGACTGCAAATGCCTGTCTCTCTGTCCAGGCAATCCAAGTGTCATGGTCAAATCTACCCTGCAACATTACCAAAAGATTTGCTCACCCAAAGTATCAGTCTAGACGTAGCATTTAATGAAACATTACACCGTTTTGATGAAAAGTGCGCTCTCCATCGCTTCTTTCTAGTCAATGGGATTCCGGGACGGAGTGAGCAATTTCAAAGTTCAAGCCAATGTCTCCGGTCTGATACGTGAGCACCAATACAACAGCGTCCTCCGCTTGGATTCCGTACCATTCTCGAAAGCTGCCATTGGTTTGAGTAAGTCCCTTGTGTTGCGGGAGGCATAGTCCACAGGCAGTCCTTTCCCCGCTAGAACCCCGCACACTTGGTGATCCGTGCACAGGCGGCAGGTGAAGAAGCAAAATAACATTTAACTGTAAATAGCACAGAATGAAATTTCTAATTGAGTTACAGGGAACCTGAGACATCTGGGTCCAGCCGGTGGACTGTGCGAATGATCTCATTTGGCATACCAGGACCTAGAGCGAAATTGGGATAGTCCTTTTTCAGGGTCAATGAATTTGTATACGCATATGTTTCCCACTGCCTCGTTCTGCGACATGTTTGAGAGCAGTGGCAGGCCCTGGGCTTCTGCCAAAGTTTCTGCAAGAGTGAATGGTGGCCAAGGGACAGGATTTCCAATGCCCGGTTCGTCTCTACTCAGTTGATTCTCAATATCTTATAGCTTCCTGTAGGCTTCGAACGTGTCCTGGATCATAGCGGCAATTACCTGCCAAGATTCTGCTCCATCTCTTTTTGGGTTTCAAACTCGTATGAACGATGTGCGTCCTCCAATTGCTCGAAGATTTCAGGTCTGGTGAAACTCTAAACTTGGGGATATACAATGTAGACAATCCTTTTCTGACCTAGGTCAATACCGAGACGAGACCTGGTACGTTTGCAAATTGCAATCCTCCAAGGGTGCGCTTATACATATACCTTCTACGTATCACGATTTCTCATTGCCCAGCAGCCCATTTGATATTTCGCAACTGATAGCGGTGGAGAAGTTGATCAATCAAGACAACACGCCTGAGACCGGATCCTTCCATGGGCCAACACCAAGTAGCATCAACTAGTCCTTCGGATTTGCCGTGAGAATGGCTTCTTTTTAAGTAGCACTGTGGCTTTGCCTAGGTGAAGGGCTTCTTTACAATTTCCAGTCCTTCTCCACTTTTCTACCTTTTCCAGGAATAGGCTGGCATAGACGACAAACTTGCTCCAGCTGAAGGACATTACAGTGACACTGCTGATGGCAATGGTGATCATGAGCCCCATCGATTCTTGTTGACAGTAGCGAGACGACGCTGCAGTCTGTCTATAGCTTAATCTGTATGTAATGCTTTTCATCTCATCCAAGGGAGGTGAATGATGAACCATAGAGTCCAATTGCGGTTGTGAGGTAGGACATTATCTGATCTGATATGATTGTTTTCTTGTGCGCATGTTCTGGCCTAGATCTGGTGATAAAGCCAGGCCAATAGGAAAAGTTGTCGTGAAGCTAGGAGAAACGGCCTTGAGCGGGTAAAGGTGATGAAATGTACGAAAGCCTCACAGATGAAGTAGTCCAGTAGTTGGGACTCCACTATAAATTGGGCTTTCTGCCTATAGTAATATGCGCACCCTCGCAAAAAGGCATGTCCATAGAAAAAGTGACGCCTTCGAATAAAGTGCATAGTTCACAATGACTTGTAACTTGTCTTGTTCCTCAAACTCGAGCGTAGAGAAATGTAACTCGCTCTTGGCAGGATGAGAGATGTCACAGATGCCTTGACAAAGAGTCCATCGACTGTGAAATCTTATCCCAACCGAAACGCTGCATGTCTTGAGTCAAGAACGAGAACGAGAAGCTGCTCCTTTTAAAAAGAAGCCAGAGTCACATGATTTTCACATGACACGCTGCATTCGCGGTCGTCCGTCTGGGAAGGCTTTTGACCCTCAACTGCGCTACTCTCAGCTGGAATTGTGTCGCAAATGGTTTCCCCAGAAGACTTTCTTCAGCAGGCGATAGGTGCAAAGCTTCCGGTAGAGAAGATTTCAATTGTAAAGGGACGAGAGGACCGACACTGGCACCGTGCAGAAATCCTTTCGCTTCGTAACGAACATGCGGGCCTTGATAAAGTCCAGTTCTACGTTCACTATGAAGGATTCAACAAACGTTTGGACGAGTGGGTCCCCTTGGAGAGACTGAATATCTCTCAAGCCGAGTTTGCAAAGGTTGGAAAGAAGCAAACTGCCAATAAGCTTTCTGGAGCTGCAGGGCCGCCAACGACGCCCAGTGGAGGTCCTGCTGCAAAAGTCGAAGGTTCCGGTTCCGGTGCAGCTGTCGGTGTGCCATTGTCGGCCACAGTGCCCCAGAAGCGGAAACGACATGACAGAGAAAGGACCCCATCACATAATCAGCTCCAGGCAGAAGAACATAGAGTAAAACAAGAAGCGGACAAGGATGCGGATGGGGATGTGGTTATGGGAGATGCCTCTGCAAGTCAGGATACGGACGACACTTTTTCAAAGGAAAAAGAGCTTGAAAAACTTCGGGTCCACGGTTCAATGACTCAGTGCGTTACTGAAATTGCACGACTTAAGAATATTGATAAAATCGTCATGGGTAAACACGAAATCGAAACGTGGTACTTTTCACCATATCCAGAGGAATTCACTCAACTCCCTCGTATATGGATCTGTGAGTTTTGCTTGGAGTACATGGGCTCCCAGCGCCAATTCGAGCGACACCGAACGAAATGCACTCTTCGGCATCCCCCAGGAAACGAAATATATCGAGATGAAAAAGCTCGCATCTCTTTCTATGAAATTGATGGTCGGAAGCAGCGTAGATATTGCCGAAATTTATGTCTTCTTTCCAAACTCTTCCTTGATCACAAAACCCTCTACTACGACGTTGAGCCATTCCTATTTTATATCATGACATCCTGTGATGAAACTGGCCATCACGTCCTAGGCTATTTTTCCAAAGAAAAGCAATCCAACGAGGATTACAACGTTGCCTGTATCTTGACGCTTCCTCAATATCAACGAATGGGTTACGGGAAACTCTTGATTCAATTCTCCTACGAATTGTCAAAAATTGAGAAGAAGACAGGGTCTCCCGAAAAGCCTCTTTCGGATCTGGGACTCTTATCATATCGGTCGTACTGGGCCGATACGATTCTGGAGAAACTCTATCAGTACCGAGGCGAGATCACAATTCAAGAATTGAGTGATGAGACGAGTATTACTTGCGACGATATCATGCACACTTTGCAAGCGCTGGATTTGATCAAATACTATAAAGGACAGTTTGTCATGTGTTTGAGCAAAGGCAATATCCAGCATCATGAGAAGAATGTTGCGAAGAACAAGACAAGGATTGATCCGGACAAATTAGATTGGGTCCCTCCGAAGTTCACGCAAGCACAGCTACGTTATGGATATTGATGCCTTGAAGTGATGGGTCCATGATGTTGTGCCTTTTCTGTACATTGTTTGTTCATGGTTGTGTTGCCGTTGTGTCGCGCACTGAATTCCAGGATCGCTAAATCAGATCTGGGCTGTAAATATACCTCGCTCAATAAAGTTTATGTCGTTTTGGACAAACTTGGGTTGTACGTATTTTTGGGGGGCACATATTGACCATAACCATCCGGCTAGCATCCATGTCCAGGTACAGCGGCAAAGTATCACATTATTATCTACGCATCTCCAGAAAAGTACAAAATAACAAAGGCGACCTAAGCATAAACAACACAATATAAACATTTTTGCGCTCCTAATCGAACCCGTATACGCAATCAATCCAGTCATTGTCCACCAGCGGCATTCGCCTTGATATCTCCCTCACCCTCTAATAGGGGATATTCCTTGACAAGAGTGCACTCACCGCCATCTTCAGTGTTTATTTTAAACTGATAAAAGTAACCTTCTGCGGTAACCACCATAAGTATTTGCTCACTAATAGCGCAGATGTTTTGCGCTCCTTTGCTTGTTGATGGCAGTTTGGCAAAGCAAAAGTCTCGCGTGGGTTCCCACATTTCAGTTAGCATGTCCGGTAGAAAGTAAGAGCCTACGGAGCCCGCAACGGTGGCAATTGGCGCTTTTCTGTTGTAGTCGATTGGCGATGAATAACGTACAGCGCAGTAGGTAAGTGTAGGATGCAACTTACAGTGAACTTATCATGCTGTTTTTTCTTTGTCCTGAACTATGTCTTCGCTCCATTTGTGCGGCTGCCTCCCGTTCCTCTTCAGATACAAGCTTAAAGACATGAACAGTATCTGTCGCACTCGAGACACATAGTAATGTGTTGTCAAGGTTAAATGAAATTGAATAGATGCGAGCAGGATATGTTCCCCTTCGGAACTGAAAGAGCTTTTGACCGGTCGGTACCGCAAAGACTCTGATTACCGTCCCCTTAGGACGATTACAAACGCAGAATGAGGATATGTTTTAGGGTTGCGAATGCCATATTCATTACCTTATCACTAGCAGTTGCCACCATTGTTCCGTCATAATTGAATGCAATACAACTCAATGGACTCTTATGTGCTTGGAGGATATTGATAGCTTGAAGGTTTATTGCATCGAATATCAATAATTCACCCGCCGCACCAGACGTATTTGGCGGATAAGCTAGGTAGCAATTATCGGAGGATGGTGACAAAGCGCAGAGTGCTAATCAAGAAATTCTTTATTGAGCATTTAGTAAGAAAATTTACTCTATCAGCCGCATATTCGTACCATTAGGGTTGGGGCTAGTATCGATTGTGTGTAAAAGTTTCATATTGCTAATGTCGTAAATGTAGATGTGCTCTTCTAGCACCACGACCAGACGCTTTCGGTTTAGTTTAACGGCGAGAATGGCCGTGACAAACGTCAGTTCGCAAATGGTGGATTGTCTCTAGAATAGATCGCTTCATTAGTCATCTTGAAGGAAATCGTCCTCGCCCAATGGACGATGAATACCTTGGTATTTGTAATCTGCAGTCGTCGAGGAGAAAACGCCGGCTGTTCCCCCGCGCCAACCAATGCAACCAAGCTTGTACAAAAAAGCATCTCCACTATTCCGATTCCTCCCTCGGCTATCAGAAAATCCATTGTCAGCTGAACCGCGGACTTTATGGATCAACAACTCGCATACTTTTTCCATAGCATTTGCCAATGGGATCACAGTTATAGATCTTGTAGCCATGTCGTGTTCCAACTGATATGCAGCTAGTAAAGTTAAAACCGTCGATTGTCAGCATTACAAGCCGTATTGATGTCGTCATGCGCGGGTCATTCTCCATCCTGACACTATCACAACTGGCACCGGAAAAAGGATATAGATATCCTGACACTGCAGCGCAGAAGCGCTCTGTGCGCATGCCCTCTTTGCTTCCCTCACATTGGTACATGTGGCTGAAATACCTGAAGTCTTGGTTGAAGTTTATAAACAGTAGTTCATTGTTTGACTTTCGTCCGGTGTTCATGACCGCTGGTCTGGAATACTTTCTTGGACGTATCAACTACGTGATCGATGGAGCTGAATAAACACAATATCGCAAGAATATGAAAGATGGTGAACAAGAAGAATGCTCAAATGCTGGCAGCAACTCTTCACCGTTGCTTGTGCTTGGGGGCGCGTAATCCCGTGAGTCATCACATCAGCATGACCAACCAAAGCTCCGACACGCTTCTCCCAACAAAACAATTCCATCGAGTCCTTTGCCTACGCCAAAAATGCACGCAACGTTCCTCTTTGCCCTCCTAGTCTCTTTCCTTCCTTCCATTTACGCCATATCAGCAGTCCCACTAGCCGACTGGAATCCACCATCTTTGGGATATTGTGCTGCCATACCTGCTGGATCAGGCACACCTGGTTGCCTCATCATCCAAAATGAAGCTCGCACAAATTCGTCATCGTCACTATACTCCAAAGCAAATTCAGCAGTGGTATACATGAATTTGACCACAAAGGACCCTCTTTCGGGTGTCGCAACGAGTAGCATTGCAGTGTTCTATCCTAAAGTCGATGATTATTCTCAATTGGAAATCCCTAACAGTGAGTATATTACTGTCGTTTCTGTAAGTTTATCAGCAAAGCTGACAGTTATTGCAAGGTTGGACAAATCTGACGCAGTATGCGGACACGACTCCTCCCGAGATTACCATGTATCTGCTCTATCGGAATCAAATCTTCCCCACTGCGACAGTGAGGTGGGCAACGACGTCCAACGGAAAGCTTGTCTACGTACCCTCACGCACTGTTGTGGTTGCTATTGAGAATGGTGATTTTTCAGTGCAATGCATCAGCTTGCTTTGTGAACCGACATTAACATATGGCCGTTTCGTAGGAGCACTGACGTCGTTTCAATGGTATCCCACAGCATGCACCCTTAGCACGTGCTTTTGCCTCGACAGCATATGCACGGAGGAATGCCCCGATGCAAACTGCCCAATAACGGTAAGGTTTGCTTTAGTAAATCGTAAGGTGCTGAAGATGCTGATCGCATGGTCACTTCAGGTGTTTGTTGGATGGGCAGGTACAGATAGAAATGGAGATATCATGACGAGTTCCAGTCGCGACATTTGGCGGTTCGAGAACGCCTTCTAAATATGTTTACCTTTATACAAGTCCAGTGTATTATAACTCCATTTCAATTCAACTATTCGAATGTCCCATGAATGACATGAATGAACACTAATGCGCCTGGCTACAGCAAATGTTTCTTAAAGAACGAGATACTGCGGTCAAACGCGACCTTAGCCGCTTCGGGATTGTACGGATAAGCGGGGGCCTCTTCGTTCATGAAAGCGTGGTCTGCGTCAGGATACTGGTAAAACTCGGATACGTCCTTCCCAGCTTCCTTCAGTCCCGCCTTGAGCTTGTCGGCAGTCTAATGTGATCGATTAAGCAACCAATAATCTCAAGAGAGAAAACCGTGAAATGACGGAGAAGTTGAGGGTACCTCCTTATCCGAAAAGCCTTTCGATTCATCTTGGTCGCCGAAATGGAATTGAAGAGGAATCTTTACTTGTTTGGGGTCGGCGTTTGGGGGTACACCATAGAATACTACGCCAGCGGCAAGTTCGGGGACGTTGATCGAGGATGCCAAGGTCTGCCGTAGCAGTTTTAACAGCTGTCATGTCAAAACGGTTGCAAGTATATCACATACCAGGGCTCCACCCATGCAAAAGCCAGTAATTCCAACCTAAAGCCGACAAGTTAGGTCAAGATTCGCACAATTGACAACGGGACTAGACATGTACTTTCTCAGCGCCTTTCGACTTTAAAAATTTGACAGCATTTTTAATGTCCTCAATTGCGCGAGGCCAATCCAAAGTTGACATGCAATGGTTCGCCTAAGGTGATGGTGGATATTAGGTGGGTTCAATTTCTCCTCGTCATCAACACCAACCTCGTCGGCTTCAGTAGCCACCTTTCCACGATACCTATTGCCCGGACGGCATCAGCATGACGACAATAAACATGACATTTCAAGCGAAAATTCGACGTACAGATCTGGAGAAACCGCAAGACTGCCCAGAGCATCGGCATATCGCTGAGTTGTCTTCTTGATCTGCTCATTCAAGCCCCACCATTCCTTTTCCACAAAAAAGATAATGGGTATCAGAACAGTTCCAATAGAGGCATTAAATTTTGCTCGTGCTCACCTGAATGACAATAACGCCGGCCTTGGACCCCTCTGCAAGCGACAGCAAAGACGATAGACCAGTGAGTGAGAGACCAGCGAGACGCCATGTGCTTGTAGATGAAGTCCCCAAATAGACGCAACAATAGATAAGAACCTTTCCCTGTCACAAAGTAGGGCACACCCTCGTAAGTAACGTTCGCCATCCTTGACTATTTACGCTGACCAAAGTACGGGAGATGAGCAAGATGCAAAAGCAAGATGTCGAGAGGTGGGATCATGATGACATTGGTCACATGACCATGGTTATTGGACGGATTTCAGCATATACGATGATGTCCTTCAGGCAGGAGGAGACATAAGAGCGAGGTAGCATGACAAATAATATGCCTAGTGAAACTATTCAGTTCATCTTCATGCACGACAGAGGACGGCCCGCGATTAAAATGGTATAATATATAGGCCGTCCAGATCTTATGTACCCAGTTTTACAAATCTTCCAGTCCTTTCAATGTCGAATCCAGCTCCTGTTTAGCAACATTGTACTTTTGTGTCATATCGTCTAGTCGCTTTTCAAGCTCGGTCTTATCAGCCTCGAGCTGCTTCGCTTTACGGTCTGCTTGTTCGGCGGTCAGTTCAAGACCGCGGGCTCTAATAACCAGCCCTAATTAGCTCGCTCTGCTTACAAGATAAAAGTTGCCAACCATCACAATACGCACTTATCTGTCACCTCCCTCCAGCTCCGTCCCTTGTCTTCTATCTGCTGCTCCAACAATTGGACCTTTCGCTGCAGCGTTTCCACTTGTGATTCTTCCTTGTCTCCTTCCACTTTCTTCAGCTTAACCTGTTTTACAGAGTGGGAATTAGGAACCAAGGATACCAAAAGTCTTATCGTACACTGAGTTCGAGGACAACAAGTAACCAGGCCATACGCACCTCTTCTACGCGTTTCTCAGTTCGATCCAAGTTCTCTTGGAGGAGCGTGATCTTGTTATTAAGGCTCTGAACTTCTGTCTCACGCTTAGCAAGTTGCTCCTTGAGCTGCTTTGCTTCCTCTTCTGCTTTCTCTGCGCGCGACTGATGACTTTCGGACTCAATGCGGAGCTTTTCGAGTTTCTGCGCGTCCAAAAATCATGATTTGCAAAAGTACGGGTCAATAATACAGTGAGTGCAACGGATCGGACTGATTCAGTTTCAGGTGCTCCCAGAAGGCCGCTCATCGCCCCGCTGTCATTCGATGCCAGCCCACAGCCCGCTACCAAAAGCATAGCGCGTACCTCCTACCTCCTTAATCTTGTCCATTATAGCACTTTTCTACAGGGAATTGTCGAGTACTATGCAATCTCTGACGGTTTTGACCGGCGTGAACTCAATCCAGATGGCGAAATGGCGAAAAGGCCCCAAAGAGCGCGAATCCGACGCCATCCACATCCTACGGTCACATGATCAGGATGACACGCGCTGGGAAATTGGAGAGCGGGCAGACGAGCGTGGCCTTGACCTGAAAGTAGATGCTCTCATCCCACAACACAATTTACCTAAATTTCCCACACGGCTGTTACTGAGAAACCATGAGCGGCGCTGGACCTAGGTTTGCCATTTTTCCAACGCGGATGTACGTACATAGCAAGCTTTCCAACCGCCGTGGTCAGGCTCCCAGAACCATCTGACCTGCCTGATAACCAATAGGGCGTTGACAACTATGAAGAACCGTCTAAAGGGAGCGCACACCGGTCATTCACTATTGAAACGGAAGAGTGAGGCCCTGACCAGGCGGTTCAGGGATATCGTCAAAAAAATAGACGAGGTATGAGAGGTCTGCTTTTGGAGGGAAAACGGAAGGGAACGACACCGCACCGTTGAGAATGGATGAGGGGATTTGACAATGGGACAATGGGAGCAAACGGAAATAATGCTTAAATGCATATCGGTTCACCTTACGCTCTCCTCACCATTCTGTATAAATAGGCGAAGAGAAAAATGGGCAAAATCATGCAAGTGGCAAACTTTTCATATGCGGAGGTCATGTACAGCACGGGCGATATTGGGTAAGGGGTCATATGGTGTGAATGCAAATTACACATGGTAACGGCCGACCATGCCTAGGTACCAGGTCCGCGAAAGCGTAAAACAGGCACAACTCAAAGTTCGCGCAAAGTCCGAAAACGTATCAGGAGTACAACTCCCAGCATTTGAGATGTATGTGGACGGGCAAAATGGTAGGTTCGAACTAGAGTAGCTAAGGAGATATGAAACGGCCAAATCAGTTGGGCTTACCTCTCTGCACGTTCAGCGTTCGAATTGACCGGGCTGGGACGCGGTGGGCAGGCAGTACAAAAATGCAAAGAAACCTACAAAAAGGCAATTGAAGTACTTGTGGAACTAGCATCCTTGCAGGTATGTAAACATAATGTGCTCTGATAGGTATCAACAAATTAACAGTGACATGGATAGACTGCCTTTGTGATACTCGATGAAGTGATTAAAGTTACAAACCGACGTGTGAACGCCATTGAGCACGTCATCATTCCCAAGATTGAAAATACTATTAAATTTATCACGTCGGAACTTGATGAGGCGGACCGAGAGGAGTTCTACAGGTTTGAGAAATGCTTCCGTCGCGTCGGATCATGGTGAATTCTCCGTTAATGTTGTGCATCGCACGCTGTGGTAGGTTGAAAAAAGTGCAGGGTAAAAAGAAGGAAAAGCTCGCAATCGAAACAGCGGAACGCGAAAAGAATCAGAGTGCGTTATTAGCTTGTCTTATCTTTGAACCACTGCATTCCACCCACTAATGTGTCTACATCTAATAGGCCTGGGTCTAACATCAAACCAGGCGCAGCCGTCGAACCTACTTAATGAATACGAGCAGGATCCGGACGTGATCTTTTGAAGGTGTTTATAGCCAATTGGTTAGCCGTTGACATGGTAAAATGATGAGAGCTAGAGCTGTCTTGACAAAAAGGCACGTGCGGGAGTGAAATTTAATTCTTGAATCGCTGTCCCAGAACGCAACTCTGCTTGCGATGGCGGCCAGCACATCAATAACCTGTAACGTCAAACACTTGGCTCTTGCTGTACATCATGTTTACATCCGGCCTATTTTTCTATTCCAATGACAATCTACGGCAGTGCGGATAGTATACGGTTTACAATATCCATGGGGGCATCATCTAATATCACGATATCGAATGCTTCCGCGTATTGATCTAGCAACAGCTCTGTGTCGTGATTAAGAAATCCAATGGTTAGTTTTGTGTCATGTTCGAGACCCTCTGCCATACGGAGATCCCCCAAGGAGTCGCCCATTAGTATCTACGCATGAGATGCCCTGTCACTAAGCGAAATTGTAAAACTGTGCATACAACAGAAGCTTACCACATTGTGGCGGTCTTCGATTATACTGCTATATGCGGATCCTCCTATAGCGGCTTCATTCTTATTAAAGGTATGAATCAAACGACCGTCAAATCTATCTGCAAAGAGGTCAATGGGGCGCCTAAAACGACGGAATCAGAGTTTGCATGTACCTGCCACGCCATCTTCACCAAAATGAAGCCTATTTGAGACAATGTGGACATTGGGCTTCATGAGACCCTCATGCCGTAAAAGTGCGTCAATCACATCTGCAAGGTCCAGAATCAGTCAGCAAGCCATCATACATATCGTAGAATTACGCAGCCGACCTCCAAGTCCAGCAGAAAACACCAAAAGGGGTATATCCTTGGCTGCACAGTGATCCACAAACTCCCGCGCTCCCATTCTCAACAATATTGGCGTTTCTGTTACCATATGGGCCAGATCGCTTTTTGTCAGCTTCAGCTCGAGGATCAGTTCATGAGCCTTTTCCCACCACTCCACCATCGCTTGTACTTTCTCTTTGTGTGGTATAGTTCGCGATATTTCAATAGGATAATAGTGTTTATAAAGAATGTCGGTCTTGTCACTAAACTGTCATGGCCAAAGGTGAGTTTGCAAAATTACGATTTCGTATCATCTGCAAGAGCCTGCCGCTTACCTCCTTTGGCACTCGACTACTCAAAGCCAGTAATCTGTGTGAGCTCACATTTCGTTCACCATTCACCCAGTATCTAACAGGGTCCGTCCATTAATTACGGTCCCAAGTCTTTATGCGGAGGTTAACATACTTGCTAATGGTCATATCAAAATCTTCAACAGAAGCACCAAAGAAAACCAGATAATCCATAAGTATCGCATTATCATACACAATTATGGAGAAGTAAGAGTTCAAAACCCACCACTAATTACATGCACCTTGCTACTTCCGTCATCCAGGATGCTTCGAAGTTTCTCGCTAACGCGCTGGAAATCTTTTATAAAAACGGAACTAGTTGAATCTTGGAGATAGGCAAGTAGGTCAACATAGGAAGATGAGTTATCTCTTCTTGGAGTTTCTGACATGGTAAACGGCTTTCGTCGTCGTAGATCTGTTCAAAGCAGATATTGGAGAGTTGGTCGCTGCGCGCACACGTCATGCCTCATCGGTCACATGACCAAGTGCAATCCTCGATTTCCTGGTTGAGATCTCGTTCAGCGAGACGCAAAGATTGGCGACCATGTCTGAATATTGGGTGTCCAATAAAAAGTATTTCTGCAAGTACTGCAGAATATATATACAGGATAACAAGATCGTAAGATGCCTATATCGTCTACTGCGTGGCAAACTCTCATGAGCTGACTTTGTTGACCAGAGCTCTCTTGTCTTTCATAAATTCCTCTACAGAGTCGACAAACACATGAGAATGGAAGGAAACACAAGGATAACGTAAACGCTTACCTTCAAGATGTCCACAAAAGGCAAGAAGAACAGTCACAAGAAGATGCGAAGACTAGGGCCATGCTTGCGCGAATAGAACAGGTTAGTTCGTCGATGAATTGGTGCTTCTCATTGTCTCAAAAACTGATAGGATTGACCTGGAAGGCTGCAAGTAAGCAATATGCGCAGGACACGCGATCAAAACCGGACATTGCTGCTTGGGATCCTACTGTGGAGGCGGCAAAAGCGCAGAAGCAAGCGTACGTACCTGAACCTGACAAGGGTCGGCCGAAGGTGATACCAGATGCTGTACATCAAACACGACCGCTACAACCTGTGAGTACTACCCACGATGATGACGGACACCCCTACGGTACATGGGCTGTGGTTGACACCCCACCACCGCCATCTGGGACGGATCCGGCCCAAAACCAAAAGGGAAAAGACCGAGGCGATGCTGTCAATGAATGGGCAGATTATGGAGAGGAAGAGCCAGAGGAACATGTAGCTTCATTCAAAGTCAAGGAGAAGACATTGTCAACAGATATGGGAGAGGAGGACGCTCCAGGACCTGCAACTGCTACATTTAAAAAGCGGAAGATGACAAGCAACAAAGCGAGCCGGAATATTCGTAAAAGGACAGATTGACAGACTCAGCATGAATAAAGAACTCGGCTCACTTCTGTTTCACAGACCGCACATTGAACAACGTGGTAATCATTTGCGCAGGAAATTACGCCTCCTCGCAAACCGCTGAATATCTTAAAGAAGCCCACCGTGCATCATCATTGTTGCTACGCACGCAAGTCGAGTATGTATTGCCCGTGTCATCTCGTAGGAGATAGATTGCGATTAAAACCCCGCCGTCGATTCATATACTGGCGATAAGTTCGCTGCTTGTTGATCGACACCGCGCTCACATCCGTCCCGGCAACCTTCTTTCCCTGTTCAAATAAGATTTAATAAATGAACTGAAAAAAACTTAACATTTTTAGCAAATGGCTGGCGCGCGCAGCCTAACTTACATGTGTGGAATCGAATCCAGTAATTCCCATCAAGGCCATCATTTTTGCCTCCTCGTCCATGTCATCTGTCACTTGTGGGGTTTCATCGCGCTTAGATGAGGTACTGGTTCATACTTGATAAGCAAGCTTCATCAGAATGATCAACAGTGGAAAGGAGTACCTACGTTGGAGAAGGCGAGCGTGGTCGACGGCGATCTCTTTCCGAGCTACGAGAGGATTCGCGTCTTCTTGCTCTATCCCGTTCCCGTCTATCATCGTCGCGACCCATACTATCTTCCCGCCGTCTATGTCGACCATTATCATATTCCCTTCCTCGGCCATCATCGCGACTCCTTCGGTAATCGCGGTCTCGCCCACGATCATAGCTGTCGTCTTATCACGACCAACGTTGGTACTAAATTTTCATTGGAAGAAGCAAGGAGAGTTGACCTACCTCGTCTTCGCGGAGAGCGTGATCTTCTGGGTGACCGAGAACGGGAGTGCCGCGATCGGTATCTGTCTCGTCGTTCACCGTCTCGTCGATCGCCTGGGTCTCGGCGCCTACCTCCATAACGATCCCGGTACCCTAATACCACACCCACGTCTGAGCAAGCGAACTTTGACTCTTTTTTATTAACATTTATCCCTGTTCACCTCTGTCTTGTTCTCGCGGGTCGTCTAGATCCTTGTACCTTCGCTCCCCTGCAAAATTTCGTTATGTCACGATAATGAGGTAATGAAACAGCTCAAAGACTACTAACCTTTCCCATAATCTGATTCACGAGCTCTAGGATCATCCAGATCTCTATATTGGCCGGCAGAACGTGAAAAGTCAGCACTCATGTTGGGCAGAATTTCTAGTTTCCAGTCCTTTCGATGAGGACGAGCTCCCTGTCATCGCGTCTTGTTGCCATAGCAACATTAGACCTAGTGTCGGTCGGTGTTCAATTCTGCAGTGAAGACCAGCGAGATTCGCTCTAACTCCGATCACGATGTCACTGTCGGCTACAAGGGAGCGTCGTGCAAACGCGGGTAACCGCATGCACTCTCTTGTTCTCCAGCAACAGGATTCCCTTTTTGAGGAAGATGTGCTGGACGATGTTGAGGAATACATCGTAGAAGGTTGAGCCATTTGTTGTACAATCGTCCGTATGAAAGGTCATATTTAAACGCCCATGTATAGAACAGGAGGATGTGTTTGACGAGGACTTTGGCAGCACCGATGAGGAAGACGCTGTTGACGAGGAAGCTATTGTCCATGCCGAAGAGAAAGCTACGCGACAGGTGTGTCCTACGGAAGCCCTCGCGTTTGCCATTTCCTGACTATGCTCAATTTCTGCTACATAATAAATGTACTAGAAAAGAAGAAAAGTAGTCACAAGCATAAGTACTCGCTCCAAGAGAAGCGCGGGGGAAACACTGCGGACTGTGTCCTCAAGTTTGCAAACAAGTTCGAATGCAGCACAAAGTCCCGCAACCCCTAGCCGAGAAACGAGAGAAAAGAAGAGAAGCGCAAGAGGTTAGGCTCCCTTAATGCCAAACTCCGCATTATCCTTGATTCAGTATGACATCCCAACCTTCTCATTGTCGGCTGTCCGATTTGCTTCAGAAGTATTGCAAACGCCGTTGCTTCGTTCCGTACGACAGTCGAACCGGTCCTCAACGGTCGCATCAAAACGCCAGTTACAACAAAAACTTCTAGAAGACCAAAAACGTAGAGCTCTCCTCCCACAGCGCCCGCGAATGGTTGATGTTGAGATGACCCAGCAGGAGAAGCTGGCGGAGGCGAAGGAAACGGAACGCCTAAATTTGGCTAGTTTACAAAACATAATTCAGATGGAAGAGGAGAATCGTCGAAAACGGGCGCAGACGGTGGCCGAACGGGTTGGCCCTGTGATACGATTCCGATCCTTTCGAGTGAAGCTTGTGGAAGAGGTTAGTAGCGAGGCCAAAGAGTGTGCTACCTCGTCTACTGGGACGAAAGATAGTTACGAAAGAGAAGGCGACTCTCTGGATGTCACTGGTGTACATATAACCGACGATAATCTTCGGGGACTGGAGGACAACTCTGACCGTGAGCAACTGCCACAGCATACAAGAATGGACGTCGGTGAAGGACCAAAACAGCCTTTAGAGCGCTTTGGAGCCTGCAACTTGATGATTTTCGAGCGATTCGACCATGACCCATTCGAAGCCTGGGCCGATAGACCACAATGTACGGACAATACATGTCTCAAAGTTATGTCACTTGCGATTGAATCTCTTAGCTTTCCCTACTAGATCCTGTCAAAGCAACCTGCCCCTTTACTGGCCTGCCAGCTCGTTACCGAGATCCTAGGACGTCAATACCATATGCAACAAAGGGAGCGTACAAAACTCTGCAACGCGTGTTAAACCAGGAATATGCCTGGAGTCCGGTGTTACGTGCTTATATGCACGCCTTCAATGCAAAGGTTCCACAAACGGTTCCCAATAAATGGTTTGAATCGACTCTGGGAGTAGCTGTAGAGCGAGAAGAAAAACCCAAACCCAAGAAGCCTCCAGCGAAACCAGATCAGGGACATGGAACGGACAGCGTATTCCCGCACAATCAGGTTTCCCGTCCCAGCCCAGCCCTTGGTGTCATGTCGGGCACCCAGATACCGGTCTTCAACCCAGTAATGAGCCTCACGCCGGGTATTCCGGCCCCTGGCCTCATCCCAGCGACTGATCACTTCCGGAGGACGCAATTATCTGAGCTGAGCCCCGCGGCTCCCCCCGTACCGGTGACTCAGCCCAGCCCAGCAACTGGTCTAACATCGGACACTCATTTAGCAAAGCCTAGCCCAGTGATTGTTTTGACGAGTGAGGAGCCGACTAAAGGGCCCGCGTACAATGCAGCTGTAGGTCAACCTAAGCCATATGACTCTGACAGCGGAGTAGGTGATGCGGAGGTGATCAACGTCGATGTATGAACTCTCGATACCCTTTTCCTGTACATAATTTTTATTGGCCATGAGGGTTCTCGCGCCTGCCATATACAATAGATATTCAATCAACTTCAGGTTGATTCCACAAGCAGTTTGAGACCATTATGTTAAGCGGACCCGTAACTATTGTTCAAATCATGTACAACAAATTCCACCCACTAAACGCAAAAGATGAATAACTAATCGCTTACAGTTTCGTCCGATGCCACCTACCACATCCCAGCCCGTACACCCCATCAATTATTCAACGCACAAAGCAGTGTGATATTGTCTCCCTTCAGCAATATCCGCCCCAAAGGCTTCCTTGTCGCCTTCTTCAATGACACCTCCTCCGCATCATCCAACACCAAATTCATAAATTCGTCGAAACCCTGTAGTAAGTGTTGTCAGACATGATGAACATATATAAATAACGCCAAATATTAGAAGCATACGATAATCTGTCCTTCAATGCGCAGATCCGTTTGGTCGTAAAGCCAGATTTGTGCCCGCGATTTCTAAGATCAGCCAAAAACAGAGAATGTAGAGTGAGCAAAATTATTTAACGAGAAGTACTAGTTCCCAACACTCTGGTCCTCTCTACATATTCTGCCTCGACATTCCTTGCCCGCAGTGCGACTTTGAAACTATCTCTCCTCAACCGCCAACAAACTACAAATGCTAACGAACCTGTTGTAGCAGCCGAAAGATCAGGTTGATGGGTGCAACCATGATCTTTTGTACTTTTGTGGTCATCTTTGCAAATTTCAACGGGCAATCGAGTGAGGTGAGGTGAGGTGTAAGGGCCCGCTACAGGATTTGAGGTTATCAAGGGTAATGGAGGACTGTAGATGCAAAGCAACAAGGCAAGTCTCAGATTGGGCAATGGGTTGTGCCCACTACCTAGTTGCCATGACAGCAACGAGATCAGGTGCTTTACGCGGGGTAGTCGTCCGGCTTCCTGGACTTTTGGCGTTGATGACAAGCCGCGCGCTCAACCTCAACGTTGACGTTTGTGAAGCTGGCTGGCACTCCAGACGTTAGGCTGAATCACGAATAACATTGACTTTTTATCTGTGCACCGTCGTTCAGTATGTCGGGCTTCCTCTACGCCCCGGACCCTGGGGTCGCCAGCTTATCCAGGGGCATCGCTCGGATGTCCCTTGCACCAAACTCCCTACCACCACCGTCCGTCAACCTTGATACCGACCATCAGCTATCTGAGCTCACCACGCGATGCGCCTCGTTTTTAAAGAGATTTGACGCGTGGGTTCTGGCAAAGAAGAAGGAAATGAGCGATGAAAAATTGGCGCACATAAAAATAATAGACGAACTCAAAGGTATTTGACGGTCAGGAGAGAGAAAGTGCCGACTTGGTGCTAGCCGCGATGTTATCTACATTGCTCACATCTTGTGTGTTTTTTGCGGCATATCAGAAAAGGAATCCCAAACAAAAACTCAAATCGAAGTCTACAAAGGCAAAGAATCAGATCTGCAACGAGGTGCGTTTGATCTGTATGTATCTACCATGAGCTAGTATTGACAAGGCCAATCCAGCATACGAAAAGGAGCGGCAGGAAGCGGAAGACATGGAAGCTGAAGTTACGGACCTCCGAATACAAAAAGATGAGCGGGACGCTACGCGAGATGAGTTGATGGACCGCGTGCAAGCCATGAAAAACGACATTCGACGGAGGCGAGAAGGTGCAGTGCTGTGGTGAAGGTGAAGCTGAAGTGTTTGGGATTGCTCGTGAGCCTGACCTCATACCGTCGCGACAGAGCTGAACAAAAAGCGAGAAGCACGATTAAATCAGCACAAAAGAATTCAGCCTGAATTAGAATGCTTTATGAACAAACTGGCGATGGATGTGAGGGGGCTTCAAAGTATGGAAACCTTATTTCTCCGCCTTTATGTCATGCTGGAGCACTTACGTTGTATCTGTCGTAGCGGACATGTTGAAGTTTGTCTTTACCCATGTACATCCGCAAGACTGGGAGAAAGAGTACACCTTTAGCATTGATGTGCGAAGAAACGATTACCAAGGTGCGTGTACAAACAGTTGTTCTGTGCTTTCGAAACCTGTACGTAACTGTCTATCCGTAGTTGTGGAATGTAACCCGGCTGTGTCCAATCTCGACGAGTTGGTGGAATGGTTGAACAAGACTCGAGATTTCTACACGTTTCTAAAGATGATGCGACGAAGTTTCGTTGAGCTCGCAAAGATCCATCAGTGATGACGATGACCCGGTTAACCAAGTTCACGGGGAGGGGAGCCATCCGCGTTAAGTGGACTGCATACAAAATCAACGGATGTTACATGTCGAGTATGTTCATTTCTAAAAATATATAGTACATAATATAACTACAGGGGGGGGGGGGGGGGGCCGGGGCAAGCATTCTCCCTCTCAATTGCTCATCTACCAACTGTTCATGCTCTCTGTAGGTGAGGTACATAATGTGTCATCTCCTATGTTTGCTTGAAGATCCAACAGTTGATCCTCGGCCATCTTCGCTGCATGATATGCAAAAATATCGCTCTTCTGGCAGATCATAGCTTATGAAAAATGGCGTAACTACGCTAGAGCGATGTGATTGAATACCACTAGTGTATACTTACTTTGCCACTGAGCACAAACTGCAAAACAGATCTCCACAGGTATCGCATGCACGTCCGCAATCTTGACACGTCGCGTGCTCGCAAAATGTACATCGTTCGGCTGTTTGCTTCTTGCATTGCTGACACGGGCCTACGGTGGGTTGTTCTCTTGCGGGACTTGCGGCAGATGTTTTCTGTTGGAATATCTGCCGTTGTCCTCGTGCAAGCAACTTGCGCGTTTTATCTGCCAAGACGTACATATGAAGATGAATGACGTTATCACGTCTGCAGACCAATGTGCGCAACACTTGAAAACCTTTTCCGCCGACCAGCTACGAAGCATAAAAAGAAGCGGGCTTACCATGCACTGCATTCCAGTTCACGTCCGCGCGGTGGTATTTCAGCATACTGGCACAGTTCTCTTCAAAAGGGTTGAGACGTTTTCCTTTACCCTTGATTGATTTGATGTCCCCATCTTGCTCGGAACGTGGAGCTGCCACTTCAACGACCGCTGTCAACATGGAGAGTGTCAAGCGTGAACGTTGGGGCAAAAAGGTCCGCCAAGACAAAAGTCCGCGCGTTTGCACATTCCATCCATTTGAATGACATTCCAATCTCACGTGCCTTCGGTCTGATGAATTCCCCGCTTATTGTCTCACGTGGCCTCCGAGTTGGTCCTCCAACGCATCTTTAAATCCCGTCCCCGCTCCCCGATTTCCGCAGCATTTCCTACCTTGACATTTTGCACACTTGTTCATCACCATGCCTCTCAAGACTCGACTAACGGAAGCCCTCGGCATTGTCCACCCAATTGTTCAGGGTGGAATGCAATGGGTGGGAACGGCCGAGATGGCTAGTGCGGTCTCGAATGCTGGTGGTTTGGTGAGCAATTCTAAACTTTTTGTGCATTGAAGGCGTGCTTACAATTCTTCATATCCTTTTAAAGGGACTGCTTACCGCACTCACTCAACCTACTCCTGAGGCTCTTCGTAAGGAGATTGCTCGGTGTCGCACTATGACCAACAAGCCTTTTGGTGTGAATATCACCTTTCTGCCTGCCATTAACCCGCCCCCATACGAAAAATATGGTATGTCTGGCAGGACTGAAAGTGCTTTGCCTGTCGTTGGTCTATCAAATCTCCAATTGTGCTAACATACCATGCTTTTAGTTGAGGCGATCATCGAAGAGGGTATCAAGATCGTTGAGGTGTGTATTCAGCGTGAAGTGTCCCTTTTGTTATTCGGCTTCCCGGCGCTCAATAGTTATGATGATAGACTGCGGGTAACAACCCTGGCGTTCACGTGAAGCGATTCAAGGCGGCCGGAGTTACTGTTATTCACAAGTGCACGAGTGTTCGTCACGCGCTCTCTGCACAACGGCTTGGTGTTGATTTCCTGTCGATCGACGGTTTCGAATGCGCTGGGCATCCCGGAGAGGACGACATTGGTGGCTTGATCCTCCTTGCTAAGGCTGCTAAAACCTTGCAAGTACCGTACATTGCTAGTGGCGGTATTGGTGACGGTCGGGGACTTGCGGCTGCATTGGCCTTGGGTGCTGAAGGTGTCAACATGGGTTAGTTTGTTTTTGCCGAATTATTATGTCAAATCATTGAATTGTGTACCAACCTTTCAATGTCCCTACTAGGTACACGCTTCATGTGCACCAAAGAAGCTCCTATTCACCAGTCTGTCAAGGAAGCGATCGTGAAAGGCACTGAGCGTGACACTACACTCATGTTCCGCACCCTTCACAACACCGCTCGTGTGTTCAAGAACGCCGTGTCTACCGAAGTGGTGAAAATTGAGAAGCGCCCAGGCGGTGCACAGTTCTCCGATGTTCAACATCTGGTGTCTGGGCAACGAGGTCGCCAGGTATTCGTTAATGGAGACACCGACTACGGCGTATGGACTGCTGGTCAGGTGGTTGGTTTGATTGACGACATTCCGGCCTGCAAGGACCTATGTGAGAAGATGGTGGCAGATGCTGAATCCATCATCTCTGAACGATTGAACAAGATGATCGTTCCCAAGAGCAAGCTGTAGATTTTACGGGCAACATGAGTAGCAGGAAATCCATCATTATCTAAGAGGTAGCATTACATGATAGATTAGCCGACTTAAAACCTTAAATAGTATATTCCAAGAGCCTCTTGCATGATAGTAGGAGATATGGATCTATATATACATACTGGCATTGAGACTACTTTTCGTCTTAACGCCTCACTGGCAATTCTTGAGGTAGCAGCGTAGCAAAAGTTAAATACGACGTATGCCCCCGAACTTCAGCTTGTGGTTTGCTGGTGATGAGTTCTTCATTCAGGGGTACATGCAATGTTGTGGTATGATCCTCCCCAGACGTCTTTTCACCACCTGGTACATCCGAATCAGAGACAGCTTCAGCTGCTTTACGCTTCTTCTCGGCTCCCGCATTACCCTTCTTTGCATCGCCCAACTTTGGAAATGACCGCTTCTGAACCTTTCTCACATCGTAGGGTCGTAGCAAAACCTCATACATTTGTATCTCTGGGTTAATAGGATAAGTGATGGAACAAAATCTCATGGCTGACCACCAACTTGGAGACTTACCGACAAACCCTAGTTCCTTCAATGCGGTGCACGTCTTCAAGACTTGCTCCATACAGGGGCTGAAGCAACATATTCTACCCACTTTCTTGCGCTTGAATGCCCTTTTGGCCGCGCCAAGGGCATCCCACGGTGCAGGTAAATCTAAAAATACTAATGCAACGCACGGAAAATCAGCGTCTGCGGCAAGCTAAATCAGAGCAGCGGATGACCATACTTGCGTCCACCATATCGCTCATATCGAACCCATCCACACAAACATCCCGATGCTGTATGGTGATGATATCGCCTAACCCGTGTTCGGAAAATTCCAAATTGGCTTTTTCATATCGATCTCGGCTGAACTCAAATGTATACAAGTGCCCAGTGGGCGCAATTGTGCGGGCAATGGAGTGGGAGAACGATCCAGATCCGGTTCCAGCTTCGATCATTTTCACACCAGGTCGGAGGTCGAGGAGAGCTGTCACAAATGAAATGTCGGGTTGATATAAAATTTGGGTCCGGTGAGGAAGACTGAGGGTCCAGAGTTCAGGGGTAGGATAAAGAAGGTAGATGAAGCCTTTGCCAGTCTTTGATGGCATCTAACAAAATCATCGGATAACGCCAAGTCAGAAGCCTGCCCAGATCCAACGGGTGACGGGCAGCTGTCAACAAACCTTGGAACCCCACTCTTTTCCAATCATCGAACTGTGAGGAAATCCGCCATAGCTATTGCAAAACTCCCCGTCTGCGGTCACGGTTATGTAGGTTATGGTCTTTGGGCTCTGAAAAGTGCTGTTTTAATATATGCGAACAAAAGGGGGAAACATACAATTGGAGCGACTCTGCGACGTACAGAATATGCAATAACAGTATCGCCAAGTGCAATGTGCCGCGAGTAAGCACGAAAGGTACCAGCTGTCGTCGTCGTTGTCATTGTTGGAAATTGCAATTTCAAGCAAGCCAAAGTAAGAACTCTGGTTTGAGGGCATAGCATGCTTGTTGCTATGGATACGGACTAAGCCTTCTCGAGAGTGTCCAACGCCAGCATGTCGTGCCAAACTCATTTGCGGGTCAAACATTGGCATTTTCGTAGCTATTTTGCCAGCACAAAGGGCCTAAAATGACATCGAAAGCCCTGTGGACATTCAATCTAACTGGTTCGGATACAGTCGCGTAAGTCGCTTGAACGTTGGTGCGCGGGGCATTTGAGACTTGCTAAACGAGTTTCCACACATCTTCGTCACAGGCGAGGGAACTCGCGAAATACAAAACTTGACCCACCAGGATTTGCGGAGGCTGTGGCGAATGATGGTGCGAGGATTTCGGTATGTAAGGGATAGACTATCACGATTGCGAACAGCATGTATGGCTGCACACAAGGCCGTACTTACCGAGCGATGGCAGAGACGAGGAAGCCAAGACGATCAGCAAGAGAAAGAAGTACAAATTGCCAACCTCAAGATGAAGGTAGTTCTCATGCTGCGACTGCAAAAACTGGCGTGTTTGTTCATATGATGCCCGTCAACGACAGAAAGCATGGGACGCAGCACTGGCACCTGGGAAGTCAATTCCGATGAACGCCATAATGCTGTACATGTCAGGAAACAGCATACAAATTTTCAGCGTGCTGGTCACTGTTATGTTGCTGTGGAACTCGATAAAAGCAATAATGGGTGTCAACACTGGTAAGAATCAGTCCCTATACCGGAAGAACCAATTCATTAGAAACCAACCTGTTGATTCCAGTTTTCGACCGATTTTCTACAAAATCAACGGAGACACGACCACGGGGAATTGCGGCATTGCTAGCACTTTCTAGTGACCCGTTGCTTCTACCAAAGCTTGCCTATATCGTCCTTCAGTTTGGCTGTCTTGCGCTAGGTGTATGGAAATGTGGGGCAATGGGGTTACTACCAACTGCCCACTCCGATTGGCTAGCGTTTATGGAACCAAAGAAGATTCTGGAGTATGGTGTAGGAGGAAGCCTAGAGTCGCACACGTCATAAATCCTTTGTGCAGTTCTCTTGAGATTACAGATTGGCCTTTACAGAACACATCTAACATCTATTGAAAATGGGTCCGTTTCCAAATGTACATGTCTACTGAGTATTCTCTGATTGTCCCGTTACTTCCCAGAAATCTTCCTTGACCTCACCGCGGCAGCCAGCCACCGTACAAGAATGGGGTGCCTGGTTTGGCGCATAATTTGGCTTCTGCAGTAAACGTAGAGATGTATCTGGGTCTACAAATTCCACACCTTGCTGCAGGAGGTAGTTCATATGCTTTTGTGATCTGATGTGGTTCTTGTAAGAGCGTGCGCCTAGTGGACTTTCGGTTTTCTACAACTGGAGGGTCAGCTTGACGGACAGGGAGAACGGTACAATAACTAAAACATTACCAAGTATCTACCACCACACTCGCAGATCTTGTAGTCAGTGTCCGCATTTTCGCACTTGAAGACCCACGTGCCCCGTAATGTGCCAGAATCTCTAGGCATAGGGAACAGAGAAGACAAACTCCTCCCCAAGTATCGCCAGTGGATGGTGAGGAAAGGAAGGCAGGAGAGGTGTGCAGGTGCCGCGAGACACCTAGATCCGTCGCAATCAATCGGCCGCTTTCGGCACCCGCACTTGAGAAGCTGCGCTACTTTGAGATAACCAGCAACCGGTATCCCTAAAACGCGCGACTATCAAGAGAACTACTTTTCCAACGGGTTTTGATGAAGGAAATGTCCATCTCAGTCGAGGAGCTGCGGGGAACTCGTTGATGACGCATCCGGTTCCAACCACTGCTGCGATGAGGTGTCGCATGCCAGAACGCGCGGGTCGTTTGTCTTCTCCAACCCATCCACTTTAAAGGAAAACTCGACCTTTGAAGCAAGTCGAATTATCAAGAATATCAAGGACGCAACACTCCAAATCCTTTTGGGTGAGATGGCTCTTATGCTATAGGACGCGAGTATCTAGGTCACATGTGGTGAATTAACCAGAACGGGGTTTCTCCTAGTGCCTTTTTGAGCAAGAAGAGTTACAAGCATCATGGCAAGTTGTTCATTGACATTGTCATTGTTAGTGCTCGCCTAACTGGATTGTTGGAGCTTACTTGTTTTCATCTGAATATAGTCCTTTGATAATGGTCTTCGCATGTTGCCACCCGTGAGTCAGGGATCTGTTTCGCAAACAAAAGAAGTTGGTCGCAATACGGCATACGGTGTCCACGACACATTGAGAGAAGGGTTCCGAACTGTGCGGAGTGAGATTATTCCAAAGCACCCTGTCGAGAATATTGACTCGCAGGTAAGGGCTTCTGGATAACGAAGGCGGATATTGCTGGAGGCTACAGGCTGTTGATTCGTGTTGTGTTTTAGTGGCAGGAGACCCAAGAGCAGCTTCGTATGACTATGCACCGAAGGGCATTTGGACTACACGCACCTCTCCGTCTGCAAATGGAAAAGGTGTTGGTATCTCAGGTATGCCGCCGCGGAATGCACTTACATGTTGTTGACATATATGTCTCATGGATGTTGGCCATAACAGCCGAGACGCATTCCCGTGCTTCCTGTATCGAATCTAGGTCTGGAAATTCTGGAGGGGAGGGATCAAACAATTGATTATGAGGATTTCCTTGGAGGTAGGTTTGGCTCACTTGCGATCTACTTTGGACCCAGTTAATGGAATGTGCAATTTTGCTAGATCCTCATCTCTCGACGGATATGATGGATCCTCACACTGCTATGGAGCGTGTGCTTGGTCTCGGGCCTTTGTAAGATGGGTCGTATCAAATGTTGTGTGTGTCAAATAGAGAATCCGCTCAAAACAGCATTGCAGACAGCCTTTTGCGTCGGTGGTGCTTTAGGAACGTGGATGTTATGCAGATGATCCTTGGAACTGCAGGTTGAAATCTCCTCTCACCCGCCCCTTCACAGTTCGAGTTTCTTTATTGCGCCATTAAGTTGCAGCCAATGTCTGTTATAGTACAAGAGACATCCAAGCAAACTAATCGATGCATAGCTCAGTTTGGCCTGAATCACAAAGTATATCCACAAAATCGCTAATCCAGGCGTCTTCAACATGGCCCCAAATGTTTGATCGTCCTGTGAGAGATGTATCAAAGCGCACCCACTCGCCAGACTCCCCAGCATAAACACTGCCTGTGCCGCTCGCGATTCTTTATATCTCGTCGTAATGTATATAAACAGTGCCAGCACTGGCGCCAGTGGTACCTGGCGACTGAGGATGCGGGACCACGTAAACTCTTGAAGAAAGTCGTATTGGAGGTGGACAACGTACTCAAGCGTACCGTGTAGCACCGTGAGAGGTATAGTAAGGAGCAAAGCTACCAACACTGTGGGCTCCTCTTCTTGTTTGGAACCGGACCTTTGCTCCTTTGTGTCTTCCGCTTTGATTTGGTGAAGAACACCAGACTCGTTTATAATCCGCCATTGCTCTTCCTGAGAAAGGTTGACGAGTGGTGGGTTGTCTGATACTTGGTCTGGGCCTTTCTTTTTGGGTTTAACCTGCTTTTTGGCCATTACTAGTCTTCAAGATGTCTCCACAAGGCAACAAGCAGACTGCCATCTATCCAATACGTGTGGCGCATGCAAATTCGCTTACGTTGCTCGAGCTGTCTGCTGGTCAGATCTTCTTTGCCGATATGATATTTACAATGGTTTAGGAAAGGACACATTTTGTGCCCATTCTACAATACAACCTAGCGAATTCGTTGCATGCGACGGAGCTCTTGACACGACACTGTGACCCAATTCTTAAAAAAATGACATGAAAAGCCTCGCCTCGTCCGCTACTGGCAGCTATCTGGATAGTACATGTTACTGTCAAATCATTGGCGGGATGCCCTTTGGAGGATCAACTCCTACTCCTGTCTACCAAGCGTCAAGAGTATTTCACGCCTGTCGCTCCTGCTCCCCATCCCAGCTGCGTTCGCGGCGTTAAGTGACTGACAAGATTGGAATGAGATCCGTCAATCGAAACAGAGTAGCTGATCTTGCAGGATATAGGACTCTACTTTGAATGGGGAGGTCAGTATCCCCGAAGAAAACATGAGCCTACGACAGTAGACCCGGAAAATGCATTATCAGCGCGACATTTGTTAATCCTCGTGTTTGCCGAATGAATCACTAGGGAAGACCTCTATCTACTGTCAATGGTAGTCATAAGTGGGTCTATAGAAGCAAGTTAACCCACTGCTCCATGAGGATCGCCGGTCCCAAACCTGCTTAATTGGCAGTGCCATCAGTACCGCAGAATACATTCGACCACTAACGTCACCGTGGACAGCGTCAACTCAAATCCACCTGCTGCACCTTTGACCCTGTACAAAATATAGATGAGATGATTAGCTCTAACTTGCTATGCCTGCAACTGCCTGGTATTTTCTCTTTTAATATTAACACACGCTGAACTCTTGGAAACACCTTTGATTCATGGGGATGCACACATTTTGGTTTTGCGGGCTGTCAAGCGACAGACGCCGTCACTGCGTTCCTCGCCTTTGAAACTGTAACAGACATTGTGAATAACATGTATCTAATCAACAAAATGAAACCGTTCACACCCCGACGACCTTCCCTTGTGTGCTGCGTAAGGCTCGTTAAAAAAGCTCTTAAAGGCCAGCTTTGACGATCGGTGCTCTTTACCTGATCTAGAAATGCATCCCATGTTTTAGGGCTCTTTTCTAGCACTGGTGTTTGCGAAAGCTGGCTTACCAATATAGACAAAAGCCAACAACATTTTTGAATGACTCTGATCTTGCTTTGATTCCTCTTCTTCAGAAGATTGGGCACCAGCCCCCTATTGATTTCCTAAATGCGATTTAGAAGCTCGGTACCGGGATGATGTCATTAGGCACCGCCCTCCTTTAATCCGGTACAAGTCTCTCTTCGTTGAATCTTTGCCTTGTTCTTCCTGAGTTGACATTGTCATTTGTATTGTTTCTTTTTAGGACGTAAGACGTTTCTTTCCCTTAGCCAAACCCAAGCAGTGCGCCGCTAATCAAGCAGAGTGGAGACAATTCTAATGTCCCATCATCAGCCGCAGTAATCATCACATTGATGGTGTGTAGCAAGATATTAGGTAACGTTCTAACTGTATTCAATCCGGGGAATGCCCGGCAGACATACAGAAGGGCCACAAGGTAAAGGGTCGTCTGATGAACACTTTGAAGGAAAGCAAAGGAATTAAGGGAAAACTTGAAGGAAATTGAGATACAGAAGACAGCGGTTCTGTCGACGAGGACAATGGCTCTAGTGCTGCCAAAGGCGGGAAATCGTAAATGTACATTGTCCGTTGATACAGAATACATTGGTGTGTTCATATAGGTGCGCATAATTCACGAATGAGATCCTCTGGAAAACAAAACAATCCGACATTTCCACAGTCAACCAACACCGCAACCGTTGCTACCAATAGCTAGCTGCGACAGTATCCTCTCACCGGGAGCCCTCCATTGGACACGTCCCCCCATATCTTTCATTCGCCATGTCCTCCCTATCTGACCGACCTCATTTTCCTATCTACTTGGCAGTCATAAAGATGCCTCCTACAAGAAGCACGGTTTTTTCAATTGCACGTCCATGGGTGTGATCATAACACTGGTAAGATCAAGATTCAGGACAGGTACTGGCGTGGTCCATATAATCTGCGAGAGGACGTTGCCTTGATGCATGATTGTTGATACCCATTTTACGGACAACTGAACTTTATTCACTTATACAGGTGAGACAACTTATACAGATGAGACAAATATTTCTGCTGACACTATATACATATGCACTTGGCATGCCACTCTTGCAGTGGAATACAAACAGCCCAGTCGCAGTGTGTGACTTTTTACGGAGAACTCGTGCTGGAGTTTAGCCGGGGCCGAGCTGGGGAGCCTAGGAAATTACGTCGTCGTCTTTCTTGGGTGCCGGCGCTGGGGCTTGGGGCTTCGGCGGCGGTACTGCAGCCTTCTTATCCGCTTGAGGACCCTTCGGCTGTGGGAGCGATGGCGGTACTACTCCAACCTTCTGACCCTTCGGCGCCTTAGTTGCCGCCTTGCCCGTTTGAGGCGCTGGGGGCCTTACTACGGGGTTAATAGCAATTTGAGGACCCTTCGGCTGTGGCGGCTGTCCTGCACCCTTCTTAGTCGTTTGAGGCGCAGTCATCGCCGACATGGTCAGCCAGCCTACAAGGAAGAGCAGCACCATGTAGAGAGTTGAAATGCGGGCCATCTTGATTGGTTCGTCAGTCGAAATGAGTGCAGGTGGTGGTTGCTTCTGCTGTTGTTGTCAAAGGTGAATGAGGACGAGTGACAGCAGTGTCTACCGTCTGCTTTTATGCATTTCGGCGATGGACTCTGGAAATGGTCCTTGAAACATCGCTCGTCAAATCCAAGGTGGAGAAGATTCCATCTGCCAATCCCAGGTGGCAAGATATTCAGGATCTCCTCCAAAGTTCCTATAATACCGATTATTTCATCGTAGGGCGCGCGGCTAAGCCTGGATTTGTCATTTCGGGGTCCGTTCCCTTTTGCTAGGGACGAGTCCACGGCCAGAGTACTCGAACCAAGTTAGTGGCCATTGTTATGTGTATCTTTCCTAGATTATCTTCCATAATCTCCAACAATTATCGGGTAATGATCATAATGGAATTGGCAGAGCTATCCAAAACGGTCCCAAATATGCGCCCAGTACAGACCCGATCCAATGGGATTATAGAACGCGAACGATGCGCTGCTGGAGGACTACAAGTTTTGTTAATGCTTGTACATGAGACGTTGGGTTTGAAAGCAGACGAACCCTCATCTGGGGTAGTATAAGCAATTACGCCAGGGAAGAATATGAGCCAGAGAATGTCACATGAAACACAACATAGACCGTTCCTCCTTATTGACGAGGAAACTATGTGTTCGATAAAATCCGGTGTATGTGGGGTTTTATCGAGTACCTGATTCGTGTTTCTATACGCATATGAGAATACAACTTTTGTCGATAGGTGAGTAGTATCTCATATTCCGCCCCATTCATATGTAATATTCAATTCAAACCCCTACTTTTAGAATAAATGCGTGACTGTAAACATCTCCGTGCTCTGAGCCCATAGGACGTATTACAGCCAATGCCGGACATGGTCAACAAATATGAAATCTGACATCCCCCAATTGGATCGAGTTGTGAAGTGCGTGCACCTGGCGCTTGCTGGCGCCGTAGCAAGTGAGAAAGGAAGTGGCTGCCATTGTCGTTATCTGTATCGGACACGGCTGCGTTGGACCTCTCACGATAGCTAATACCGGAATCCCCGTCGACATATTTCAAAGGACAGTTAGACAAGTCAAGAGACCCAGGACGGGGACCGCTAACCGGCCGTTCAGATGGGGAATCCGTGATCCTTCCCAAATCAAACGAGATGCAGTTCGCCCTTTGTTCTCCATGTCGCGCGAGGCTCAAGCCTCAATTGGGATTTGAGCACAGTCACATTTTATGATGGCACAGCGATGGTAAGCCAAGGCCAATAAGCGGGTGAGTCTAAATCTCCACCAGCAAGCTTTCAATGCAAAATACATTTGGTATCACATACAAAATCTCCCAAATCCATCATTAAATATTCTGAGATATTTGTCTTGGGTAACATTCGATTATCGATATGCGCCATCAAAATCTCCTCCAACAGCTGGTCCCCTCAATTGTGTATCAAGATATTGTCTCTCGTCGACCGTACAATGACTGTGAATCTGATGGTTCACAGCAGAAAAATACTGATGTTCAAGAGCTTGGCAGGCCCGGATACGCCGACGAGGATCGTAAAGCAACATTTGCTGTCATGATGGAGATACCATTAGAAAAGTAGAATAAGCATAGATGTTCAAATGGGGATACCAACAGATAAAAGATCCACTCCTATGGAATCCAGTGGACCTGCATATTCTTCCCGACATACATATGCCGACAGTGGCTGTTCTGGGAATGGGCTGATTCGGACCGGATCTCGGTCAAAGTCGTATGTGAGGTCGGTTTGCTTTGGATCACCAAGTTTACTGGTATCCGGAGCAAGACATTTTAGCATGAACTGGTAACTGCAACGTAGAGCAACCAGACGTACCGCTGTATGTCCCTAATGACTGCTAGATCTCCAGTTGCTCCTCCACCAAACAACCGCTTCCCTCTCACCATCTCTGTAGTAATGAAGCACGAAATGAGAGTTGATCTCCAGTCATGTTGAAACTCATGAAACGGGATATGCTCAATTTACCTGCAAAGATGCATCCCACACTCCAAATATCAACAGGCATGCTGTACTCTGATGAACCGTAAAAGACTTCCGGAGCTCGATATAGAGCTGTTACTTGCTGTGAAAGAAAAATGACCAGATTGACGTCAGATGAGAGTAATGCGTGTACTCGCATAAAGGAAGCGTAGACTCTCACATTTGGAGAATATGCTTTCGTTGGACATGAAGCAATGCGGCTTAGGCCAAAATCAGCAAGCTTGATGGATATATTGCCCATTAGATCGTCGACAAGTAGTATGTTTTCTGAACATAAAGAGAGATTGTGATGAGTGCTCATCAAGCTGATCTCAGTGTCAGGGCTTGACCTACCTGGCTTCAGGTCCCGATGCGCAACTCGACGCGCATGGCAGTATTCTAAGCCTTGTAGGATTTGTCTAAGAATCACCTGAAATAAAAAAAGTAGTGTTAATTCCTTATCATGGTAGGGCTGGCTATCGTGCATATTGTATCTGTATCTGACCTTTGTCACCTCGGTATCCAGACCGCGTTGGCGAGTCTCCAGCATATCCCTGAGACTCCGCGAGCATAGTTCCATCACCATAAATGCCTTGAACTGTCCGTTGTCAATATATTGAAACACTTCCTCGATCCTATATATCGAATAATGTCACGAGGTTATGCAACAACCCAAGATGCAAGGCTCTACGCGTAGATCGCACCTGACGATGTTGGGATGATGCAGACTTTTCAATAGAGTTATTTCTCTGACAACATCAGCATTGAATCCAAACTCTTTTTCCGGAGGGAGCTTGCAGCTCTTGACTGCAACGATTCTGCCGTCGGAGCGATATCTTGCCCGGTATACCGTCCCATACACACCACTGCCAACAGCTTCTCGCTCACAGAAAAGATTCCAAAATGCCTTCTTGTCTCCTGCCCCACATGTCGGTTTTGCCAACATGCCTTTTGATGTTCTATTTGCCTACAAACGCTCCAGATAATGTTCCAAATTGGATCACTAAAATGGTTGCGAAAACCACAGCGCAGTAGATCCTTAATAGCTGTCACGTGACCCTGGACACGCTGCTGACTTCACACTGCGACACTTCCCCGGTCCGGTTCCTACCTGATGTGAAAAAAGGTCATTTCCGCTCAGGTAGAGCATAGACGGTGCAAATGCCAGCAACAATGGAAATCTTTGAGTATGAGCGTCTTATACAAGGTAGGCATGAGTGTCAAATGCTTGGATTCTGTGCAATCGTGTCCATGTTTAATAACTTGTTTGAATGCATTCGGTAGAATTCGAAACAGTTGTCCACGCAAACTGGAAACATAACGGCGAAAGCGGCGACGGTCTTCACAACACAGTATTGAATAAACAGGAGCAATCCACAGACTCTTCGACTCCGAATCGGCCCTTTTCGATGACGTGTGCTGAAAGTTCACCCCGACGTCTTTCCCGCCTCCTTGTTTTTGATTTCGACTCGACTCTCTTTCGGTCACCTTTACCAAACCCAGCTCTCTGGTCGGATGAGCTTCGTGGTGCTCTCATTTCCGACTGTGGCTGGTTTGCAGAGCCAAGAACGCTGCATCCGCCATTCATTCCAGTGCGTGCCAATGTTGTGTTGAAGAGAGGCCTGCGTATCCACTTATTAACCTTCATTCACAAAAGGAATGTCCAGGAGACGAATGGTGGGACACGGAAACAATACGGGATGTTCAGAAAGCATGTGCTCATAAAGAAGAGACTGTAACCGTCCTCCTCACGGGACGACGGCAAGACCTTTTTGGAGAGCGAATTAAAAGAATGTGCGAACAGCACAACCCACCTCTTACGTTCGATCTATTCTTTTTCCGCGAAGGGTATGATCCAACATCCATTTTACATCATCCAACGACGCTGGACTTCAAGCTCGCCGTTCTCCAACGCCTATTGTCGACCTTCCCAAGCATTTCCCAAATCGAGTTTTATGATGACAGAAAAAAGCACTTGGACCTTTTTGCAAAAGAGCTTGAAAAACTTCGTTTCAATGGAAGAATATCGTCGTATATTGTCCACCACGTTGTGCACGCGCCGGTGGAGGCTAGATATATGCCAGCGGACTGTGAAAGGGCCCTAGTAAGCGATCTCGTCGATAGGTGCAATAGCAGAATCCTTGCCGCGAGACGAAGCCAAGAAGAGGCGTATGCGGCAGAGGGGAAAGGAAACAGTGGAACGGTGTCGGGACGAGGCTTTCCCTGCAAGATGCAACGGAGAACAAGTGCGTCCATTTTCCGGAACACTCTCGAGTTGACCGATCAAGTTGCCTATACTGCCATTCAAATGGATTCAAATGACGTGCTAGCATTAAGGGCCAAGTATCCACCTCCTACTGCCAAGTGGGAAGTGCGTGCTGATCATGTAACAGTTTGTTTGGGCCCCGCCAAAGCCGAATTAGTCGAACCGATGGGCGGTGTAGGCGCTCGAGTGAGCATAAAAGTGACAGCGGTTGGGGAGCTACAGGACAAGGTCATGGCTGTCAAAGTGGAGGCCGTTTCAGGTGGTGTTCTTTTATCCGACAATGCAATCCCCCACATCACCCTCGCAGTTGCGCCTGGCGGAAGAGCTCGCGAAAGCAATCTGATCGACACGTGGCGAGCTTTGGACCAGCCTTTTGTGGTAGCAGGCACTATTATGGAGAAGGTCGTAACAGGGCTAAAGTTGGAACGAGGCCCGTCACAGTTGCCAAAGAGAGATGTCTCCATTGGCAGTCTCATTAAAAAACATCATTCCCAACTGCGTGGACGAGACATTGGGGCTGCAGTCTCCTTAGTTGAGGAATGGATGGGAAAAACATTTATTGAGAATCTGGGACAGAATGCAGCCGTGATAGAATGGTATATACAAGGACTTGATTTATCAGCAATACGGGACGGTGGGACAGTCAATGGTAGTTCAGGATTAATGGTAGATAGACAGGAAGAAAACTAGCTAGGCACAGGACGCTGTTATACGATATTTTTAAGACAGGCAGGACCTGTAAACCGCTCATATCCTGATATTGATGATGAGTAATGAATGTCGTAGCCTGCCTTATGTGGGATCATTATATATCAATAGCTGCACAAAAGCACGTACGCATAAGGGACTAATTCCTCGACGATTTTCCTCTCCTCCCAACCCGACTTTGTCGTGAAGGGGATTTGTCTCAGTATTTCTCCAAGGTTCCTATCGAGCGCTGGGCTTGTGGTAATTTGCTCACAACTATGGCTATCAATTGAAAGAGCCCTCTAAGATTGCTTTGTAACCAGAATAACGAGCCTTAGGCAGTACAAAAGTGTACATGGCGCTATTAGCTTTGACTTTCTCTGTCAGGCACACAATGTGAGCCAATCTGCAGATCAATCCAGCGCACAATCAATTAGAAGGGAAAAATGGTGGACATCTCATCACCTGTTTCTATTGAAGCGAATGAAGAGCAATGTAGTGATTCAACTATTGACAGTTGTTAAGGCCGAATGACAAGACATGTCTCCATGTATTCTGCACTTACGCCTTTCATACGCCTTTCAGTGTAATCTCCCCTGTAGGGCGACCCGCGCTGGTTCGAGTAACATAGGACTTGCGGTCCACGTTCAACTATAGGGCGTGCGCTAGGCTGGTCCTGGCGTCGCCCACAAGATTATGCCATCATGGTACCGTGAGGAGGGAGGTAGACGTATCAGGTTTGCATGGCGGTTAGTGTCAGACGATGGACGGGGATTTGTTTTGTCAATGGACAGAGTAAGACTTGTCGGATTCTATTGTTCTACAACCTTGTCCGTTGATGCGCTTTTAAAAAGATACTTCTAAGAGATATTTTTTCCCGGTAATTCACATCCTGTTCGCACCATATTATTGCCATATTGCATTTCCAGCTTTGATAATTGATGAGTGCATCCATTCTAACAGGACAAATTAACCGAGGATGCTGCATCGTTGCATTGCAAGTGTGTAGATATCTGAACTTGTGGATCTGCACGGCTTGTTTACCAAGTCAAGGCCAATCCATCAGCATCAACCATTTGACAAACCAAGTCTGGCGTGCAGGAATTTGAATCACACAACGTCTACTGGATTTTCTTCATTTGACGGTTCTCTCTCCGTGTGGTGTGGTGGAGGTGAATTCGGAATCAAGGCAATGGGGTTCATTCCCCAAGTACGATATTTGGCCTCCTGTTTAACCTGAGCGTATTTACGGCAGTCACATAAATTCTAAGCGACGTTCTGAATTGCAGTACGCTCCAGACAGGTTAAGACATGCCTCCTCAGTAATGGTCGTAGATGGAGTACCTGTAGACAGTCGATTGGGACTTCCTTCCTAGGAGCATTTGTCATGCCACGACCCCACCAAACAACAAGGACTTGGAGGTGGCAGGAACAAAGGTTAGATTTCACCCCAATCATACGGATCACCTTATACTCGATGATATATTGTCCATCTTCCTGTGGAAAAGATCACTCATGTCGCGGAATAGGATTTTTTCGGCCTAGCCAAACCTTCAATCATCTATACATGGACCAGCCCACATGAGGTGCAATGTATTTCCATAGAAGTACTATATGAGTAAGTCTACATGACAGTCAGAATCAAACTGGCCACGCCGGCGCTAGCGGCAGCAGCCGCGAAGAGTCCCTTGGCCAATTTTCCAGCATCATTCGCCAAAATGGGAGCAGAACTACCAGAGACCACCTTGCCCTCCGCATTCTGGAAAGGTGCATTGTATCGGGCTGCAGTGCCATTCCCTTGCTGCACGCTGAGCGTGTACTTGAGCGTGGTTAATACGTTATTGTAAGCGCCGGATGCGCAGGCCTCTTTGAACTTTGGGTAATTGTCCTTGTTGCCTAGGTGAATTTGACAAGAGAGGCCGCAAAAATGAGGACGTTGGGAAGACATGCACAATGTGAAATCTTTTTGCACTCACCTTCACCCCAGATGGACGGGCACACTGCGATCAGCGCTTCACGAGTCGGATACTCTGCAAATGTCTCGCAGTTGCAGGTTGCAAAGGTTTTGAACAGAGCATCATAGCCAGATGATGGGTAGGTCAGATTGGCCCGAGCGGTTTGAAAGTTTGTTTCGCATGCCCAGTTCGCGTCCTGAAGTTTCTTTGGGCAACCTATACATACATACGGAAATGAGTCGTTCAATACACGCCGCACATGAAAAAAGCGATTAAAAGTGACCTGACCTGATTGGGCTGTAACTGATCCTGCAGCTGCCAGCGACAAGCAGACAAGAGCTGCGAGACGAGTCATTTCTTACGGAAAGCGTTGGTGGTGCGTGGACTGACGGAATACGGAGCGTTGGGGGCTACCCATTGAACACGGCAGCTTAAGAGCGAAAATCGTAGGCCGTCCACCATCTAATCCGATACCGCGGTATTTACTCGTTGCGCGTAACTTTTTAAAGCTTAAATCCCTAATTTCGGCAAGTTAAAACCTGGGCGACATTAAAAGCAAAACACAATCTGCCAAATTCCGTAAAGCCCCACAAAAGGAACTTTGACGTTGAAGGAACTTGGATTGCTTGGCCAACTCAACAACGACCACACGACACCGACGCCGCCTGACAAGCTTCCTCCCTCCATAATCAAACAGTTGACTGCCCGTTCTGCCCACCAAGATGGGGTTATTGGGCCGATCAGTCGTAATCTTGCAGGCAAAAATCCTCCAACGACTACTATTCACCAGAATTGCTCCGCAAGTGCCAGCGAGCGGTTTGGCACTCTAAAAATTTGGGTCAAGATAAGTCTCCCCAAAATGGCGGTATGTTGACAAGCTTTTGGTCATTTCTCCACTTTTTTTTTTTGCCTGGCGGATCAATTTCGGAGCGGAACCTCAAGTCGCACTGCACACTGTCCGATTTGGTTCTGGTTCTAAGCATCGAGCCCAGCGTTCAAGTAGGCTATCGGTGAGCTACACTTACTCGACTGCGTACATACTGCTCAGCGTCACAAAAAAAGTTGTGCCAATCATGAGTTGAGTCCTACCCAAGCGGCGGGAGGCACATTCAAATTCATTCATTGCGACTCGACATGCGATTCGCCGTCGCTTTCTGTCGCAAAGGTGAATAATTTGTTTACCATGATAGGAGTGTGGTAGTTGCTCCGATCAAACCAACTCGGCCAAGCGACTCAGATGGAGTTTTCGACAACAAACCCCAAATCACCCACATGTCGCATTACCTTCTTCAAATAAGTGCTGGTTCAATCGCTTTTTTCTTGGTCGCAGTGAGCCCCAACGGCACCTATATCTCGTTTAAAACTTTATTCGTTGTATCGGATGCTTTTCTTTAATCTCCATGTTCTTGTGACAGCCAACTGGTGTAAAACGGCCAGCACTTTTCCGCTTTGGAAGGACTAGGACAGCCCAAAACCAAGAATCCTGATCAAAAAAAAGAGTGACTTGAGGGCTGTCATCCGCTTCACTAGTCCTCTTATGAAGACGCATGAGGTATCCAGTTGGGGAAAACCGTACGGCGTACGGTCATGGTTCCCTTCCCCCAAGCAGCACTCTGCTCCGCACTGTAGTTACGCTCATCATGCCACAGTTGAAATCTGCTTGATTGCTACTTCTCTGGTGGGCGGGCGTACGCGGGCGATGTAACTCATGTCTCGACTGATCCTCGAATGATCAAGTTGCCAATGTCCTGCAAGCCTGAGTGTATGATTTGGAGCTTCTTGAGCCAGTGCACCGATGCTCCCTGCCGCATTAGTACCATGTATTACATTTGATTCTGCATAAAGGAATTCACAACTTGACTTGCAGATGAAATCTGCGTCCTGCGCCGATTACCAGGTTACTCTTGACAGTGTTTCCAAGGGTTGGGAGTACAGGAACAACATGATTACGGCTCTCCAAGAGACCCACAAAGGCGTCAAGAAAGTTGAAGAAAGGAGCACGAACGTCTGCAAGGGACACTGCGATTGGCGGGAATGCGAGACCGAATACTACAATGTATATGTCGTCCCCAAACGTATCGCTTTGGACAACTTCAATGGCGGATATTCAAAAGGATGGATGATCACTCAATTCGATGCGCCCGAGCAAAAATGGGGCAATGCGGTGCTATCCTTGACGGTGTTTTTACCGCTCTGTCCTTCTTGTCTGGGGGCGTTCACAACTCTGAACTTTTTCCAGCCTTTCTTTGAAGAATCCTGTGGCGCTTCTCTGGTCCCTGGTGAGGATACTGAACTCGCGGCCCATTTCAACGATGAAATGGGAGCAAATATCTGCTGACTATATAAAGAACCTCACGAACTCGGGAGCTCTTGAACACATGCGTACTGCAGCCTACTGGGACGACCGTCAAAGCGTTGCGTTGCAGGAAAAGACTCCTAAACTGACCCGCCCAGCTCGTCCTTGAATTAGCCTCAATGTGAAAACGTGGGAACAAATATGTTCGCAGAGGTCGTACTTCTATGTCTAGGTATTCTAGCTGGCAGTTATCATTTGTGCACCTCATACTTTGGGCTAGGACGTTATAGAGAAGATGTTTGCAAGGATGTAGTTAAACATGCTTCATAATAGATTGAATAGAAAGTATCTGCACATCTCCTTCCGCTCACTTCTCCCACGACGTCATGGTGCTTATTCTGAACGACATGGCTCTCCCGCATCCTGCACTGTTGTCTGACCTAACTGGTTTGTGATATATCTGCAGAACGATGGCACAGGCTTCCAAGCGAGGTCTCTCTCACGTCAGCTATTTCTCATAACTTTCCATGAGCACAAAGTTTCCAAAGCATCTCGCTGTTATACTCTTGCCCGCGTTAATCTTGGCCTTCGCTCTGTCAATCGGTGAAGATCACATCACTCTACCTACGGGCCGAAGAAAGTTAGAAGTGTTTCTACTATGACAGATGATGTCACCCTTGGGCGGATGCCCTGGGTGGCCCTCTCCATGACGCTCAAGCCTACAGACACTGATGGCCATTTGCAGCCATGCGCTTTTGAGCGTGCAAACGAATGCATTGGCGACCGAAAAGCGTAAATGCACATTTCTGTCATGAAAAGGCCGAGTCAAGGGTCAAGCCTGCGTAGTTTGCACTCTGTTCCAATATATCAGTTTCGCAACGGGCTGACTACAAGATAGAAATGCCCTGGAGAATGCTTCCGCAGTCTCCCAACTGGAGTACTCATGAATGATGACCTGGCACGATACGTCCATCTTGCCGCCTGAGATGTTATATCTGTATCCCGACTAGCTTGAGCCCAGGGCCGTTCCCTTTTAGCTTGGGAGGATATAAGTCCTTCTGGTAGCTGTCGCGGATGAAACTACGCGGTGCCCATATGATCCTGGAGAAGAGAATGATTGTCGGCGGAGAGCGCATGAATTAACCTAGCTTGTTTTCCGTTATCAAGATACCCTTAGATGTGTCGAGATGCCTGCTTCGAAGTACCTCCCTAATACGTTTAGTCGGATTCCCGGAGAGGTGCATCACAAGTCCGGCCGTACACTTGGTTCCGTTTTGTGTAGTCTCGTTTGTTATCCTGCGTGCATTCCTGCACATCGGCGCCTTCAAGAGCTCATGTAGTAGTCTTTAACGATGACACCGACAGACCGAGTCCCAAGGACGCATGTAAAGGTATCAGGCATTAAAGGGAGAGTGCTTCGATTCTTGCAATAAGAGAATCTTTACTACAAAAGCAGCATTTATACATGGCCTACAAAAGCAAGCCGATATGCATCAAATGAAGTGCTGAGACGGCCTATCCCTACCTGGTTTTGCACACCCTTTATCCCGTTGATTGTTGCTTTGTCGCAGACGAAAGGGTGAACACCAGAGATTCTGAAGCCGTTACCACCCAAGATGTTGTTAACGGGCATTATGGTCGGTGTTCCGTGCGCGATGAAATGAGTTGCTGCCAGGGAGCGTGGTACTGTAGGCGGCAATATGGGATCGGCGCACGATTGCTTTAGTGAGAACCGTGAAGCCTTACGAACCTTCCGCCAGAATTTGCCGACTCAAAAGTCCTTTGTTTTTCCGACTCTATTGATCCTTTTCTCAGCTCCTGTGGTACGGATCCATCACTTAGAGTCGCTCTTGATTTCATGCTTGGTCCGTTCGTTCATGGGTTATCAATTGTTCTAGGTTTTGGTGGGTGGAGCTGCACCACCTGATCGCTGATGAATGAGCCCAACGGGTCGCCAGGTGGGAGGGGCAAGAGGTGGGAAGTGAGAAGAACGCTTTGAGCATTCATCGCTTGGATAATATGTGGCAGTATGGTCTGTGTAGAGTCTTCTGCTCTGTTTGGCAGTATGTCCATTTGGATAGTTAAGGTCATGCGCTGTAATGTATATTCCTTTACACTGAAAAAGAATGCCAGAGACTGCCCCACTGACAATATCGAGGGTTAGGAGAGCGGATGTGGACACAGTTCTTTAAGACCAGACAAAATGGCACCAAGCGGGATAGCGCTTCAGTTATGATCCATCGTCCAAATAGATAGTGCGTCAATAGTGCCAGATATTATAGACAGAAACCTGTGACCCGCACAACTATGTAAGCACCGTAAACCTAACCCCCAGGATGGGCGATGCCCAATACCGGAAATCTTCCCAAAAATGTTTTTGAATATGACAAGCGATGATAGTTAATGATAGCTTTTCGTGCTATCTCGTGGATGGGCTTTAATTGCGATATAACTTGACCGTTACGGATGCAATATGTGAGACGACGATCGTAGTCACAGGGGGGAAAGCATGGGGCTGTCCAAGAGCATATGCGTTACGGCTGCGTTTAAGGCCGGTTCGTCATATCTGACCGTTGCTCGGAAGTGGAGGTGTAAGTTGATATAATGCTGTACTCGCTTGGACACAAATTCGCTCATCAATGCATCAAACCCGACAGTGTGCAGCCTAGTGCGGGCCAGTTGTCCAAATTTCCCAAGTTCGAGAAAGAGGCCGCCTGTCCAATATGCCAACGTATCCAATTGTTCATCTGTAATGGTGTCGGTAACCAAATAACTACGCATTTCCGACAGCGAGACAGTGGGCAGTAAATGCCAGGCATGGAATCCCTCGGAATACATCTTGTGCCGATCGTTCGTGGCATTCGCAACAACGACAACCTTGCTACGTCTCACATTGCGGAAGGAGACTGGCACATCCCAAGGAAAACACGTTTTCCATTGATTCGGATACATGCCGTTAAATTGATCGAATATCCATAGTAAATGAATTTCGCGGGATTTACACCAGGCTTCTAAATGCCTTAAGAACTCAGCAAACACCTTAGAGGCCACAGGTGCAGCTAACATTCGTGTCCGCCAAGTGCTGTAAGACAGATTGACATCTTGCCAGTCATTGACCAGTGCGGCGTCGATTTCGGACAGAAGAAACTCGAAGGCTTCATGTTCCCAGCATTTGGTCCATTCGTAACAATTGTTAAGATAAATAACTCGATATGTCGGATCCGTGCGAAGAATGGACACTATGCCATAGACAAGATGGGATTTTCCAATTCCGAATGGACCAGTGATGTAGAGGCCTGACTTGCGCCATACATGGCGACCGGCTTCGTCATATATGCCGTCGTTTGACCCACGCAACGTTATTCCAGAGACCTGCACTGACTCTCCAGGCTCCCCTATTTCCTCCAGCACAGAACGTAATCCACAAGTGAAAATTCGTCAAGCGGTTCCTCCATCTCGCTAACAGCCTCACTTAGGGTTAATGCCCCCAACTGGATTGGCAGGGCATCATAATCAACCACGCGTTGAGTATCGTTTTTTTGCGGATAAGAAGCAAACTCAGTAACACGCGTGTGCAAATCTTTCAACGCTTGACGAACAAGGTAACGAACAAAGTGACCGCCTTGTATACGCTCGAATCCATTGGATAGACGGTTGGAACATATCATTGGCAACCTAACATACGTGCCGGGCTCAATGTGGAGAAGGTCCAAGCGGGCTATATATCTAATTGCACTTTGTAAAGATTCCCGTTGCTGCTCGTTCTCACTAAACTGAACTGTAGACATGATAGCAGAGAAGGTGGAAAAGGTGCAAGAAGTTCCTTTGCTGTTTTGACCTGTGTTTTAACAGCGTCAAAAAATGGCAAATCGCTGGCCGATCTGTCCCATGTGGCGCAGGGATTAAGGGCTGCTTTTAGCATGAAGCTACCAACGTCCGTAGAGTTGCATTCCTATTTTTAACTCGTTTGGTGATTACTTTAGGCTCTACTCCCAAAGAAGAGAATTAACCTGCAATGTCGTAACTGAGACTGTGGGGGGGGGGGGGAAGGGGAAAAGAGGACATGACTGCTGAAGATTATTTACAAAACCTCCATTGACAGGGCAATCAGTGGCATAGTTTATTCTTTGGAAGTGGGAGAGGTTGAGCTTGTCGTTTGCTCTCAGCATGTATATATTACCAATCAGCAAGAGGGCAAAGCCAAATAATTGCATGACGGCGGAGCGAGAGCGGCGATGCCAGCCATATAGCGTCCCTTGCATGTAAAGAAGAGGAAGTCGCGGTCGCTCCCGTAGCATGTTACTCGTGCGAGAATGACACCACACAGCTGCAATGCAACAACCTCTGCACGCAGTCAACATATTTATACGCTAAGAAAATCAGCGATGGATTGGCAGAAGCTCTGTCAAGGAGACATGGTCCTTCAGGTGCATGATGTGGGACCTTTCGGGATAATGACACCACCTGAAAGTTTCCAACACACCCTCCAGACCTCCCTTCATGAATGATACCAAGTCGATCCCGTCGCGATGGTCAGTAGAATTGTGCTTGGTAGAGGCATCAAATGGCATATCTCAATTCATTCTAGTTGACAGCGATTTGTAAGCTAACCCTCCGATTGGGAGACAAACTTTTAACCTTAAATTTGCTGGTTAATGCGGTTCGCTCCATTCTAATCTGAATCAAGCCGCATGTCAATCACGTGATGGTAGCTTCAGCTTCAATCAACCACTTCCATGTAGGATTTGAGATCGTTCCATTCGGCATGCTTCGCCGACGAATCCTCCCACTGGCCGTGTTCCTAGCTCGGCGGACGCACACCAAACCTCGAGCGGGCGCTCCTACTCCTGAGGAATACAAGCAGTATAGACTTGACTCACTGCAGCAGCTCAATGTATCTCCATATCCTCGCTTTCGAGTCTCTCCTTCTCTCTTGTCTTGTGGTGAATTCAACGCCAAATTCCACGAGCAGTTTGAAAAAGGAGAATGGAAGCGAGAAGAACATTATGTCCTAACTGGAAGAGTCACCTCACGGCGCGATGCTTCTCGGAAACTCGTTTTTCTCGACATTCAACGTGGATCGGACCGCACGCAAATAATTGTGAAAAAGAACGAGTACGAGAGTGAGGATGGCTACAAGAGCATCGTTGCAAGTGTCAGAGAAGGTGATATTGTAGGTATGTGCTTTTGTGATTATTGCACTGTAACTATCGTCTCGGATATTGACATGAACATGCAGAGGCCGCTGGATATCCGGGCAGATCTCCAGCCGGCGAACTGTCTCTCGTCGCTCGATCGCTGACACTCCTTGCACCCTGTTTGCATCGAATACCTAAAGGACAAGGCCTATTGGATCCTGTGAGAATCTATGAAGAACCCTTGTGGGTTTATTTCTGCAATGTCTTCATTTGACCTTGTCTGACAGAATTGGATGGTTAGGAAACACGGTTTCGAGCCCGGTACCTGGACCTGATTGCCAACAATGAGACGATTCACATTTTTAGGAAGCGAGCTGAGGTGTGAATTGTCCTTCATTCTTATCGTCCGTGTCCGAGAGACTCAGGATCCAAATGTAGGCCGTACAATACATTCGCAACTATCTTGTTTCCAGAGGTTTTCTGGAAGTGGAGACCCCAATATTAGGCGCTCAAGCTGGAGGTGCCAACGCAAGGCCTTTTAAAACTACGAGCAATGCTCTAGGCTTGGACATGTTCTTGCGGGTTGCTCCAGAGCTGTACCTGAAGGTTATTATCGTGGTTTGTTAATATCTGCCGCACGCCCTTGGCTGATACTTGCTGGTTCTGTACTTAGCAACTGGTAATTGGCGGAATTGACAAAGTCTTTGAAATGGGGAAGCAGTTTCGAAACGAAGGCATCGATACGACCCACAACCCTGAGTTTACAACCTGCGAATTTTACCAAGCGTATACAGATCTGGAGAGCGTTATGGATATGACGGAGGATCTTTTGCGAGGTTTGTGCTATCGGCGATGCAGGATGCAGTTGCATGGTATCTCATGCGTTCAATTTCATCAGGACTCGTGTTTACACTGCAAGGGACGTATCAAATACCATATACTGTACATGGTCCTAATGGTGAAATGCAAACGATTGAAATTGATTTCGAAAAGCCTTTTAAGCGTGTGGACGTGCTGGAAGCACTCGAACGGTCGTTTGGCAAAGTCCCCGACCTAGAGGATCCCGCATCCACTGCCGCTCTGTTAACTATCTGCAAAACCCACAATATCCGCGTATCACAGCCGCATACCGTCGCCCGCATCCTCGACAAAATGATCTCTACGTCAATTGAACCCAACTGCACACAACCCACATTTCTCCTCAACCACCCCGTCGCTCTCTCTCCCTTAGCCAAGCGCTCCTCACCAACGAGTCCCACCACCTCCCGCTTCGAGTTATTTATCGCTTCGAAGGAATTAGTGAACGCCTACGAGGAATTGAACGAACCATCGGAACAACGTCAAAGATTTATGGAGCAAGCTCGGGATCGGGAGGTGGGGGATTTAGAAGCTCAGGTGGCCGATGAAGGATTTTGCGAAGCACTTGAATATGGATTGCCTCCCACGACTGGATGGGGTTTGGGCGTCGATCGGCTTTGCATGCTTTTGGTGGGCGTGAGACGGATTAGGGAGGTGATTGCGTTTCCAATTTTGGGCCATGGTGAAAAAAATGCATAAGCTCCATATATAACATCATCTAGTTGAGGCTATTTATAAGAGATACAAGGGAAGCACAGTGTTGATCATCCTTTCAAAACCCTGTCCAACTTTTTCGATACTCCTTTTAGTCTCCCTTGGACTCTGTTTACACTCTCGTCAACCTCCTCCAGCAATCCATTTTGCAAATCTAGCTCTTGACCGATTGCAAGCCCAATTTGCTGCTGTCGCTTGATGATATCCGACAAGGAGCCCAGCGTTTCGTCTTGCTGTTGCATGATGAGGCGTTGGTTTTCGAGGAGACTCGGCGGGGATGCGTTTGTGTTGCCAAACTTCCGGGTTGAGGAGGACGGTTTCGCAGGGGCGGGGAGGAGTGTAGCCCGCTCTAAAACCCGGTCGTCACTTCGTTGCTGCCCATTACACATCTTTTCCAATGCTTCCCGTTCTCTCTTTAGCCCATCTACCATATCCTCCCTTCGTACTCTTTCACCCCCTGTCACCCCTCGAACTTGTTCCAACGCTTTTATCCTCGCTCCCAAATTCGTCATTGACCGTTTGGCATTCAAGGCGTGCCCAGGAGCTTTATCCCTAACCTCCATTCTCAGACTTTGCAATTCATCTTTGACAAATCTATATTCTTCCATCCAGCTCTCGGCATCGGGTTCCGTGCGCGCCGCAGGGACCGAGAGAAAAGCTTTCCATGCATCTGTTTGCCGCCATTTCGGGTCTTCAGCGTACAGGATTCCTTTCAGGTAGGACTCAAGTCCTATCCGCCTCGATTCAATTTTGGAAGCGTCGGAGAGGGAGAAGAAGGTTTTGGGCGGAAGAGGGGTTGGTGGGGTCCCCAATGCGAGTAGAGTGGCATGCAGGGCGGTGAAGTCCGAGTAGCGGTGCGAGACTCTCCATGAGCGGACTGGGCCGCGCAAGTGAATTTCGTACAGGGTGTATGGCGGCGTACTGGGGGACTGGACGGTGGCCGGGATGGAGATGGAGGTGATTGGTTCTGGCATCTTGTCTGCAGCTGGAGGAGCAAACGATGGCCAACAGTGGTGTAAGCAGTTCCTGGTGCCCGAGTCACGTGTGTAAACAAACCCTTGGATTCAGCTTTGGGCTTTTTATCAGGATATTCATCTTTTAAAATACGTACAAATAACCACACGCCGGAAGGAAATGCTACGACTTCAACCTACACTAGCCCTCTTTGTACTCTCCTTCCTACTGCTAGCAACGAAATCCAAATGTCATCATTCGTCAGGCGTAAAGCTAGTACCTTCTCTTCACCGGACTCCTACTCCGACTATCTCTCCGGAAACTCCCACGTCTACGATCATCATACCTATCATACCCTCTCCGATCATCATATCTCCTCCTGTCACCATACCTATCAACCCCTCTTCGTCCCCTACTCCAACTCCTGCTTCGACTCCTCCCATACCTCGCCTTCCTCTCAGGCCTGGGGTCCGCGTACACAACGCGCACTTCATTGCCGTCAATCCAGCCACCATTCATGGCCAAAAGAGCTTGCTCGGCGTCTTGGCGGGTGGCGAACTCAATATATGCGGTACCACGGTTACAGGGCCTTCCATCGATAGTCTGGCGTCTGGCCTCGTGGGGGACGAGGATGTCAATGGTCTTACCAAAATGGGAGAATATTTCCTTTAGGTGATCCTGGGTTGTGTTTTGGCTTAGATTCGTCACCTGGACTCTGGGACGTTTCAAAGACAGTCAGCGCTTATACTTACGAGCAGATGCTCGAGATCTTACCTCTTGTTGTTAGGATCAGCCGCAGACCTCACTTTAACATCCGATCCTCGTCTACGATCTTCCCTTCTCCTTGGACTTCTGCTCCTGGAGTAAGACCGCGACCTGGAGGTCGACCGCGAAGTGGACCTTGATCTAGACGACGAAGACCGACTATAAGATGATAAGGAACCGGAGCGAGACCGCGAAGATCCGGTAGAAGAGCGGGACCGAGAAGAACGGGAGGATCGAGAGGATCGTGAACGGGAGCGGGAAGGGCTGCGAGAGCGAGAGCGGGAACGTGGGGATTCGGCCATTGCACGTTGGATTGATTGCACAAGTCGCTCGTCGTCCTTTGCCATAAAATGGACCCCTGTTGTTGCCATGGCAGCATATCTGACTCAGCGAGCGGAACTGGACGACAAGTTGCAACTTTGCTTCGAAACGTCATCGCATCCGTCCATCTCGCTTCACGGGAAATGCCATCTCCACAACCATACACGCTCCCCGCCGACTTTGCATCGTCTCCAAAGTCGTCACCAGCAGATTTGACACCACAGGTTTCGAGATCCGTGCACCTCACACCAGCCAAGACTCTCTTCGTTGCACTTCGAACTGCGGATCCGATCTTGCAGTATCTCATTTTTGCAAAAGGTGTGATGGGGATGGGTTTTAGAATTTGGAAGGGGATCTGATTTATCTGGTTTTAGGATGGGGAAACGCACTGTTTAGGGTATTGGGCCTGACCGCCGCGACGCCCGTGATTGGGATACTGTCACCCAGACAGAAGCTTTTGGTTGGATTCGCAGCCGTCGGGGCTGTTCGGCAGGTTTGTTCAGTCTTGGAAACGGCCGACTTAACCATATCCTCAACGATCCTCTGATTGATCGACCATATAGATATATTGGTGCCTCCATATAAGCGAAAATGGTGAGAGGGCGCTTATTCTATTTCTGTCGGCATTTTATGCAATTCTGACCTTAAAGATAGCCTTGACACCCGCTGAATCGCTCCATGTCTCCCTGTTCAACCTCCTAACCGATACGCTCAATACGCTCGTCTCCCTCTCCGTCCCCGCCTGGCACCTTACACTTCGCCAATACACCGGTACCCTCCTGTTTTGCATTGGATCAGTTGTGGAGACTCTTTCGGAGTTGCAGAGGAAGTGGTTCAAGGAACGGAAGGAAAACAAAAATAAGGTCGTTACGGAGGGGTTGTGGAAAGGAGCAAGGCACATTAATTATGGGGTGCGTTGCTGGTTTCAACGACGTCCGCGCATGAGTGCGATCATATTGATATTTGTTGGTGCAGGGATATGTTCTATGGCGAGGTGGATATGCATTATCTACTGGTAACCTCTACGCTCTATGGAATCCTATCATGCATATCTGGGACTTTACAGCAAGGGGTAAGCTGTATACGACGGCTGTCTTCCTCCTCCCGAACTTCGCGCTTAATCCTGGATACTTTTATAGGTATACCGGTTCTGGATCATTACATGAGCCACAAGTACAAGGAGCAGGTGCTTGCGTCATTAAGTACTTGGTGATACGTGACTGATTGCTGATAGCTGTCTTGTTTTACAGTGGGGAGAGTACAAGCGGCAAACTCCCTACAAGTTATTTCCGTATATCTGGTGAAATGCTCGATGATGCCCCTCCCGTATCACAAATTACGGACCGTAGATGGAGAATGCACAAAGGAATCTCATTCGCTGCAATACGTCCTGTTTATACAATTGGTCGATGCAATTACAATGGCTACTCCAAGAACGGTGTATAGAAAGGGGCAATGAAAGATTTCCCCCTTCCGTTCACTTCTGCCTCCACCCGCTCCAGGTTTTGCATGTCCACCGTCGTCTCCTTGTGCCCCAACTCCCTCTTGGCCAAAAGTTTCTTGACAACTGTTCTGACCCACGCATCTCCCGTCCATCCCTCCTTCTTCATCCTATTCCACAGCTCTAAGGCCCGGTTAGGCATACAATCCGCGAACCGCGTGATAAGCATTCCGCACATTTCTTCATCCAATTTGACACCCATTTGGTCCATTCTCCAGACGTGCCGGAGGGCATGAGCGTTCTTTCCACAGCGGATGTAGGACAGCAATACGAAACGATGCAGAGACGGATCTTTCGGATCTGGGACCATGGTGCGATCTTGTAGAAGGATGTCTAGGAGACTGTGCGCAGTGGTGACACGATGGGTCCGAACGTTAAGGTAAAAAAAGGACAAAAGGATGCGTTTATCAGGCTTGACGCCAGAGCCTTGCATGAGCCGCAGAATCCTTTCTGCTCCCTCTAAGTAGTTATGCTTTGCAAATACTTGGATCGTGGCTGCAAAGAGACCAGAATCGCAGTCTTGCTTCAGGGCGGCCCCGAGGATCCGGGTCGCTAGGGTCAATGTACTGAGCTTGCGAATGTTGTGCTTGTAATTTCTGCCTTTTTTGTCAACATCTACACAACGTCGTAGTGATAGGCCATGCAACATGCTGCAGTATATGGCGCGGTTGGGAATAATGCCTTCGCGAATCATGCGCGCAAAGTTCCTGTATGCCGAGTTGACGTCGCGGAGCTCCACATAAGAGTCAATGATATGCCGGTAGGTATGGATGGTGTGTCGGCACCGGGAGAGGAGATTTCTTGTGACCCATTTAACAGCGAAAGGGTGCCGTGTCTTTGTATAGTGCTTCAGCAATGAGAGGTAGAAGCCAGCATCCGAAAATGGAACTGTGTCGCCATTTTCCATTGACCCTCTTCCAGCAGCCAGCTGAGACATCCGCTGAATCTCCCATAACATGTAAGGGACGTCGTCCAGTTTTCCCCAACGATCATAAGCTTTCAGTACAATAGTCCAGTGTTTCAAGGATGGTTTGATTCGGCAGAACCCCATGTCTGCGATTATGGTATAAAGGCGGTCCAGGCAGGTTTGGCGGGATGTCACTGCTAATACAGTGTAATTCAAAATGACGGTAAAAAGTTGGCTGGGGCAATGAGTGAGAAGGGTCGGATCGTGCGCAAGACAGCTGTACAGCATCCATGGATCCTCGTGTTTAGTGACTTCTCCTGGGTGATGCATGGGAAAAGTAGAATCAGGAAAAGTTACTTGTTCTTGTTTCCGCTGTTGTGCTCGCTCCCTGAGCAGTACGTCGGTGTGGTACTCAATCGAAGCGAATAACTCCACACTCTGCGCGGTAGCCGTTTCTCCTAGATTCTGTTCAACAGCAGGCCCGTAAAATCTTCCAAAAATCCATGGCCCCAACGCTGTCATATTAACTTCAGCTTCCGCAACAGCCGAAGTGTACTGATTGTATGGGGTTATAACCAATTCTTGTCGTGGGCTCTGGTGTTTTACAAGGCGACGACAGCTGGATTGGGTCCACGGTTGTTGGCGGACAGAGGCGTGCGAACTGGTGACGAAGGGCCGGTGTCCCCTGGGGCGGAGTTTGGACGCTATACATACGGTTGATGCTATCGGCGATGAACGGGGGGGCATAGAGCGTTGGATCGCTGCAAATGCAAACTGACTGGGGTTTAGAACGCTTGTTGACATGGCAACACCCTCTGGGCTTCGCTGGTTTTCCCCCGTCGTCATTTATTATCTACAGGTCGACCTCCATAACTAAAAACAGACCGCCGCAAGCACCATGCCCAGACCGATTCCTCCCAAACCATCAGTGACCGTTCCGCCGTTCAATGATATCACTCGACACAACTTGTCAACCTTACAGCTTGCCATTCGCCATATTCTCGACCGTGCTCACCATATTGCGTTGGATACGGAGTTCACAGGACTGGGGAATAACAGGAAGACAAAGGATTCGTATGTGTTTTCGGCGATCTCCTTGCTGCACTGAAGTTCATTCTCACGATCGTCATATCTTGTTTCGGTGTTGTGAGCAGAAATATTGAACTGCGCTACAGAGCCCTTGCAGACGTTGCACGCACACATGCCATTGTGTCCTTTGGCATCTCTGTCTTCGAGGCAAAACCCTCGGCGAATTCCGCTGGCACCAAAGAGCATGGATACATCGTCCATAACTTCAATTTCCTCATGCTTCGATCAACCGAGTTTACCGTCAACTCTGAGAGTATGACCTTCTTGGTGGACAATGGTTTTGACTTTAACAGATTGTACAGAGATGGTATTTTCTATAAGCCGGGTGGGGATGAGGTGAGACGATGGGACATATATCACGCAATGATCATATTTCTCTGATCATGGACTGCAGGCCGTAGATGTACCTCCCGAAGACACAAACCAGATCATGCGTTCGATTTTCGCCCATATCCTGTCGTTGAAGGTTCCTATAGTTGTTCACAACGGACTTCTGGACCTGCTGTTCATCTACTACTCGTTTCACGCCGATCTTCCCAATGAGCTGGGGACATTCGTTGCCGACATGTTGGAAATGTTTCCGGCGGGCATATATGATACAAAATATGTGGCAGACTATGTGACGCGGGAGAAGGCGAGTTTTCTGGCATACCTGTTTCGAAAGTAGTAAGTTATCATTGCATACTCATATCGTGATGCAAGAGCTGGTCGTAACTATTTCGTGGATCCCTAGCGAGCGAGTACAACTTGCCCGCAGCATATCCAAGGAAACAGACTTCATTACATGCGAGATCAAGGACCGTATGCCTACCATCACACGGAAGTGGACCCCACCCCCTGCACCCACAAAGGGAAAAAGGGCGTTTCCGGACACTGGAAAACCTTTCTGCGAACAATATGCTGTATGTTTCAGTTGCGTCTCTGGTAATTAAGACGGCACATCTGACGTGTTGAATATAGGCTCATGGGATCTGCAACAGTGGGCGATATTGCACAAAGTCCCATGATCTGGATATCATTCTAGATGACGAGCTGGGAGCGCCCTCCGACGGAAATTCCTCAAAGCGACGGCGAAAGAGGCAAAAAAAGGATGACGGCCCGGAATTGTCTGAAGCTGATAATCTGGGCAAGGTCGAGGATGGGGTTGATGATGAGGCTGTGGCTAAAGGGAACGTGGATGGATTGAACTTAGAGAACAGTTCTGTGGAAGGTCCCGTATCAAACCCAGCGATATCCACATTACAGACGCCCATGCCAACCGAGCTGCATCCGCCACCCCCTTCAGACGGAACACTATTTGAGAAGTACCATTCGGCTTGCTTTGACGCGTACATGACCGGCTTCATTTTCGCACACCAATTATTGGAGCATGGCGGAGGGGAGCAAGGGACCGCCGAGTTGCGAAATAAGATTTATCTGATGAGCAAGTCTATGCCTTTGTTGATACAAAAGAGCAAATTTTCAAAGACGAGTGAGGGACATCGAGCTAAAATGAAGAAACTCGCAAAGGCGCACGCGAATGGGGGGTAGGTATAAGATCTGAGGCCGGAGTTTTGTAAATAGATGTATATTGCATTAGAATACCCATGATTTGATTACGGAAAAGCTCCGCGAATCGATAGTTCCCATGTTTATGAGGAATCCATATTTTCATGTTGGTTTGTATAGATCGCGTATCAGGTGATTGTGAGGAGAATCACCAGAAAACGCCTGAAAGCCATGGACGCAGCAACATTGAATATGCGCTCATAGTCGTTGGTTGTGCATGCGCACTTATCTGCAGTGGGACTCGTCCTACTATGCAAATCCCGTTTCCTTCATTTTCCTTCTAACCAGGTCTTCGGTAGTCTGTATCTGGTCTTCCAAAGACATGTTTGAACTGTCCACCACAACAGCGTCATCGGCCTTCAATAGAGGTCCTACTTCACGGGTCCGATCCGACAAATCTCTAGCCTCAATTTCCTTTAGCACTGTTTCCAGATCTGGAAGATCACCCTTGGATTGCTTTCTCTGGAGTTCCTCCAACCGCCGCTTAGCTCTAACAAGTGGATCTGCTTCAAAAAAGATTTTGAGATGGGCTTGTTTAAGGACGTTGGTGCCAATGTCTCGGCCGTCCATTACGACGCCGCTGGGGACTTGTGACTCGGGCGACACGTCTTTTGGGGCCAATTCAGCACAAAGGTCACCGAGTTCTTTTATCTGGTCCTTGAGACTTTGAACCTGTGCGAAATCTCCTTCGGAAGTTGCCGTAAATAGGGCCTTCTCAAGCTCGATCTTTTCCTGGAGGAACATTGCGTACTCGGAATCAGCACTCGCCTCCTCGGGTGGGGGCTGCCCTTCCTTTCCTTCAGCAATAGCTCGCTGTTTGGAGCACAGAACCTCTCGTACTGAGGGTAAAGCTGCTATAGGGGCTACGGCGCGCGTGATCATTGGCAATCGGATCTCATCCGTCACATCGACCCCGTCCAAGTACACGTGCGTTATAGCTGTTCTGGCGTTATCCAGCTGATCAACGGGAAGTTGGGGTGTACGAAAAGCAAAATTGGTTTGAGAGGCCATATTTGTGATGGTTTGAGCGTCTTTCGTAGGGTCCAGATTCCACGCCATAGCTTTGAGTGTCAAGCCTCGATACATTGCCCCAGAGTCGATATATGTGAAGCCTAGACGCGACGCCACTGCACGGGCGGTCGTGCTTTTCCCGGACGCTGCTGGGCCATCTATGGCCACTTGGAAGCTCTTAATTGATGTGGAATAGTATTGGACTCTGGCGACAGGGAACAGGTTGGCGTTGAAGAGCGGAGATCGGAACCCTAGCACGGAGAGTCTGGGCTTAGGAAGCCAGTTTGCATAAACATGAAGCATAAACAGAGAAAGATGATAAGATGTGAAAACGTTATAAAGGCTCTAAAGAAGATGAAAAGATGCTCCTTACCTGCAACATGTTTCAGAGAAGGAGGGAGGATGGCGATGAATGATCTCAAAGGCGACTCGTGCAGCAATGTCCAAATAAATCGATGATCGGCTTAGTAAGCAATGAGTCAGCAATTTTGTGACTTGAGGTGCCGACACTGGGTCTTGTTTGAATTGTTGGGTCTTCCTGTGCGATCACCGTAGCGACGGAAGAGAATGACATACCTGGCCAAATTAGCGACCGCTCTCACTGCCAAGCGGCTGCTGGATCATGTCACCGTCACATTACCTCACCCACCGCCTGTCGCAGAACAGCTTACTACCATTCTCTTGGGAGCACACTGTTGTCCTCGGTGTGTGCTGAGGTTTTTGGGTGTGAGGGATAGGAACGTCCACGCAAACCTATTAGCGTTAACAAGAGAATGGAGTGGACTGCCTTTTGGCGGGCAGCACGTGAATGGAGAGACCCAGGCAGAGGAGGTTGGAGTGGAGGGGGAGGCGGAGTCGGAAGACGGCGTGGAAGCAAAGAGACTGAAGCTAGAGATAGAAGACGGAAAAACTGTTGGTGGTTCGTGTCTTCCTGCTCTATGAGACGTTTTAGAAGAGTGTTACATATTGAAAAGCTGCTACATCTAGTCCCTAACCCAACATCACCCGCAAATCCTGTGATGCAAACCGCACTACCAATGCCCTCCAATGATTCAGCACCCCAACGGACCTGTTCTGCGTGTCTAGGACTTTTACAGTGCGACCACCACGACCTTGCTGGAAAGGCCTTTAAGCTCTTTCAAAGCGAAGGGTACTCGCTCGGCTCCAATAACAAAACCTTTCTCTTGAGCATGCGATTACCTCCGCAGCTTGCAATTCGTCAGAGATCGTTTGTACTGCTGGTGGAAAAAGAGATGGGGTAGGTTCCTTGTGCATTTCGGGGATGTAGAGGCTGAGGCTTATGCCAATTTCGAAGGGCGGACATGATTGATGGTTCCGTCTCAGTTGAGGTCAAAGAGATATTGAAGTATTTAATATCGGATGCGTTTGCTGAGACGTCCAGTATAACGTACGATCCAGAGGTACTTCTTATGATGTCCCCAACAATAATGTACGAGCTTGTAGGCGAGATTATAACGATCTTTCTAGAGCCCGTTCTCGTTGACTGTGCATTATGATCACCCGCAAACAAAGAAGGAATATGAATTCATGACCAAAATTCCAGAAGCTGACTTCAAAATTAAGACGTCACGTCAAAAGGTGAGTAATGGGTAGATGCGGTGCGCTCAGGGTCATTCTTGCTTCTTCTATTTGAGCTCACCGTTTCTGGGATGCCCCTCTCACAAAGGGGCAAATTCTTGTTCATGGCACCTCTTTTGAAAAGATCGCGAAATCGGTTGATAAACTCTCGTATACACATTTTGCAGAGTAAGCAATGGAGTGGTGATGCGTGAATCAATCTTAGTGCATGTGAAACGATGCATTGGACTTACCGTGATTTTCAAAGTGCGGCGATGTGTCCTCCGCCAATAGTGACAAAGCCTCCTCGATTGGTTGAGCTAGGACTGCAGCATGCTCCCATCTACGTCGCAGGTAGGCATTTTGATGTAATCAGTAACATGATACGTGTGCTAACTTGACTGCTGTGGAGGTCGCTACCTGAAGCTTCAGCGTCACATTAGCAACTCTCCATGGGAAATTGGCGGCAAGCGAATGACCGAGCATTCTGTGGAGGAACTGATTGCGAACAAAGTGGACGCATTTTTCCGTAATGATGGTACAAATGCGGTAAATGTGAGCAACATATGCCTGTAAGCTGATCGCACCCTTATGTAGGACACAAATTCTATTCTTCTGGGCGGGAGGATGCCGATGTGCTCATGCTTGGACGGGGCCGACCATACTATCTGGAGTTGGTCAATCCCCGACGCGTGGAGGCATCTGAGACCGAATTGAAGGCATTGCAGGACACGATCAATAAAGAAGCGAACGGGATGGTACTGTCAAGGGATATGCAAATTGTGCCGAGGTATGCGAAGAGGTCGATTAGAGCATTTGAATGCATCCACACTAACGGTTCTCAACAGAGAGGAGACTAAAATCTTAAAAGATGCCGCTAATACAAAGTCAAAGAGTTACTCGTAAGTAATACATGGACACAGTGTTGGGCAAATGTGCAATTGCTAAGGCCGATATAACGATCAGAACGCTTGTGAAGCTGGCTTCACCGGTGACGGCCGAAGCTTTGGATAAAGTATCCAAAATAAGGGACCTTGCTATCAAGCAGCAAAATCCGACTCGAGTACCACGGTAATTTCATGAGGCGGGCGTGTTTTCTGCAAACACTGATTAACCTCAGCCGCTACTCTCGTAGCCGAGCGGACCTAATGCGAGATAAGGTCATCGAATCCCTTCGGGTGTACCCAGCTGCCCCAACAACTGTTTCACCGACCGATGAAGTCCGTGTCGACTTGCGCACGAGCGCCGGAACGTATGTTAAAGAGTTTGTTCATGGGGATAATGGACGTACGAATCCGAATTTGGCCAGCTTGCTTGGTGTAGAGTGGGCCAAGGTTTTGGAGTTGGATGTGCTGGAGGTACACTTGGATTGGCCCAAACAGATCGATTCGGAGATAGCACCGTTGATATAGACAGGCAGAACACAAATGTGTAGATTTTCATGTATTTAATAGCGCGGTTGTAGCAATATCTACCTTCATATAAAAATGCATTTCATCTAGAACGGCAAACCAAACAAAAACCCGATCCCGACAGTTCATCCTAAAAGATTTGATTTTCCAACTGCATACCCAACGGCAGCGGCCGCAGCAGCGAAGCCAACCAGCCATCCCACTACCTTGTTGTCAATCAACGAAAGGCCCCGACGCGCTACAGTACCATGCGTGAATTCCGCCCCATCTCGTACATAATATCTTGCAAACAAGTCGTTTTGAATCCACAACAGCTTTGATAATGCTGCCAACGTCTTTGCCCTTCCCTCCGGATCTGCCTGCAAGGCCGGGTGTGCATCCAGGGTCTCGATCAAGAACCCATGTAGCCAGGCAAACAGAGCATTGACGTGAATGTATTCAACGTTGATTTTTGACTTTTTCGACGGCGTATCAGTATGAATCTTGCCCACCCAATCCAAGTACGTCACGAAAGCCTTGTCGTACGACCCAGTCACCAGTTTTACGAGATATTTTCCCAAAAAGTCTTTTCTGAATTTGATTTGCTCCGAATCCAAGACAAGATGATCCAAGTCGCTGGCGAGCTGACCCTCAAACCCCTGATTCCGCTGCAAAAAGACGCCCTTGGTAATGTCAAACGAAAAGAGACGCTCGTAAACCTTATCCACAATCGTTGGGACAAGAGGAGCGACAAGGGGAGCGGCTGCCTTGAGAGCAGCGATATCGGTTTCGTTAAAGTTTGCAAATTCCGAGACGTACGTGAAGCGGTAGTACGTGTCAGTGTAAAGACGCGGTCTGTCAATGTGTTTGGGAGCCGCGGGCGTAGGAGTTGTTGAAGTCGGATTAAGAGGAGCCATGTTTTGCGATTATTCGTCAGAAGGGGATGGTGATAATCAGCACGAGTGTGAGTGAAGAATGCAAAAGTTGGAGGTTGGGGGGGACGGAGAGGAAAGCTCGCCCTTTATATATGTGGCAAAACCCGCCTTGAAAATGATGCGATGCGTCAAAAGCGACGGATTGAAACTCCGATTGCGTCGCCCATGGGAGTCATCGACTCTCATGGTTACCAGGAATGAGTCACACTCTACGCCAACCCAGGTTACTGGAAATTCTAAATATGGAAAATAAACAAGCTGCGTTGTTGCAAGGACGGGATTATCGGATAACATCGGGTGGGAGTGTTATTGTGTGTGTGTGCAAAAAAAGGAGGTGTGCTAAATGGGTCAAAGGAGGAGAACAGGAGGCCGCATAGACAAACGGAGCGCGCGCCGAGAATTTATGGCACACTATTCACGTCTTTCAAAGGGGGGACATTTCAACTAAAACTGTTTAATAAATCCTGCATGGACTCGTAAAAGGCAAAAACTTGCCAGCATGGGCTGGTGTTCAGTTCAACAACGAGCCATAGCACGCTGTATCACATTAATCCCCGTACAAGTAATCCCTCCACCCTCTTAGCCAGGACTTGAATAATTCCTCTGCGCTCATACTCCCCCTCTTCAAATTCCTTTATGCGCTTCTTGACAAGATCAATTTGCTCTAGCACGGAACGGCAGTCCTTACCTTGCGCCGTCGCACTGTCAGCTTCCTGTTGGAGGCCTGTGAGCAAAATGTGGTTTTGAGCGTGCTGAGCCTGGAGGTGACTGTAGTATTGCAATTGGGATTCGATAAGCGTAATTTCCGATGGCTGCTGTTGGATGGATGGGTGGGGAGCGCTTGGTCTGGTGGTTTCGGACTGTGCGGGTGGAATGCTCGCACTGTTTGCTGGACGCGATGATAGCAATTGTTCGGATGGCGTGGTAGCACGCCTTTCGCATGAAAGTGCATGTATCGGTGCGAGTGACCCACTCGTTGGTATTGCGCGAAGCGATGATTGTGACTGGTGCGGTATGGGTGACTGCGGCGATATCGGTGGAAGATGCATCGACGATGTGAGTTTCGGGACGTGCTCGCTTGTGCTTATAGTCGAATCGCCGACTGCATCACTTCCTACTTGCGCTTCTGGTACTAGGAGTGTCGCGAAGGTAATGGCACTACCGTTACTGACTGCAGTCGCTATAAAAGGGTCTTCAAGCAAAAACCCAGGCTTTCTCGGTGGCGGTCTCGGACGCCGTGGAATGGGAGGTTTGGGGATCGGCGGGACAGCTACAGGCAGGTTTTCAGAATTTTGTTTCTTGGGCGGTACCACGGCGGACGGAGCAGGCGTTGTGCTCCGCAACCGCTCCGGGTATAATTGAATCGGTTGTGCTGGTGGAATAGGTCTTTACGTGCGGGAGAAAAACATTGTAGAAACATTGCATGTAACTTCAAATGCAGAGCGCATATAAGTGATTACCTGCTTTGTGGTCCAGGAATAGTGAAAAATGCCTCTTTATCGAGTTCCCGGAAAAGTTCCTTACGATGGACCGCTACTCGTAGAACCTATCAATGGTTTGCCGACGACAGTGCAAAGAAAGAAATCACTCACTCTCCGACAGTGGTCTGTGGTCCCTTGACGCCAGCACCTTAGCCCGCCATTTGAAAGCAAATTTTTGCACCTTGCGCAATGACTCCACGGCTGTTGCAGCTTGATCGTTCAAGGCATTTTCGGTTTGCGTCGTGCGTATTGCCTCCGCGACCTATAGTCATAGGCCTGAATATTTCCATGTTTGTCTATCATGATGAAGACAGCAAGCCAACCTTGAGCCACTGCACAGCAACTCTCCGCATCGTCCTCTCCCTCTTCCATCCCATGGCATCCTTGATCCTCTCGTTCAGCTCTCGCTTGGTTCGCACGTACTCTATCCATGCATGGAAGGTCTTGCGCGTTATTCCCATGCCCCAGAAAATGATGGGTTGGCGAACATTTGATTCGTAAATCGCAGCCCAGTCTGGACGTGAAGAATACCAACATTGAAAGTACCGACTCAATAGCTTACGGTGCTGGAACGCAGTCGACTTTTTCAGGGATTTCTGGGTGTGATTATGGCATTGGTTCAATGGAAATGTATATCTCCTGATGGAAACGGTAACATCATACCTTGGTCCAGCGCTGATGAGCACAAAGTCCCTTCCAAGCATACAGTGCCTTGCCCACCAGGGAACGTTCATGAAATCGTGCAGCTTCGACTTCGAGAGCTCTCTTGTATCTTTCAATGCGAAAACGGAAGATCCACTTTCTCATAGCACATTGCAATTTCACTAAACGTTTCACCGGCTTGTAAAAAATTTCCAAACCATCTGGCACGATGAGATCCTTACCACGCGATAATGCGGCATGTGCTTCGCCGAGAACCTTTTGTTTAAATGCTCTCTCTTCTGAGCGCACATCGGCATACTCTTTCCAACCATGAATAATCTGTCATCACTTGTCAAACAGAAGGCCGACAGTTACCATAGCACAAACCAAAATTCTTTACCTTACGACATAACCGTTGTTCCCATTTTTGCAACGCATGAGCCAGTTCCAAACGATTTTGGCGCGATTCAATCATTCTCTCACGCCATGTTCGCATAGAGTGTAGGAGAAGCCTATAAGCCCGCCGATCCGCAAAGTTTGAATATACAGCATGAAAGGCAGAGCGTGCATCCACGGCTGACTGTTTGATAATCTATGAGATTCATATAGTCGGTAGATTTGATTTAATTCTCACCTTCCACGCGAAAATATATTGTCGTTGAGTCTGCCGGTCTGCATGCGCGACGGCCATTCGCCATTTTACTCGATCTTGGTGTACCTCCTCCAGCTTCTATAAACGAAAATAACAAAGATGATGCTTGAATACGAAAAAAAAAACTCGCGGTAGAACGTGATTTCCATACCTTACGCCATATTTTCCATACCAGCCTCATCACATTCAGATACCGATGCCGAACGGCCTGCCGCCATCTTGACATTTTATGACTGGATTCATCTGCATACACCCACCAAGCATTTATCACTTTACGAGCCACGGCAGAATTCCGATGATATATGGCTAGCGCCTACAAAAGCAACGAGGTTACGGAGTCTAGCGCACAATACACACAGTTGCTAGGAAGCCCTACCTGCTTATTTCGGGCGTCAATTTGCGACCTCGCGTGCCGCCGGAGAACGTTCAGCGCATTTCTCATACACAATGTATCGTGGAAGGTCGCGAGCTGCATGCAGCGGTTTTTGTTTGTCACTTATTTTTGAACTGATACGTAACTCATGCCATGCTAACCTTTTTTGTAAGGATATGTTCACTTTGACGTTCAGTGAGAGCGGTAGTCCACGTAACCCAAAATCGTCGTAGTAGAGTACAGCTGTAATGCTGCGCTGCTGCATCACGTTGACGCTTTTTCAAAGAAGCTACAATAGCATGGTTTTGAAGCGTTCGAATGGCGTGCCGCAATAGTTGTCGATCACGAAAGTCTTCGGCTTTATGGTATCGCTCCTAAACAGCGCTGTAAGCCTTTATTGCCGTTCACGGATCCGTCTGCCCACCACACCTTTTCAACCCGCCTCTCATTAACGAAGGCTTTCCATTCTGCAAAGGTCAGCCGTTTCAAACGCCACCGAAAGTGTTCGACACCCGCTTTAACCTCTTCAAGTTCGCGTAGCCGCACATGGGCTGCGTTTAATGTGCGCCAACGATGCCACGCACTTCGCAATACCTATTGTGACGCAGGTTAATGGACAATGTCCAAGGCATCAAGTCCGTCTATTTCAACGGCCCAGCTACCCACACAACACCTTACGGCAATACTGCATGTCTGCACCCTCACTCAGTCGCGGTAGAGCTTTCAAACATCTGAGGCTTCGACGCTAGGTGGATCGGGAATTTCTGTCACAACAGACAGTAGACAAGAATGCGACGGCATTTCGGCATACCTTTAGCAGGGAATCATAGAACTTTTGCGCCTTTTGCATCGAGAGACGCTGTTCTGCCGCCACCGATTGGTCTGCAAATACACCACATGCCTGTTAGAAGGCCCACGTACGAACTCACGGCCCCCTTTGACTGCCTACATGTCTGCCAGCCATGGAAGATAACTCGCAGCATTTTTTCTCGATGGTGGTGCCGAGCAACGTTTTCCAATTCGACCATAGCAAGTCTATGGTAATACTTTAGGTGCCAGAGATGCAGTGCGGATCGCGCCAGGTGGCGGTTGCTGAAGACTATTGCTCGTTCTGTGCACACAAGAATCAATGAGATGTGTTTCTGTACGCTGTCCAGTTGAACGACACGCACCAATTTCACTTTTTCGCATATCCTTCATCTCGATGGCGCTGATCCACCGCTGCATGACGACGCGTAACAGTGTTCGTTGATTGAACTTCAGGGCGAACGCTGCCCTTCGCGCGGTTTCTCGTCTTGTTGCATAAAGTCTAATCCATTTGCTCATCCATTTTCGAGTAACATTCAACTTCCAAAGAACGTCCGCCGATTGCATTGTGGCCTTTTTCTGATTGTTGATGTTGTGTTTTTGACGCCAATCCTTCCAAGCCTGCTCCATCTTCTTGTTCGCGTAATGCTTCGTTGCATCCGAATAGCGCAAGCTTAGCGCATGTTGTAGTTCTCGCTGTTGTCGCCACGTACGAAGCGCCTGGCGCAGCCGAAGGTGGTGACCTGTGGAATAGATACTCGTTAGACGGCAGTTTAAGCCGCAGATCATGACGAATGTAGCAGTAGGTTGCCCACCAAGAATCGCAGCTTGATCTTTGACAGTGCGATCACCAGTGCGGGTTCTTATGTACGACCTCCAACCCCGCCAAGCTCGCAAACTCAGGATATATTTCCAGTGAACATCAGCTTTAACATGATTTCTCCAATCAATGCGTGCCCTCGCAAATGCTTGCCGCCACCGCCGCAAGGTGGACATCAGTAGAGTGTGGATATAATGACTTTCTGCAAGCTTGCGGTTGCGTCTCCTTCTCACTAGCATTTTCCACTGTTTGACGGAGCGCACCGCGAGAGCAAGATCGCGCTCATTCAACATTAGGCCTTCACTTGTCAATTGTTCCAACGGTATCTGTGCAGGGTCGCGATGGGATGCAACTGGGAGTCGTGAGGCAGTCTTTGACACGCCCTTCGGACGCTCGTTCGCACGAAATTTCGTTCCTTTCTCGTCTGCATGCCCATCACGAGTAATAGTGGTTTGAGTCCAGAGGTTGCGTCCCGTCAAACCTTTGTTAAGCAGGCGACCCAGTCCCAAGTGATGCCCAGCTGTGCCGACGGTGTTGCCTTTGAGTTCGTGGCCGCTGTGGGCCATCATAGTCATCCAAATTGCCTTGAAAAAGCGTCCAGGAAAAGCGCGTCGCTTCCCTCCTAGGTGCTTCGGTTCAGCTCGCGGTTTCCTTCGTTACTTCACTGGGTCCATTGACTCCAGCGAGTTAAGCTCTAGACCGGTTCTTGGCAGGGTGGATGATGCTTGGTGGGCCGCAGTAAAAAATCGCCCCTCTTTCCCTCAGACGATCTACAACGAAATGTCCCCACAGCCACGACCACAATCTCACACATCCGGCGCGGACGAGGGCGATGACGACGACTACACCAAGCGCATAAAGAACTCTGGCTGTTTTCGGGAACACGAAGCTCTTCAGGACTGTCACTTTAACAAGAAAGATTGGCGCGCCTGTAAAGCAGAGATGCTAGCTTTTCGAAAGTGCTATGAGAGGCACCGGAAGCAACAATTGGACGAGGGGAAGGGGAGTACTGGCTGGGGTTGATCAAAATCTGTAATCTATATCGCTTCGTGTATATGTCTGTGCTGCGATTTCCTGATACTGATCGAATGGACGACAATTAAGATAAAAATTCGCTAAAATAACTTGCACAAAGAAATCCTCCTAGATTTTCGCCCTCTCTAGGTTCCCAGCTAACCCAGTAACAGCAACGATATATCCACAGGATCATCAAACGCCATATCCAGGCCCACCATCTCGTAGCTCGACTACGACACACGTGCGCGCAGAGTCTTTCCTGCTAAAGCAGCGTACAGCAGCGGCAAACGCCGCCTTCTTCAGCTGCCTGCCTTGGTTTTTCGCCCGCTAGTTTGATGCAAAAAAAGGTGCGTTAACATGGGAGTATGACATCCATCCCATCAGCAGTGATTGACCAGTACGTACAATTATCTTCCGTTTGAGGAGTTGGCTTGACCAGAAGGTGGACAGTAGTCGTTTGGCCTGGCTGAATTTTATATTCTGGGTTTACATTGAGAGGACAGGGTCTGAGCGACATGGCGTTTTGTGCTACAGTTGCAGTTGCTCACCCACCAGCTAGCGTCTTGGGCTCTTCCAAAAATCGCCCATGATGCAAAATCCGCAAGTTTTCAGGTGCCTCAGGTGTCTCGCTAGCCCACTCTGTAGGATGGAATATGCATTCAGAATCATGAGATTGGACGCTTAAACACCGATGCACGGCATAACATCGCGAAACCAAGCTCCAGTCCAATGTCCTGTGCTTTTCTTTCAGCTTTTCTTTCCTCCGACGTACCTCTAGGCCACACGGCATATATTTTTCTCTTGACGACTTGAACCGTGTCATTTGGCTCCAAAAAAACGTCCGTCCTCTGCCCCGATATCATCAGGAAGCGCAGGTTCACCTTGTCGTCTGGAACTTTGTCATTTACAACAAGGGTGTGAGGTGGCGCCTTTTCGCCCTCGCTGACCGTATTGGTCGCTGATTCTGGTGCATCCACCATATTTATCGGTATATCGAAAATTCAAAGTGGGGTGGCAGATGCAAAGCTATATACGATTGCTGAAATAGGGCGCTCAGCCCGTGACAATATGCAATTTGCTGAAAAAAAAATGTACAGACGTTTGTTAGCTAAAGGTAGTCGGGTATGATTCACGAAAGATTTTGCAAACGCCTCTAGCGAAGCCCGGCAATAGTCCTCAAGCGCTACGGGCACGAAAATCTCGAACGCGCGTTACGTACACCGCTCAAGACTTTCCAGCGTATGCTTCACAAGGATTACTCCGCTTCGTTACGCACAGAGTGCTCTCAGGAGGCTAGGCGTCCAACCAACCGTCCAGAAACACACCTCCAAAGTCAAAGGGCAATGCGTCGCGGTGACTCACAGGAAGACTCCGCCGACTTCAGCCCAGGAGTACCCTAGACTTGCGACCGATGCAAGTACGTGCGCCAGCGTTAAAGGAATCGGGATCTCTCGCAGGACAAGGTTAAATCAGACGGCTGTGGAGGATGCGGGGGGCGGCTAACGCTAGCGATAGTGGCACTTGCGATACTCGTTTGCAATGATTACGATACCCACGCCGCCTGGTTCGGAACATGTGACATTTGTCACACAAGCTGTCAGCAGGGCTTCTTGTTGCCGTGTGTTTGTTTTTAAAATGTTTGGGGGAATGTTTTTAAACTCTAAACAAGGACTGTACAGGAATGCCAAGTGTCAATAAGCTTTGAATATGGACGCCCCCGTTACTCCTGGTCTGGAAGCGACTCTAAAGAAGGTAATTCGTGTGCATCCGACGCGATAGGGATTCCAACTTATTTGGGCTCAAGGGTGATGGAGATTGGTCGCTTTGCAGCGTGAACATGTAGCTTCGACCAATGTCGGCCGATATGTGATGGAGGCCTGACAGAATATGAACATTGGGCTGTTGCAATGTCAAGCCAGTCCTGCTTGTTCCAAGAAGGTGATAATGCATGGAGCGATCGCTCAGATGCTGATGAGAGCATGCGCCACGGCTTAGCGACTGGCTGCGCCCATTCTCATTGAACGTCCAACTCATTCAACAGTTGTGCTCGGTTTGGCGAGATCACACATTCCACTTCAATTTTCCAGAACTCCTCCTTGCCATGCGCAACATTTCCATTCTGGCGGGCTCGAGTCACCCGCAGTTGGCACAGGACATATGTCAGCGACTAGGCATCCCGCAAGGAAGGGCGACATTGTCAAAATTTTCAAACAAGGAGACGAATGTGGAGGTCGGAGAGTCCGTCCGAGAACAAGATGTATATATCATCCAATCTGGCTGCGGAAATGTGAACGATAACTTTGTCGAAATGCTGATCATGATTGCTGCCTGCAAGACCGCCAGTGCAAAGTACGTTATGCAAATCCCAATTGTTCATAACGCCTTCCATATTATCCAGACTTTGTAAGACGCTTACTCATGTAAATGTGTAGGAAAGTCACCGCTGTCATTCCATGCTTTCCATATGCCCGTCAACCGGAAACGCCGTATAAGAGGAATAGTGTGCCTTCGTCTCGTGTGGCAAAGCGTGATGATGACAAGTTTGGCACAATGTATGACGGTCAATTGCAGTCACCTATAAAACCTTCATCGCTCCCTAGCCCTCCACCAAACTCTGACTCGTCCACTGCCAACTCTACCGACACCCCGCCCCAGCCAGAGATCTTTGAGAAATCCATGAGCAGCTTATCATTCCCAGATGAGGACGATACACCACTTCCCGCGCCGAAGCTCAGGCATCTTCGCACCGAATCTACCCTGTCTCTTGACGGTGGAGGTCGTGTGTCGAGTATTAGTCGCTCGCACTCCAATGTCGCTGTGCATCCGCTTGCCCCACAACCGCCGGCTGACCGACCTCTTCAGACCGGGACTTGTACACCTGGACCTGGATCGGGTAATGGAGGTTACAAACACTGGACAGCGAGGAGCGGTACACTGATAGCAAACATGCTGATGGCAGCTGGTAAGTCCATGTAAGCCATGGCACCTTTCATGTGCGTCAACTTAAGGTGCCACGCTCGACCTGCCAAAGGCGCGGATCACATTATTACTATGGACCTCCACGATCCTCAATTTCAAGGATTTTTTGACATTCCTGTGGATAACCTATACGGCCAGCCCTTGATGATAAAGTATATCAAGGAGAAAATACCAGATTTTCAGAACGCCGTTATTGTGTCTCCTGATGCAGGTGGTGCGAAGAGGTATGTCATTTTCTCGCTCGTCATCTCCGAAAGGTAATCATGGCACTAATCTGTTGATTCAAGGGCCACGGTCATTGCCGACAAGCTCAACGTGGATTTTGCATTGATTCACAAAGAGCGGCGGGTGGCTGCTGGCTCGGAATTGATCCTGGTTGGAGATGTCAAGGATAGGGTGTGCATATTGGTTGATGATATTGCTGATACATCATTTACAATTACGCGGGCTGCCACGTTATTGACGAAGAGTGGGGCTACCAAGATCTATGCGCTAATTACTCATGGAATCCTCAGCGGGAATGCCCTCGAACGGATCAAGAACTCGACCATTGACGAGGTGGTGGTGAGCAACAGCGTTCCCCAGCAGGATCATCTGGCACATTGTGACAAGATCAAAGTGTTTGACATTGCTGGAGTGTTTGCGGAAGCCATCAGGCGGATACACAATGGGGAGAGCGTCAGTTTCTTGTTCGAACAAACGCCATATTGAGCTGGGTTGATAATACTTGCACATTCTGGGATGCAACTCATCATTTTTCCAGTAAATTAAATAAAATGCATGAAAATTGCAAAAACTTTTGTTCGATAGATTTGCAAACAATCTACTTCTTCTTTCCTTTCTTTTTGCCACCTCCTGAACCACTTCCACTCTCCTTCGCAGCGTCTTTCGCCAACTCTTGAATTGTCTTGGACACCTCACTTCGGCTTGCAGCGGCCATAGCCACGATCCTCGGATCTTCCTTCTTCATTCTCTCCTCCACCTCAGCATACATCTTTGCAATCTCTCTCAGCAATCCCAGTTTGCTGGTAACGTTCGGATTCAGTGGCTTTTTGGTGGCCGAGTGCTTTATCTGCACTTTAATTCGACCAAATACGAGAGGATCGGCGGGATGTCGCTTCTCGGGGTCGAGAACAGCGGGGAGGTTAAGCAGGCGCACGCATTCTGACATGTAAATGGCGGAGGGAGCGGAGGGACAAAGGGTTTTGGCCAGACGACGTTGGGGCTTGGTTGGGTCAAGATATACAGGATACAATGTCGTCCAACTATTTCCGAGGAAGATACTCCATAAGAATACAGATATATGCCCAATCCCTATATACAAAATATTTCGCAGTATCACCTCTTGGCAGTCTCGTGGATGGAGGGATCTACAGCGACCATTCGCGGTTGTGATCGAGTTTGAGCAGACCCTGAACCTGATGGACCCGCCTGTTGCTGTGCATTGAGAAGATGGGCGGGTATGTCAAAGTCCATATTGTCAATGTCGTCTGGGTCCATTTTTGGCCGTGTTTCTGGTGATAGCGCTGCAACATTCAGTGCGCTGGACGAGGCCGTCAACGGCTGGGGTCACTACCGGTCGAGTCACGTGTGGCATGCTTACTGCCATGGCAACATTGATCCAGTCGCTGACCTGATCAAAATGCAGTCAGTGACAGTTTCCTCGCTCACCTCACCCGCTTCTAAACAAGAACATCCCACAGAATGATTCCCTGGAGACAAGCCTTACACGCCCATCTTGTCGAAACTCTGGCCAATAACCGGCTATTTCAAAAGTTTGCGGTGACTACAGAACAGAAGATATCAGAATTGAGTGGCAAAGGTACTTGGAGAGGAAAGCCATGACGAGACAAGCTACGCTGGTGTTAACTCTCGCTGTGACACTGAAGGTGCCCGAAGGGCGCAAGAGTTTCAAAGTGAGCTCTCGAATCCGGAAACGATGTATGAGACAAAGGAAAAGATGATGACGGTACGTGCGCTAGCATCTGTTCAACTTGGCTGTTCGTACAGGTGCACTCGATGTTTGTACTGACCTGGTTGTTCGATCTTGCCGCTTCAATAGTTCATGGAAGAGTTTAAAAAGGTACGGAGATATCATTTTGTGCGATGCTGGTTACGGACAGCCAGCTGACAATGTTTTGGCAGGAATTGAAAGAGGGAGCGGAGCGGACTTTTGGTGGTAAACGATGACGGGTGGTGGAATTCTGTGCATGATGCTGTTATGGCGTTGGATATTTGCGTTCCCCGATTTGGCGTATATGAAGTGTGCTTTTTTGTTTTGAATTCATGATCGTATAGGTTAGTTTGTAATTTAATTATATGATGCTTATTTCTCCTTATACCGGCATTGGCAAAACCGCTCGATAAGGACATTGGTCATCATGATATTCGTGATGGTGGTGATGGTACTTCACTAGGTTCCGAGCTGTAAGTACGGAACGTAGGACTCAATAATCCTGGACACTACTGAATGGGCTGCTATGTCAATCTCCATCCTCCTGTATCTATTGCAGACCAACTGCAAGCAATGGTTAATGGTACTTGTCTTTTAAGTCCTACCACCATATGCGTGTAAAGCTGCAGCGTTTTGTATTGAAGGGAGCAACGCCAATCCGATAATTGGCTATTTCGGTTGGAATCGCGACTTTTTCTGGATGCAAGATCGCGGTCCAAGCCATGTTGGCCGACGAGAACATTGACCTCACCAAAGGTAAAATCCATTTGCAAGTGCCTTTACTCCGCGCTGCACTGCAATAGCCCTACACCCAAGCGACGTTACTATTTGAACCTCGTCAAGTTTTCACTTGTTCCTCCCGTTCGTGGCCCGTAAACGAAATCACCAATGTCGGCCCCTGCCTCCCGCCAAAGATGGCTCGTGCCCATCCAACCCCTCTTTCCGTTGATGATTATCGGCGTCCTCGGTGTGACAATGAGGTGGGGTGTCAAGAAATACCAAGAGTATGAGAACTGGGGAAAGGTGCGTTACAACGTCGGAGCATGCCGAGCCGTTGTCCGACGCTTTTGCTTACCTGTACTTTTTTTTTTTTGCTCGACACAGCCGAAGCGCTGGAGCGTGGACAGATGGGACAGGCGGATGATGGAGCGGGACAGCCGGCTGACTGGAAATGTTAACTTCCAGCGGGTATGTATCGGTACCCCTTTTTTAATTCTTTTTTTCGGATGCTCACCTTCCTACTGGGGAGCTAGGCTGAGGTGGAGGCGCCGAAAGAGTTTCTGACCAACAGTGCTTGGGAGGTTGAGCGTCCTTTCATGTAAACCACGTCGCTGGGGCTCTCGGAAAGAAAGTTTGTATGATACCGTTTGCGACAGTCCTGGACAAATAGATTTCCTGATAGAAGGACCATTCCTTGCTTCGGGTGACATGTCTCGATTTAAATTCGGCCATTGCACGGTTTCTTTGCAATGGCAAACTTTTGGACAAAGCAGTCAGGGGAACAGTCTCTGTTTTAAGAGTCTAACAAAGAAAAGAGACACTAATTACAGCACAAATAAATAATTACAGATCGTAATGCTCTAGCGATGCTTTACCCAAACTTTGTAGGTGCCCAATAACGCCGCGAGAAAACCGGATACTGCCTGCCATCCGTCGCTAATACCTTTGTCTCCCAAGTGGAAGACATCTATGGTGCAGAAAACAAAGTCTGCCATAAGTTTGGCAAACGACACTTTCTGCATATATAACTTGCTTTCCAGCTCTTTCCTCTTGGACTCATCATCGGCGCGACATGCCACTAGCTTTCGCCGTATTGCCGCTGTGCCGTGCACATTCTCGTGAGCGTCGATGAATATACTAACATACCAGAGTCGATCTGCAAGGATTGTTGCGCGGTTGTACAGTGGTTTGTCCACGATGCCCATCTTTCCAGCGACTACCAAATCATCTGCCCACCCATTCACGATCCCGACAATAGCGTTGAAAACCGCCAGGAACTGCCTTAGCTTCTCCGTTGGCGTCACGGCTGATGACATCCCAAAATGCCGTTCTTTCGCCAGCTCTACAAATTCATCTAAGGAATTCAACCAGTAAAATAGCCGAATGACTTTGCGGGTCATCGAAAACTGTGAGACGGTTTTATTGGCATGCGAATGGAGGGTGGGATGCCGTTTGGCGTCCAATATGTGAAGCCACATTGCAGTCTTGAGTCCGTATTGGATGACCTTCATCACCTTGTCCCGACCATCCGTGAGAAGAAGAACTCGTCTCAATATGAGGACCTGAACAAGGGGATTTATGCGGATGGATCGTGGTAAGCTTTTGCGGATCGAGTTTGAAGATGCTGAAGGTGCTTTTGAATTCGAGTCTTTTAGGGGATTTTGGAGCATAGAAGCGGCCTTCAATCTCTGTACTAGTTCTGCCGGCGGGGCCTGTACCACCGGTACGTGGTTCCCATTGGCATTATATCCTGCATTAACGCTCATCCTTGGAGAAATCGACGTAGGTGTTGTTGGGGCGCTCAAAACAGACCGAAGGTCAAAATCATAACCTCGGTTGCCGGCTATAAGTCCGAGTATATGGCGCGTCCCAGAGTATAGGGCAGTATTTGAGTCCCCCACAAGTCAGTTCAAGAATCAGATCAAGATACTCCTCCACCGGACCCTTCACTGAGCCGGCAGAAGGGTTAACAACGGATGCGAC